CAACCCCACCCCAACCCAAACCCCAACCCCAACCCCAACCCCAACCCCAACCCCAACCCCAACCCCAACCCCAACCCCAACCCCAACCCCAACCCCAACCCCAACCCCAACCCCAACCCCAACCCCAACCCCAACCCCAACCCCAACCCCAACCCCAACCCCAACCCCAACCCCAACCCCAACCCCAACCCCAACCCCAACCCCAACCCCAACCCCAACCCTTAAATCAAAAACAAAAATAAAATTTTTTATCAGAATATGAAGTTTAGAAATATTAATGATTTGTTTTAATAAACAAATGATAAAGATTAGTGAATATCTTTAAAAATTTTCCAAATAATTCTATACAAAAAATTAAAATATTTTCAATATGAAAAATAATCCTTTACTTAATTTCTTAATTCTAATAAAACAGGAATTTATTTTAAACAAAAAATTATTAATTTATTGTATCTAATAATGATCTAGTATATAAATTATAGAAAGATTTAAAAATTACTTATATAAATAAAAGATAACCAAGTAATTATAGATATTTATAATTATTTTGCTAATTCAAATCAGTGTATTTAATATAAAAACAAAAAATTATTAGAAATGGCTGTTTGGATTGGATCTCACTATTTTTGGTACTATCAAATACCTCCATTATTGATTCATCTTCTCATAATTACAATATTTGCCGCTAATCAATATAATATGATACACTTTTTATATATCACTCCAGTGATATTGCTTTTAATGTACAATTCTTATTAATGTTTTTGGAAACCAAAACCTGATTGTAGTACTTTATATATTGTCTTATTTGGTCTTGGGATTTTTATATTTACAGGAGTATTTCTTGGGGTTTTTATAGGGGTTTTTGGTTAAATATTAAAGTATCCTTTACATGAAGTACATAATTGCTAAGTTATTGGATAGTTAAAAGTCAATATTATTGGTATTTCAACTTATAGTATACTTTATGTCAATTACGAAAAAGATGGAGAGGTTTTTTTAGGTTATGGATGCCTTGATGGATAATATTAAGCTACATCTGGCATTAAACCAATTTTTCCTTATCAATTTTATTAATTTGGAGATTCTTACGGTTGCCCGGATACAAAAGTTGAAGATAGCTATTTTAATACTTTTCAGTAAAGTAGAAATTTACATTATGATGCTTATAAAAATAAGAGAAGTTTTTCATACGACAGCTGTTTAGAATATTGGACCTTCAGTAAAATTAAACTTCCAAGCTGGATGTGTTTACCTGAAAATTTTCCATATCATAGTTTGAGTAATAAATTAAATAAATGTTATATTAGTAGCCATGGAAACTCTTAATAAGCTAAATTAAATTCTTTAAATCGAGCTAACTTAAAGTATGCAACAGATTTTATATTAGTAGGATTTACTGATTTTTTGATACCTGTTGACTAATATATAATTTTTTTAATATTTTGCTATTGCCCTTTTATAGTAACTTCAGTTGTAATAACTCTTCCAATATAAAATTGTATTTAAAAATAAATAAATAAATCTAAAAATTACTATAAAAAAATTAAACATATCCCTTATTTGGAAAGAGTCTGTGAAAATAATACTGTTTTGGACAATGAAAATAGATTTATTTAGATAGAAAAATAAAATAATTTTTGTGATATTTAATAATAAGAACTACAAACTTTAAATTAAAATTATAATAACATTGTATTAGATAACGAAACATAAAAAAAATCCATTGTTGATAATTACAATTACTAAGAAATTGAGCAAAATGTTTTAAAAGATGGAGAATAAAAAAGCTAAATTAATTAATATAAACAAATTCAAAACGATATCAATCTTTGATTAAAATTTTTAAAAATTTTATATATTACATTTCATCTGTATTTAATATATTTATTGTAAATGTTAAAAAAAAGTATTTTCTAATTTCCTAATTTTATTTTTTGAGTGTTGATGGAATTGAGTGCTAGCTAAAATATGAAAATTTCTAGTAAATATTCTAAAACTTTGCAAAAGTAAGAATCAAACAAACAAAATAAATAATATCAACTAAATTAATATAAAACTAACAACTAAAAATATGATTCTTCCTTTTTAACTTTAAAGCAGATTTTTAGAATTTGAGATTTAAATCAAATTAATTAATCCATTTTTATCTTTATTTTTTAATTTTGGATTGATTAAAGCCTATTAATCAGAATCAGATTTAAAATCTAGCTATCTTTTTACTGTTTAAAGTTAGTTTTCTGTTGCTATTGATTAGTGATTTTCGTTTTACAAAAGCAAAGAGCTTTTTTGAAAATTTGTAGATTTATTAAATTATTTTTATATTAAACTTACAGCTTTACTTGCTATTCCTTACTGGTTACCTGTAAATCCAAGTTTATCCTCAGTTGTTGCTTTTACGCTTATTCTATCAGATTCAATCTTTAATGTATTAGAAATATTTTATTCCATTTAAACTATATAATCAGCCATTTTTGGAGCCTATGCAATTATTACAGCATCTATATTTATAATTTTAATTTAATCTTTTTCCATCATTTTTCTAACTATTTCAAGCAGCTTCAAGCTTGAAACATCTTTATATTATGGAGTATTGGGAAAGAGTTTTCCTATATCTCCATACTTGCATGCTCCAAGCAAAGAATCGATAATTGAATGGACTAATACATCTGCATCAGAATGCCCATCCAACCCTTTGCTATGCTTAAGCTCAACTCCACCAATAATTAATTTTCTTCCACTTACTAGCCTATGGACATCATAACCTATACCTACTCTTTACTCAATATCTTAAATTGACTCTTGCTTCTCTGTTTTGGTGTATTTAAAATCTACCTATGCTGTATTTTTTAAATTCTCCTATGATTAATTTAAAATTTATATAAAATCTTTGTTATCTTATTGTATTTTATCAATTTAATTTTAATATTAATTTGTTTATTGGCTGCTCTCTAATGAAGAAATAGTTTCAAATAAGGGATCCACAATGTTAATTGGACTACTATTTTACAAGCTCTTATTTTATCTCAATTATTAGTAAAATTCAATATTTTAGCTAGGCATAACTCCAAATTTATTTGGGCTATTCCATTTTTGTAAAATTTATTTAGTATCATTAGAAATAATATCTTTAAAATCCTATTTTTTTTAGCTCTAATAAGTTGTATTCTTACTTCTTTCTGAGTTTAACGAGTTATAGTTTCTCAATATACTATCTATTTTTTACTAACCTGTTAAGTTTTTTTTTTCTTTTTAATTTCTCCCCCGATAAGAGAGTAAATCATTTTAATTATTATTCTTATTATTATTATTACTACTTTAACTATTTTTTGAAGTTGCAATTTTTTCATCAACTTGTGTGTAATTTTTTTAATCTAAATTTTTTGTAATCTATGCATTTGTAGTGTATGTTTATGCAGATAATTAAAGTAAAGGCTAAGAAACGGTAGGTATATAACTATTAATTTATTATTATTATTATCTAGGAAGGTAAGAAAAACTTTATCTCAAGGGTTACTAGTGAATATAGTTTAAGTTAACTTAATTTAGTGGTACTTACAAAGATTATGTAAGATTAATATTTTTTTAATATGTGAAATATGGATTTGAGTTAGCAGCAGATATTTTATTGTTTAGAGATCTCTCTATAGGATTGTAATACATTTATTTAATTGTAGAATATTTATCTCAGTAGTAAAATAAATTCAGAGTGAAGAATTCTATATGTTTATTTACGATTATGCTATGAATTATATATTTTTTTTTCAAATTATTTTTATTTTTTGACACTTTTTATGTTATTAATTAAGATATTTATAATAATTCTATCAAATAATAATTAATATTTATGTAAATTTTATTCCATCTAAATAAATTTTATTTTATAAACTTGTAATAAGAAAGAAAACTCTATTTTATAAATAAAAATAATATAAAACAGAATCAAAACCTCAAACACAATAAATGTTTTTCTTTTAGCTGCAAAATACAAATAAAATATAACTTAATGTAATTTATTTATTTATTAGTAAATCAAATTTATCTCAGTTTCCAGTCGAATTTGTTAAAATTCTTATAAATATGAAAATGAAAATGATAAGTCTCTAAAAATATTTTTGTGAGAAGTTTATTAAATATGTAAAAAATGATCTAATATTATTTTTATAATAACAATACAAATAATTTATTTTTAGTATTTTTTTCAAAAATTTATTTTAACAGTAAAAGTTTATTTTTTTAAAAGGAAAATGATTATGCAGAGTTCCTTTATTTATTTACTTTCTTTTAGAAACAATTAATTAGATTTTACTTTGAAAATAGTTATCGAATTTGAGGAAGAATCTAAAGATTGGATTAACATTATAAAGGAATAGTTAATTATATTAATAAATTCATTCAAAATTTAACAAAAATAGTTTTTATATTACCACTTATAACAAAAAATAGTAATCATAAAAAAGAAATAAATATATATATTTAAATATAATAATTATCTAATTATAAGTTAAGAAAAAAATTAAAAATATTTCATCGGTCCACTACAAGAAAATGGGAAAGAAAAATAAAGGAAAGAAATAGGGATAAGATAATAGCGAATAGCATTAGAATGAAGATATAGGCAGCGTGCCAGCCGAACATATAATTAATGATTAGGAAATCTTAGAGAATAGTGCTGTGCTCATTTAGCCAAACTAACATTAGCAAAAGATAATAGAAGAATTGCTTAAAGATGAAGATGGAGAAAATAATAATAAAGAGGAAGATTTAAAAGAAAAGAAACCTGAAGAAGAAACTCAAAACAATAAAGATACTGACTCCCTTTCTGATGTTTAAATCATCTAAAAATAGTCTGATCTTATTGAAGTAGAGGATAAAAATTAAATTTAAGAAACTAATAATCAGCAATTTACAACTCCCTTATCAGATAGCATTCAATAATAATTCAACAGTCAGCAATAAAGCCAAACTTAAAATTTAAATGCTACAGTTGAAATAACTAGCTAGAGTACTCAAGATTAGAGCTAATTATAATAGTAAGAAGAAGTTCGTTTTGTAGTAGATATCTTTGATTAAGCAAGAGCAGGAAACATCTTGCCATGGGCATATGCAGTAGATAATTAATTAATCAACCCACTTTAATTTGATAATGAAGGCTTCCATTTAATACACAGAGCTAGCATGTATAATTAGATAGATGCTGTTCACTCTCTTATTTAAAAGCACAAAGTTCCTGTTGATTTACGAGACAAAACTCATTAATAAACTCCATTAATTATCGCATCTAAATATGGACATTTTAAGCTCATGAAATACCTTGTAGATATGGGAGCTAACGTAAGTGCTTGCGACTCAGATTAGTTTACTCCAGTTTAGAATACTGTTATGAATCGCTTCAAGCTATAAACTATTTATTTAATGAGCAAAGGAGCTGATCTTACAGCTTTAGATTAGCACAATTGCAACATAGCACATCGTGCTGCATTCAACAACGATGTTCCTATGCTTTAGATTATTAACTAAGTTGCTAAAAGTCTATTTGAATAAAAAGATAAGTTTAATCTCGCACCTGTTGGAAGAGCAATAACAAATGATTCACATCAGGCTTTTTAATATCTCTAAAGAACTTCTCCCATTCCTGTTCCAGATAAATTCTACAATACAATGCCAAACAAATGTATGGGTAATATGATTAAGGTAGAATACTAAAAGTAAAATATACCATTTTTTTCTAAGTAATGGCTTTTAAATTGTTATAAGTCACGTCCTAAAGACTTGTGCATATTTATGTATGCAATCATGATTGGTACACTATACTACCATTTTGTGCTACAAACAGGAATTCTTTATCACAAATCAATTCAACACTACTACTTCTGTAATGTCATACATGGCTTGACTGCATTTTTGATGACATATATTTTTATTTTTGTTTTAAAATCCGAATGCCCTTCCCAAAATTTAAAGCTTGGTTTACACAATGGTGTTAAAAATATAAATTTCCGTAAACTTGATATAAGCAAAGTAGATTTTCAACATCTAGATAGACTTTTCGGGTATGGAGGAAAAGACGAGACAGGAGATGAAATTGACGAAGAAGATGATGAATAATTACATTAATAATAAGATAATCGCTTAAATAGTTAGAAAAAATGTTAACCACCAAAACGCACAAGATTAAATTTCTTAGATTATGTAGCAATTTTAGTTGAAAATAATAAATTTTCTGAATTAAAAAAATTTAATGACAATAACGTCTGTTATGAATGCTTAGATATTAAAGAAAATCGTTAACATCACTGTGATAAATTTGGGTTCTGTGTTTAAAATTTCTCACATTTCAGTGTAGTTTTTGATAAATTGATTGTTAGAGGAACAAATAGTGGAAAATATTACTTAATAATATCTCTACAATGGGTACTTTTGGTTCTCTTTTTTGTAGCAAATTATCTTTATTGCTCTACTAAATATAGCTTTTAAGGCTCATTTATTTGGACATTTGCTGAGATTCCATTTATTTACTATAACAATTCAGAATGGAAATATTTAGCAATTTATGCTTTTGCTTGCATATTATACTACTTAGCATCTCTTTATTTCTTCATTGAAACTTTTGGCTTAATAATGAATCTTACCCGTTACGAAATATTTTATCCTAATAGATGCCATTATTTCTATCCAAGCAAAAACATTTAAGAAATTACTTTAGGTAGAGCTTATGGTCCATAAAGTGGCGGCTCTACATTCTTTAAGTATTATGAAAACCCTTATTCCAATTGTAAAAAAAGATAATGATAGGTTTTTTAATCTTATTAAACAATTAATTATAAAATGTTGAAAGTTTGTGGTATTTATTTTGATAATTCTACTCGACCTTTAAATTAATTATTTATTATTTGATTATTTTAAGATACTAGGTAATATTTAGATATAAAACTATTTATTTATTGTGGTATTTTTATTTTGAATTTAACTAATTAATTAATTTCTTACTGCTATTTGCACATACATTTTAGTTAATTAATTTATTAAAAACTAAAATTGAAGTTTTCTTTTATTTGTAAATTATTTTTACAATATTAGACTTAATAAAACGAAAGCTATGAAAATAGTAAAAAATTATTTAGCTCCTTTTAAATAGTAAAAAAATATGTGGTGGCTTGCAAATAGATTTTAATTTTACAAATTTAGAGATTTTAAACAATTATTTATGAGCTTTATAGTTCAATTTTATCAAATAATTCTTCAGTATTTAAAAATAAATTTGATTTTTGTTTGGAAGATAATTTATTTAAGTAGTAAAATAAAACAAAATTTATTTGTTTTTGAAATCTTCACTTTTCCCTTACTCATACAAAAATATTATTTATTTGACTTATCAAATATATTATTTTTAGATTTTAGTACTTATATTTAAGATATGTTATTTCCAATAGTTTTCTTTTTTAGTGATTAAATAAATAAATTAGATTTTAGTTTTGAAAAAAGAATAAACTGAAAAGTGTAAATTGAGCAGAAGTAAGATTTTTTAATTTAGAAATTACAAAAAAATTTGAATGATATTTTCCTTTTTCTTTATATTTTTATTTTTAAAAAGATTTATTTAAATTTTCTATTGATTTAAAAAATGTTTTGCATTTGTATAAAATTTTTAAATAATTATAAATATTTGTTAATATTAATTTGGAGGAAATTTTAATTTAGAATAACATTTTATCATTTAAAAATAAATTAAAAAAATTATTTAAATTAAAAATTAAATTATTCTGATTATTTATATATTTTTATTTAAATAAAAATTTAACACTTAATTGTAAAAAAAATTACTTTAAAATTTAAAAAATTAAATAGAATGTTTTAATAAAAATTTAGCATTACAATACTAAAATAAGTTAGCTTTTAATATCTGTTTTTATGACTTTTCCATTTAGTATTTTTCTTTTTTTTTAATTATTATGTGGACGATTTTTATTTTTTTAGAATTTTTTTTGATGTCATTTTCATATTTATTTATTTATTTATTTATTTATTTATTTATTTATTTATTTATTTATTCATTTGCTTTTATTGAATTTAAGAAGATTACTTGATATAATTAAACATACATTAAAATGTTTAATAATATATAACTATAGTGAGTGAAATAATCACTTATTTGAATTTTTGGATTTAAATATGATGTAATATCAAAAAATAAAACTTATGTAATACTATTATAAAATGAAATATATATGTTATGAACACATAGATTTAAATAAAATTAATTATACATTTCAAATTTATTTATAAATATATGTGAAAGTGTTGGTCAGTATTAAGTTAATCATTTCTTATCCTTCTTAAGAATGGGAGTCTATTTTATTTTAATAAGTAATTGTTTAAATATATTAGCTAAATTTAATTTAAATAATTATTTACATCGAGGAGAGCCTTAATTTTTTCATCAGTAATGGTGTTTTCGGGTTTGAAGCCAGCAAGATCAAGAGGAAGACCGGAGAGGATGAGGGTTTACTTGGGCATGATAGCAACAGTGTATTTGAAGTGAGCAACGTATTCACCCTTCTTTTCAGTGAGAACGGGGTAACCGTTGAGTAAGTCGTGCTTAAGGCATTCAGAAACACCCAACTTAGTGGAGATTTCGTCTTCGAAGTTTCTGGTGGAGAAGCAGAGAGCGGGGAACTTTTCGCAAAGGGTGTGGAAGAAAGCTCTACCGTGCTTGGTCTTCAAGTTGTAAGCTCTTTCTAAAGCTCTCTTGTAGACGGTGGTTCTTAATTCGGTTTCCTTGGTCTTACCTTCACCAGTAGAAACGAAGATATCGATAGCAAAGACTTCGTGGACAGCGTATTCGTGTTCTTCAACTCTTTGGTCGAAAGTTTCCTTGTTTAAGATAACGTTGTTACCGTCTATCAAGTACTTGTTTAAGTCGTGGGACAAGACACCTTCAATAGCATTGCACTTGAAAGATTCGATGGTCTTGGAAATAACTTCAGTGGTCTAATTAAATTAAATAAATTAAAATTAGAAATATTGTTTATAAAATTATCTATTCAAAAATGTAAAAACTAATGAATGAATGATAGCTTGCTTATTTGCTTTTAATAAAATATTTAAGTTTTGATTCAAAAATTTTTATTTATCATTTTATTTGTTTGTATTGATTTTAATTAATTAGGGTTTTTTTTTAATTGATTAGAGTTATTTGCTTTGCTAGCTATTAGAAATATATTTTGGTGGGCTCGATAAATTAATCAGTCAATAAGCTAGTCTGTTATTTATTATATGGCTATTTTTATTTTGCTTAACTTTTTTTTAATCTTTTTTGTTTGATTTCTTAATTGTGCTATTGTTAACTCTACTTCACTAATTCTACACTTTTTTTATTCAGTTTTTTTTGTAAGCCTTAAAGTAAATAAATAACTTGCTGCTTGGTTACATTTCAAGAAAGTCTTTTAAAATGCTTAGTGTTTTTTACTATTTTTTAATAATAGATAAAGAAAGAAACTATTTATTTGGTATCTAAGAATAGAGATTATACCTTCTATTTAATTTTATTTTAATTTATTCTTTCTTTATTTTCATATCAGAGAATATTAGGAAGAATTATTACTAACTAACTAACTAATTTGCTTTTAAAATTTTTATGTTTTTTTATCTAAGATGTAAAACTAGAAACTACTTAAGTGGCAGCAAGCAAATTGTTACTGAAAATTTCTCTGTAAGATAGGCGTTTTTTAAATAAATTAATATTTATTTTGTCAGTTTATTAACTGAACATCAGAGAACTAACTATTTGAAATTAGCCTAGTGGTAGAATTATTTTATATTATTTAAATACTATGTATTTTATAATTTTGTTGTGTCATAAATCACTTAAAGATTTATTTTGTTTTACCCTTCAGCTATCAAAAATGGATTTACATTTCGAATATCTAATGGAATGCTATTTCATTTTAATAAAAATATTACTTCAGTGTTCTTGGAACCGGGCTTGACGGTTCTGAGAGCAGCTTGGAGGGCTTAGTAAGCAGCAACGACGACGTCAGCCTTTCTACCTTCAACGGGGGCAGCCTTATCAGCCTTAGCAACAACAGTGTGAGCAGCTAAAGCGATGAAACCGTCAATATGGGCACCTAAGTCACTATTATTATAAAATATTGTTTATTATAGTTTAGAGAAATTGATTAATATTTTTTACATCTTGACGACATCACCTTCCTTGATGATGGCGAATTCCTTTTCCTTATCTTCAGAGTCGGAGACGAGGGGAGAGTAGTGACCAGCAATTTCGTTAACGGAAATGCAAACGGGGAAAGCGGGTCCCTTTTCGAGTTTCTTCTTGGTGTATTGCTTGGCCAACTAAAAAATAAAAAAAATATATTAATTTTTATATATGTGCTAGGTAAAGATATAAATTTGGAATCAAATATGTAATTTATAGCTAATTCTACTTGAAAGTATGAATATTTAAATGGGGAAGATTACAAACTTTTAGTTTTATTAGCTAAATTACTAACTTCAAATTTTATGTTTAGATTCCTATTTTTGGTTTTTTTTTTTAAGGCTACATGTTAAGTAGCAATGATTAGGACAAAATAATCAAATAATTACTTCAGAGTCGATGAGCTTGTCACCAAAGTCGCAAATATCAACAACCTTAGCACCAGGAACGACCTTTTCAATGACCTTTTCTAAGACAACTATTTTTAGAAAAATAAAAGGATTAGTTAAAAAGTAGCGATAGATTCAAATTATTTAGATTCTATAAAAGTAGAATAGGGTTAACAAAGAGAAATTCATATTGAGTATGAATTTTGGAAATTAAAGGCAATCATTTCTGAAAAACTGAATGTAGTTTCTTATTTCAGATTTGACTCCTCTGAATCAGCAAATAAAGAAATAAGCTTACAGTTGGCGACCTTGCCTGCAGCTTGGTACTTATCGAGGACACCGGGGGTGGCGAGGGTTTCTTCCTTTTGATCTTCGTAATCCATTTTTACTCTTTCTTAAGTTTAATTTCTTTTTTCTTTTTAATATTTTTTGTTTTATTTTTTTTAATTCCTTTAAATTTGTTTCGATTATCAAGGTTGATAATTATTTTTATGCTGAATCTGCTTTAGTCTTTACCTTGAGTTTTTGTTAATAAATTTATTCTTAATCCTATTGATTAACAGGCATTCCCATTGACAAAAATCCAATCATGCATGCAAGCAAATTTTACTAACCTTTTTTAGTGTGTGTACCTAGTAGTTAGCTATCTAACTATCTATCTACATACATACATTCATTATAAATATATAGCTATTCAATCATTCATTCATTCTTAAAGGATAATAATAAATAATCTTATTTATGTATTAAAAATAAATAGATAAAAAACTTGTTTGATTGCTAATAATTTATTTATTTGCTTTTTCATTCATTTATTTACAAAAATCTTCTTTCTTTAGCTTTTTCTTTTGCTTTTTAATATTTGGATTATCTCTTACCTTCATATTTGTTTTATTTAAGATTATTCTATATTAAATTCATCTACCTATGCAGAAGGTATTTTATATTCCATCAAGGCAGTGCTCAAACTGTAAATAATATTATAGGATGTTAATTATATTTTGATTGTCTTTCTACTTGAAGAATTGTAATACTACCTAAGTATGTTTTTTTTTTATTTTGTATAACAAAACAAATTTGTTTTTTGCTTTTTTTCAAATTTATTATGATTGAAAGTGATGTAATAATAAATTTTATTTTACTGCAATAAAATTATATATATAAATTCTCTTTCTAATAAAAGAAAGGTTTAGATCCGAAATTCATATTTCATATTAATTTTGTTTTCTATTTACATTTTATACTTAAATAAGAAATAATAATTTTAAAATGCAAATACTTGCTATGACTATGAGTGAAATATATCTGTGCAAGCATGTAAATGCAAAATTAAACCCGCTTTTAGTCTTTTTTATGTTTGATTTAATAGTAATATGAAGATTAGCTTATTTTACTCCAGTAGAATTATAGCTTTGCAAATTTAATTTTTATATAAATTTAAATTCTCCTTAGCATATTTGAAAGAAAATTAACAATTGAAAAGGAAAGTATAGAATAATATTAACAAATAAACCTAACTAATTTGAAATAAAATAAATTCCTACCACTGAATTAAGTTTTAAATTTGGGTATGGTTTAGCTAAATTAATAAGCAAATACTTTGCAAATAAGGATGTGTGTAATTACTATTACTGTTATCAAGATGGTTTTTTGATTATTTGAATACAAATAATTGCTTTTTTAGGTTTTTAAAGTGAAAATAAAGATTTTGTATTTATATATCTAAGTGATAAACATTATAAAATAATCTCGTTTGAGCAAATAAATAAAATAATTATGATTAAATTTAAGCAAATATTGTTAAATTCTCATATTATTTAATATTTATATTATTTTTCCTCTAAGGTGCTTAAAATTATAGATGGATTTGTTTAAAAATAAATGGATAATAACATCTTTTCTTTTTAATAAATAAGATAATTCTTACTACATAAATTTACTAATTATTTAGGAATAATATCATAAACTAATATTATTACAAATTAAATATTTTTAATTTAATTTTACAATCTTTAGATATTAATGAGCGAGTGAGTGAGTTAATTCATTTATTCATAACAAACTTGAAATATTTATCTTGTACTATATGTCATAAACTTTAAAAAAGATATTTATAATAAATTGATTCAATATAAAATATATACAATTCAAATCAAACAAAAAATTAGTTTAACTAAATTTCAAATAACTATTTATTACATTTATGTCAAATATTTTACCAAATTTTTAACATAAAATAAATCTCTAACATTTTTCTTATATTGAAAGCATTTTATCTACTATATTTGAGTCATAAATCAAAAGCTTGCTTGCTTGCATTTTAAAATATTTTGATAAAAATTTTATTTTAAATCGAAGAGTTTCGACATTTAAAAAATTTCAAATATCGATCAATCGATATATCAAACCCATCATTAATTTGTTATCATTGAGTTTCTTCATTTTGGGAATTAATAGATTATTCATTTTGGGCGTTATTTTATTAGGTTTATGAATCATCATCTTAGTTTTGATGGTTAGTTGGGCTTTTAGAAGAATTTTATTCTTAGCTACCGTCTGCTTCTTAAAACTCCTTTATCTACATGTATTTATTTTTTAATTGATCGTAATCTTATAAGGTTACCAAAATACAAGTCATATTATCACATCCACAGCCATCTATTTTAAAACAAAAAATTAATATTTTCAAATTTATAAAAAGTTAAGCTAATTCTTCTCAATTTCAAAGATGCTTTATAAATCGTATTCAATAAATAAAACTAATTATTGATTTTATTTATTACTTAACATATCTGGAGCTAGCAATAAATCTAATAATTATTCAACTATTTTATCGCATGATACTCCTAAAGCTATTTATTAGCGAATATATTTAATAATTTCTTCATCACTAAGGGTTTCCCAAATTCCATCACACCCTATAAGAATAAACTCATCGTCTGGGGTTATTTTATGGATAGTAACATCTGGCTTTGCTATAATAAGTTATTTATCCTATGGAATTTAAAAATTTTTTTTATATTGCAAATCTCCAAGAGCTCTTGATAGATTCAAATTTCCGTTTACTCTTCCATTCTGCACATCTCCTCCAGCTTCTCTAATTCTTTAGTACTCTTTCATATTATCTGGCTTATGGTCTTCGCTAAGTCTCTTTGGGATTCCGTTTTGGCTTAATACTTTATATTAATCAACATTTTATTTTTAAAAATGAACGCATATCAATTAATTAATTAATAGATAGATAGACAGAAAGATATATTAGATTTTTTTTAATGAAAATATTCAAATTTTTTTAAAATTATCAATTTTAAAAAATACTTAATTGTTATTTAATAGTAGCTAACTAATTTATAGTATTTTTTATTGAAGGCTAATAATTAATTTGAGTGCTTAGTTAGCTACATAATCAATTTTGAAGTAAAGCAAAAATAAACATTATTATTCTATCTATCTATTTATCAATCAATTAATAAATTAATCAATCGAATAGCAATTGAATTATACGTGTTCTTGAATCACCAGCATTTGCGATGTACATTGTATTTTCATGAATTAATACTACATTAGCTGTACATCCTGCAGTTGTATCTGTTTTAGATTTATCCTTCATTATATCTCGGAGTTGAGCCTTGCCTTCTTCGCTGCGAAGTAATTCGTCCATCTTCATAAAGTTTTAAATAAGTGCATTTGTAAAGTCTTTTTGCTAAAACTCAGTATTGTTTAGCAATTACTCAGAAAAATTCTTTTGAACAAAAGAAGATACTTCTTACCCTTTTATATAATTATTTAATTTAGTTGTTTAAACAAAATCCTTTTGCATTTTTATTCAAGCCATAATTATAAAATTTATTGAATAACATTAACTTCTTTCTTATTTATTATGCAATAAGCTTGAAATAATATGAACTGATTGTCTTCATATTTATTTACTATAAAAAATTCCTTATTCCAAAAACACTTTATTCTAGCTATTAGAGATAACTTTTATTTAAAATCAATTCACAATAAATATTTTATGGTAAAAATACCTCCGTGACCATCAAAAACGCCATAAAGTTGAATTCCATTATCAAGATTAGGACAACAAATATCAGCATCTTCCATACTAACTCTCCAACCTAGATATTTAAAACATAAAAATAAAATAATGTTTAAAGCATTGAATAATTTATTATGCTTTTTTCAATAAAATATTTTATTTGAGTTGTTCATTAGAAATTAAAAAAAGCATCCATAGTAAAAAATAGCAAAAAATTAATTGGTATTTAAAAAGTTGAATAGATAAATTGATCTAATTAATTTGATCAAGGTCTTTAGGATGAGTAAAAATAACAAAAATATTTGATTACCTTGCATTGAAGAAGCTGCATATACAAATCCGTTACCCTATCCTACTACTGTAGTCTTTTCTCGCTTAGGAGCAGATAAATAAACACCCATTATACTTGCTAATATATCTACTAAAAGTAATTTATATGTACTGAAATTAATAAACAGAGTTAAATTATTTATTATTCACTATTCTTTTTAATTAATATAAATTGTTATTCTTAATTTAATATCTATTAATTTTTAACTAAATCTTATAAAAAATCAGTCAGGTATATTTGCAAATTATGTGCAATCAATTCTTTTTTGAAATAATCCTAATCTCTCTTGTGCGACTTATTATGCATTTAAAAGCCATTTATTGATTAGGTATCAAAAAAAACCAACTAAAAATATCTAACTTTTGCGCACAAATAAAATATAGTTTTTGCAAAACGAGATATTTTTATTATTTTAATAAAATATGCTCGAAATAATTATACATACACTACAGTAAATGGATTTTGTTTCCAAATCAAATATTTTAAAACTTTGAAGGAAAAAAAAAAATTATATTTCAATAAAAACAAAACTTATTTGAATTTTTTTCACATTAAATTCTAAACATTTTAAATAATTTTCTAAGTACTAATTAATTTTTTATAGATTTTCAATTAATTTAAATTTTACCTCCCTTTTGATTTAAAAAAAAATAATTTACAATCTATAAAATCATATAAAATTTTCAATTTTTTTCATATTAAATTACAAAATAATTATATGAAATGCTTTTCAATTTTTAGTAAATACTTTTAATTAATTCATTTAATTTTATTACTTTATGCATTCAAAAATATCAATTTTTATCAATAAAAGTAGATCTTTTTTTAATTTTTTTCAATTATAAATATTAGTTAATGATATTTCTTGATAATTTTAATTAATTTAATTTTTACTACCTTGATAACATTAAGTTAATATCTAATGATTATTTTTTATATTTAAATGATTTTAATCACTTGATTCAAAAGAGATCTTCCTTAGGACTGTAAGACTCTGGAATTAAATGAGAAATTTTTTCTTTTTTCATCCAAGGATAGTTACCTTTAAATACTGTTTTTTCTACAAGAGGAACAAATAAATTTTTAACATATTAATTAAACTCTTCATCAAATTACATCTAAGCTAGTTAACAAAGCTATTTCTAATACTCATATTCATCCTATCCTTTAAAATGAGATACTCTAAAAAAATCTCTTCCATCTTTAAAGTTCTACTACGATTTTAGGAAATCTTATTCATAATCTTTTAGCATTTCTTCTTATGAAGGTAAACTAATTATTTTATCAATAAATCTTTAAGCACAAATCGCTTACCTTTCAAACATTTACTAGATTGTTGCAGTATTAAAAGTCATTCCCAAAAATATTAAGTTTGGTTCTCTAACAGAGAACAATCTTTTATATAAAGGACCAAAACAGTTTTTTCTATCATTCTCCTCCATAAATTCAATAAGGTTATCATTTGAATTTTCTAAGAATGGAAAGCAGTACTAATATCCTGTAGCAAACATTAAAATATCAATATTTTCAACATATTCTCCAGATTCTAAGATTAATGATTTTTCACTTACAAAACTTTTCACATCAGTAGCAGCCAAAGCTAGCTTCTTATTTATTATCTCCTCCTTATAAGCTTCTGATTATCTGAAAGTATCTATAATTCCTTTATTTGCTATCAAAGTTATTTTTTAAGGATTCTGAGATGGGTCAGTCTATTTTAATATAATACAGAGCAAATCTTATGCTGATTAGTTCCCTCCATAAATAACAAGATGTTTATTTATGAATTTTTAAAGATAATTCTATCTAAAGTAGTGGCTGTGATATTTTTCGCCTTAGAATAATTCAAAATTTAATATTTTTGGATAGTTAGGAACCTAATTTAAAATATTTAAATTTTTTTAATATTTCGTTTTTTCAAAAATGATATTATTTTGTAATAAATATTTATTGAACTTTAAATAAATATTTATTAACTATAAAAATGTTTAAGTGAAATTATTCAAAATACAATATTCATATCTATATATCTAGATCAGTTTATTAATACGATAAATCAAAAAATATCTTAATTAAGTTAGTTTTATAGCAATAATAAAGGAAATTCAAAAGTTAATAAAATAATATAAAATTTTAATAAAATTACCGAGCAGTGACCTGTTGCGACAATAACATTGTCTGCCTATAAGTAACGCACATTTTTTTTATAATCACTTGAGTCTTTAATCTCGACTAAAAATCTTTTTGTTAATAGTTATCCTGTATTCTTTTTTTCTTCATCACTCAACTTTTCTATGAGCCTGACAGATGATACAAAAGTATTGAAAAGCATATTTTTTTTAAGTTGATGATGGGCGCAATAATCTTAAAGATATTCGTAAAATTCTTCTGCTTTCATAAATTCTTAATACTCAGACTTAGTTGGAAAGCCCTTGAATGTCATTTAAAATTTTGGTAAGTTTGCTTAAAGATTTTCATAGAGAGAACTACACAATACTCCATAATAATGATAAAACGCAGTTTATTGTAAATTTGGATGATTTTCTTCATTGTATTTATCAAAGTACCATTACCCTCCTATATCTTCTCTATTATCAATACAAATAACGTTATTATTTTTTTATAAATACTTCGTAGCAAGGATTCCTGAAGGACCACAGCCAATGATTAAAACACTGTTTTTATCATAGCTATTTTTATAAATTTTTTCAATATTTTATTCCATTTTTGATATTTATTTTTATATTACCAATTAAATCGTAAATCAAATTTTTTATGTTTTAATATTATTGAAATTAAACAAAATATTTGTTGATGTTAAACCATAAAAAAATGAAATTTTAATTCTTTACATTGAAAAAGATATATTTTTACCTTTTTTTTAATATAATAATTGGTAATTTTATTTTTTGTTTAAATGTATTCTTAAAGATATACGATCTCATTAAATATTTTGTGTAAATAAGTTATTTGCACCTTTAAACACTTTGTAAATATAATTTGTAACTTTTATCGATAAAAATGATTAAATATATTACATTTTATTTCAGTTTTCATTTTTATCTTACTATATAACAATTTTAAGCTAAATTAAAAAAAATATAAATAATGCAAATAAAAATAAGTTAATTTAGATGTATTTCATTTGATAATATTTCAAAAATAGTCATATTTTAGAAAATAACCTTGGAGGTAATTGAGAACTGACATTACTTTATTTCAAGTCAGGATAATTTTCTAAAAATGCATTTATGTAGAGAGAAGCAAAATTTTAAGTAAATATCCATAATACTCTTCATTACTTGGTATTTCTCATAAGTTTGCAATTTAAATCTCTAAAAAATGTAAATTCATCAATATCTCTGGGCTAATAGAATTTAATATATTTTTTTCCATCATTGTAAAAACTCAAGTCTTCTTAGTAATTTTTATTAAAATCTTCTTCTTTAATTTATTATGTAGGTAATTTAATTTCATCTAAAATTATTTTAGAAACTAAAATTGCTTATCTTTCAACCCCTTATTATGATGAGAGGAATTATTAGAGTATTTCAACAAATATTAGATTTGATTCTCTGATTTTGAATTTTATTAAGTATAAAGGCCCAAAGCTGTAATTAGCTCCTCTCTTCTAATAAAAATCAATTAATTAATCTTTCTAATAATCTAAGAAAGGAAGCAAACATATCAATACCCTGTCGCATACATAAATATATTTAAGGGTTTTTTTATTAGAGCAGTAGAGTTATCAGACTACAATTATTTTATGTAGGGACTTAAAAATTTTAGAATACTGATTTCAACTTCTTTTAGATAGCTTTTAGTTTTTCATAGTAATTTAATGCCTTTCTTCTTCTGTAGTTTTTTTTACCAAAATATAAACAATATCTTAAGATAAAATGCCACAACAATAGACGACTAAGTGTTTATTCTAAAAGATATTTGTTTAATTTACTCTATAATTATCTAAGAATTGAATAAATTTTTATTAGAAATATCTGAATAATTTTATTTAAAGATATTCTGTTAAATTAATTAAAATAAATTTAATATACTGAAAAATGGCCAACAAGAAAAACGTAATCTGCTTTTTAAAACCTTACAATTTTATTGCATTAAAAATTTAAATTCCAAAAAGTAAGTTTTTTTACAAATATAAATCATTAAATAATATTTAAATATAAAGTTTTGAAAAATAGTGTGAAAGATTCATAAATTTTTTTTGTATCTGTCACATTTTGCTCTTGCTACAATATTAATTATAGACATTTAAATAAAATAAGTAATTTCTATAAAAGTTAAAAAAATTTTTAATGATTATTTGAAATTTATTAACCTATTAATCGAAATAATAAAATATATAACTATAAATTCAAAATATATATTTTACTAAATAGGTTTCCTTGCTGTTTCTTGCTGAATTCATTAAAATTATCAAAAAAATAAAAAATAACCTTATTTTTTATTTAATTTAACTAATACTATTTAAACTGAACAGTTTAATACAAATAATTTTTTAATAATATTAGTATATTCATCATAAGCATCTTTTACCCTAATTTTTAAATAAATTATATTTTTACAATCATACTCTATATTTTTATGCAAAGATATTTAAGATTATTCATTTTAAAGTACTAAAATAAATATAACATAGATATTTTTTTATTAATTCAAATTAATATTGATTAATACAAAAAATCACAAAAAGAATCCATAATTATGTTATTATTATTAAATTTAACCCTATTAATAATTATCCGTATGGCAAAAAACAGTTAAATCAACTAATCTAACTAGTTTGCGTGCTTAATTTTAGACATGTTTCAAATTTATGTTATCTCTTGTAAGACTTATTTCTAGTGAATTGATATTCTTACAATTGTTAATCTATTTTATGAGATTGTTGATATTAAAAATACCGTAAAAGATTAAACTTAAGCTTAAAATGGACTGGCTTAACATAAAAAAATTGGTTTATGTATTAAAATTATCATAATAAAAATGTAATTTTAATATTTTTAAATTCTATAGAGTCTAAAATAAGCTTAGACCTATGTTATATCTATTATAGCCTTAGAAGTTAGTAAACCCTACTTCAATTAGCAGTTTTTCATTTAACTAAATTTCATAATTATACTTCAAATCTGAAAAATTTTTATCCTGTATTTCTAAATATTGAGGATGTTACTACAAGTAACCATTCAAATTTTAAAAACCATTTTTAGGCAACTCTCTGTTAAGCTAATTTAGTTTATCTTTATTTTCTTCTTGTTCAAGTTTAAAATAAATATCTGATTAAAACATTTCTGCCGAAAATATATTTGACTTGTTCTTATTTAAAAAATCAATAACAAATTTCAGTTATTACTTTATTTATTCTTTATTATTAAATTTGAATTAGTAATGTAATTAATTCATATAATCAGCTTTTCCAGCAATGCTTATTTTTAAATAATTGTTCGCTTACTTGTTTAAATCGATAACATGGACTAATTAATCTAACATTTTTCTTATATTAAGATATTGATTAAATAAGGTTTGCTAATTTTTTACTGAATCAGAAAAAATTAAATTTAAAAAATTACAAATTTCTGAAAATAATTTTTCTTAAATTGTGCTTTTATAAAAATCATAAATACTTTTATATTCAAAATATTATTCCTATTTTTTAAGACATTCAGAAACGATTTTATTGTAATTTTATTAATAGTCTTAAAGGCTTATATATTCTATATTAGACTCAACAAAATTAATATTTGCGCCTATTTGAAGTTCATATCTTATCAAAATCTCAGAAGGATTTATCTAATTAATTTTGATACCATATTTTGTAAAGAGATCAAAGCTTAATTCTATTAGGAAAGATATAAAATGAACAGTATTAACTTGTTCATTTATACTTTCATACCTATTTGTAATGTATTGATTATGATTAATTGACAAATGTAATTAATTCAAAGTACTGAAATGATTCTTTTTTATATCTTAGTGTTCTATCAAAACGTAGTAATTAGAATTAAACCCATAAGCTGTAGCGCTAATAAAATTAGTCTTGACTTTACTATTAAGCGAGTTAAGCAATAGTAATTTATTTTACTCAAATTCTAACATTTAAGCTTCTTATATTGATTACTATTTTAATGCTTCCAATGTTATTTTTTGGCCTCCCTTTGTTAGCTTTAATTCAAATGACTATTTCGAGCATTTACAGATTTCAAAGTTATCATATTTAGGGTGGGAACAAATAGCTTCAAATATTTCTTAGCAATGAAAGTTAAATATTTTTTGTTGTTTATTTTGTATTTATCCTATTAAGTTTTATTTTTTTATTGGTGTTAGGCAATCTTTACTATATTCAGTAATTAGTTCTTCAAGTTTTGTTCTAGAAATTTGTTTCATTTTACCAAGTCCTTCTGTATCGTTGTATAACAAGAATTGTAATTTTTACTCTTATTTTTCAAATTTATTCAATTATTAACTACGGTAATATTAAATATTGTCATCAAAACGTAAACAAAAAATTTCTTTTGAAAATTCGAACAAATTAAGCTTAACTTAAATTGATTTTTCATTTTTAATATCTAAATAGATACTTGGTTTTATTTCTCTGTCTAGTTTCTCAATTTTTAAAAAAGTAAATAAACGCTGCTACAATTCATTTGCTATGCTTTCAATAACTTTTTAAGATATTTAGAGTTTATTTAATAAAATATCAGGAGTAAAATCAAACCACTCTGTTTCAAATATAAATATGTTCTATTCTTCATCTAAATAGTAAGAATCTAAGAGATTTAAAATTATGTCACTCCCTAATAACTAATCAAAGACTCTACGGAAATTTAAAATATTTTGATTCATAATCACTAAAAGTTTTTTTATTTTAAGTTCTTTATCGAATACTTTCAGATATTTTAGTCTGTGATAGTTATCAAATAATCCTTTTGTAGATTGAATGCTTTCAAATTCTTCATAATCCTCATCGTATTAATTAGCATCACCCAAGTAATTAAAATTTATTTCATAATTATCTTTATTATATTTTTTTTAAAATTGTTCATCTTCTTGTTAATCACTATCGTAATCGCTTTTATCATAATCATTATCTTTTTTATCGTTGTTACTATCTTCATCCTCAAAAGACTTTGTTTGATTATTTCCTTTATTTTATATAAGTTTATTGATTTTGATAATCCTAATAATCTCTTTTACCTTTTTAGTCTTGATAAAACAAATTTTGATCACCATCACCATCCTAATCTTCAAAATTTTATTTCAATTGGTTATTTTTAGACCATTCTTTATTTTCAAGCTTACCTATTATGATATATTTAATTAAAATTTATTTCATAATTATCTTAATTACTATTTTTTAATTTTTCATCTTCTTGTTAATCACTATCGTAATCGCTTTTATCATAATCATAATCATTATCTTTTTTATCGTTGTTACTATCTTCATCTTCAAAAGACATTGTTTGATTATTTCCTTTATTTTATATAAGTTTATTGATTTTGATAATCCTAATAATCTCTTTTACCTTTTTAGTCTTGACTAAACAAATTTTGATCATCATTGCCATCCTAATCATCAAAATTATATTTCAATTGTTAATTTTTAGACAATTATTCATCTTCATGCTTATCTAGTAAGATATAATGAGGTTTTTTAGCGCTTAAATACACTTTTATTAGTTTACCATAGATATTTATAGCTTCTTAAAATAATTCTAAATAATAATAACCATAACCCATTTAAATTAAATTTTGGATTTATGTATCTATAAATTTTTTAGTTATTTATTTTTTATTCAGAATTACTAAATTATTTTGCTTCAAAATTTAAATCACATAAGAAAACTATTTGGATATAAAAGAAAATATAAAAAATTTATATTAGTTAAATTATTTCTTTTATTATTAAAAAATGTTTTTACTATAAAATCTGAGAGATTTTACCGCAAAAAATTATATTTTGTTACTTTTAAACTTTTTAAATATATTATTTCAATTTATCATTTTTTTGACCAGCTTAATTTTATTATGAATTAATTTTTATATCGTTTAAATTAAAGAAATTATTTTAGTTAGTATTTATTGTGTTGAAGTAAATTTACTTACTTAAAACTAAAAGGAAAAGAATTTTAGTATTTATTGTAGAAGTCATTCAATTTAGATTTTTAAAAATTTATTTATTTATTTGTTCTTTTTCATTGACATTTAGATATATATTTACCTTAAATCTTTCGCCAGGGCCAGGGAAAGTTTTTAAAAATAAATTTTGGGAAAAAAGGTAAACAAAAAAATTTATCTGATAAATATATACCTAGGAGTATAAAAAAAAAAATTAATAATCTACCCTGACTTAATTTTGATTGTTAAATATGAATTTCTTAATATTTTTTTCAAAAACTAATATTCCTCAAAAGTTTGAAGCCTCATTTGATAGGGTTAAAAATCTAAACTAAAACTTCACAGGAAAATTATTTGGAGATAAAAGAACATATAGACAAATTATATCTAAAAATTAAATTATTTCTTTTATTATTAAAACATTGTTTTCAATAAAATCTGAGAGAATTATTTTACCGCGAAAAATTATGCTTTGTTATTTTTAAATTTAAAAAAAAACTTTAAATAAAAAAAATTAATTTATTTATGAATTCATTTATATTTTATTAATATTCTTTAAATTAAAAAAAACTATTTTAGTATTTATTGTGTTGAAGTTAATTTACTCACTTAAAAGAGGAAAAGAATATTAGTATTTATTGTAGAAGTCATTCAATTTAGATTTTTAAAAAGTATTTCTTATTTATTTATTTGTTCTTTTTCACTCACATTTAGATATATATATATATTTACCTTAAAAATCTAAACTAAAACTTCACAGGAAAATTGATTAGATATAAAAGAACATATAAATAATTTATAATTGTTTGATTTAATTCATTTTGTTTATACCAAAATTTCGGAATAAATTTATGAGTTTAAGAGAGTTTATTTAAAAAAAGAGTATGCTCAATTTTTATAATTTAATTGAATAAATTTTCAATTAAAAAAATATTTTAACGTATCTTGTGAGAAATTTTATTTGAGGAATTATTGTTAATTATTAATTTAAATGAAGAAATCAATTTTTAGATTTTATTGAGGAAGCTGAAACTACTAAGTTGCTGATATTATTTCTGTCTAATATCTAATTATTCTGATTGTTTTAAAGAAAATTGCTATAGCTGATTGATTTATCTAATTGAACTTAATTTTCATAAAGCTCTCTAATACTTTTTTAGTTTCTCATAACATAATTCTATGTTTTAGAAACATAAACTTTTTTTACTATACTGTTTTTATTTCTGGGACTTATTTTTGCTTCATTTGCTGTTTGCTAATAAAATTATTGGTATGGAGATTTATCTCGATTATTCATAGAAGTTAAATTATCTTTTTATTTTTAAGGGATGAAAGGACTAAGTGTTCTATTTTTTCTTTCCATCTAATTGGCTTGTAAATTATTTTATTAAGATAAATTAGCTCTGACAGAATCTAAATTTGATTACTCATTATTTATTATTAATACTTGCAATCTTCTTTAAAATTCTTATCTTGAACAAGGTGGCGATAAACTACGGTGGATCCTTGTCTAAAATTAATTTCTTTAAGCCTACAAATCGTGAAAGTATTATTATGATTTTAAGAACGAAAAAGTAGTATTCAACTACTGCTTTTACTAAAGCGTACTTGATATAACCATTTTAGCTTAATTAATATTACTTTTGTCACTTAAATAGCTATTATTTTACTTTATATTTTATAAAGGATAAGCTTTTCCTAAATCTTTATGAATTTTCTATGCCTAATCATTACTGCTTTAATTTTTTTTCACTTTTTTATTCCTATCAACCATTTTCAGATATAAGTCATCATTTCTCTAATACCCTTTATCAATTTGTTCAAACTATTATCTTGACTGTCTTATTGGGGATGGAGAACCAAAAGAAGAATGAGTTTAATTTTGACTATTAAAAAAATTATAATTTTTAGTTGTATTCAAAGAATTTGCCATTTTAGCCTTTTGTTTACTAGCTTCACTTTTTTATATTTTAAAATTAACTCCTTAAATACTTACACCATTTTAAATTTTCTGTACTCTTATATTGAATTTTTGATCTATTTTTTTTAATATGTGACTCACAAGTTGAGTATTCACTAGAGCAATAATACAATCACAACCAGCAATTGCAGTATAGGAGTAAAACTTCTTTTTTTTTATTGAAAAATTTTAAATTGATTCTTCTCCAAAAAGATTTCCTTCATAAACTAAACCTTAATACTTGCCAAATTAATGGCCATAAGACATTAACTCTCTCTTTGTTTATTCTGTAATAGACTAAATATATAATTGAGCATGATCAATATTTTTATTTTGTAGATCTTATTCAGAAGTAATATTTGTTTGATTTTATTTTTTGAATATTTATTTATTTGGGCATTAAGAAATATTTGCATTATTTATTTCTTCTACTTTACTTTTTTAGATACTACTGTTAGATGTGGTATTACTTTTAGCAGTTTATTCAAATTAATTATTTTTTACTTAAAGAGTATGCATTAGATTCATCTATGTATCCTAATCTTATATTACTGCTGATTAAGTCATTAGAGGATTTTAAGTTTTTTGATAGTTAGAAAAATTGTTTTCTCCTTAAATGCTCTTCTCAACAAATTAATTTTATTTTTATCTTTATGGATTATTTATTTTAAATTGGCGAATAAGAGAATCAAAGTATTCTTTTCTATTAAGTTTATCGCCTTATTTTGAAAGAATAATTATCTAACCCTTAAGAACTAAATAGCTATAACCATCTATTTCTTAATTCTCTGTAAATATAACCTGTGCTTTAGGTATGCGCACTGCTTCTAAACTCTCTAAAAAATCTTTACTCATTTTCATGGAACTATATTGAAACATATTTTTAAACAATTCCACTTTTTCTAACTAAAACATTAAATAATCTAGATCTGCTTCATTTTTTGTTTATTTTCTGACTAATCTCTCAGCAATATCATTCATATTAAGCAATTTAATTGATAACTCCAAAAGTATCCCTTATATCAATTATTACAAAGCTTGGCAGTTAGATTGGTGCAAATTATGGCTTTTTAGCTGTCAAAGAAGCAAAACCTATTTGATGAAAAATAGTAATTACTTTTGGCCTTTAAGTTATCAAGTAAATTTCAATACAAATAATACTAAATTCTACCTCTCTACCTACACCTTTAAAAATTGTTAATCAAATTTAATTACTTTTAATTTAAACTATTTATATTAAACTAACTGGATTTATTATAAAATCTCTACTTTTTGATTTATTTAACTCAAACCCCATATAAATTATCAGTCAACCCTTATTATTAAATTATTATAGAAGAAGCTTTTGTAATCTACTTCAAATTTAAAAAAAACATTTTTTTATTTTTTTATTAGAAAAATCAAATTAAAATTTTAAGCTTTGTTTACATTTATTTTTGCAAATGTCATACATTTTTTACATTTAAAGGCTTTTATAAGTATTTATAAGATTCAAAAAGTAAATTGTATCTATCAGTCAGTATCACTTTATTTAAAATTTATAATCTAAATTAACTTATTGATATTTATAATGCTATAAAATAAAAAATTTGAATTAAATGTTAGTAAATTTGAACATTTAATGTAATAAATTTTAAGATAAATTTGATTTTTTTAGTCTATTTATAAATAAATATGCATTTTTGAATATAATTATTTAATACGCAATTTATCAATAAATTGTTAAGCAAATGAAGGAAGAAGTATAGATAAAATATAATGTGTGAAGAATATTTTAGTTTTTTTAAAAGAAATAAACTAAATATTTCTCTCATATAAATTATAAAATTTAAAGTAAATTTCTTTGAATATTCAAAACATGTTTCATTTTTAAAAAGATTAAAAATAGAACTAGTGTTGTGAAGAATAACTAAGCAATATTAATACCTATTTTTGAATAAATAAAATCTTTAGATGTAAAAAAACTTAGTTATTAAGTTGAGTAATTATTTTATTAAGTTTTTACTAAATAAAGTATGAATTAATTGTATCTATAAATATTATAAAATTCTTTTTAATTCATCTAATTTATATGGTTAGAATAATTTTAACATAAACAAAACAAACTTAAATAAATTTTTTTTTATTAAATTATGATTTTTCTTTTTCAAATTTAAAGTATATTTTAAGTGCAAATAAAAAAAAATCAGAGTAAACTAAAATTTAAAAAAAATCAATAAATCATTTGCAAGAAAATTAAAAACTATTATTTTAAGATTTTATCCAAATAATTTCATATTATTTTGACAAAAATATAGCTTATTTCTTTTATTAAGTAGACAAATTAAATACATATTCTTTAAAGTTTGACAGAATTTATCCAGTTAAAAGTATGTCTAAATCATAAATTTAAAGATTATCTTTAAAAAAAGAAGAATCAAACACTCTTTTATTATAGAAAATATTTTTTTATTTTAATTAAAAGTTTGCTGAAATGTAGAATTATTTTTTATTTATTTTTCTTATTTCAAATAATTCATTTACAAAAGATTGTTGATGCAAAATTTATACAATTTTCCTCAAAAATGTGCTTAAAAAAATCTTAAATAAATTAATCTTTTTTATTTGAAAAATCCTTTTTGACTAGATAGCTCTAATAACAATATTTGAATGCAAGTATAAATGTATCCTAAAAATTCGAAATGGATTTACAAGACAGCTAATTAATTTTGTTTGTTTTTTTTGGCAAGAAAGTAAGTAAGATTTTGTTTGTATTTTATCAAAAAAAACTTTTTTTCTTTCTTAGTTATAGAGTGTTCATGGCAAAGCAAATTTGATTGTGATAAGACTAAATTCTCTTCATATTACTATCAAAGAAAAAGTGAAGAATTAATATCAAAAAACAATAAATTGAAATAAAAAAATTCTTTATTATATAATTAAAAGAAAGTGATTCAATCACTATAAAAGCTTTAGTTCTTATAAAGAAAAAAAGCATAATAATTAATTATTGAATAAATTAGATAAAAATATATCAAAATGAAAAAATTACTTGTTGTCTTACTTGCCCTTTGCTTAGCCAATTGCGCTAACACCTTTTTAAGAAATTCATTATTCCAAGCTAGCTAAAATTAGTTGGTTGTTGCTGCATGCCCTCCCGATATGGAAAGCGATATTGAATAATAGGATAGAATTGTTGGATTCATTCCCTACTTCTATTATTAAAATGGTACTGGTGTTTCTGATATTTCAACTACTGTGTAAATTTGCCACAGAAACTTTGAAATTATTGACATTACATGGAACGTAGCTGACACTCAAATGATTTCTAACTACACCTAATGCAACGATCCCCTTTACAACTAAGATGTTGTAGAAGTCTTTTTGGGTACTCCTGAAAATTACTTGACAGAATATCTTGAAGTAAATTATTTCAACACATTTTATTATATTTTAAATTCCTAATTCTTATTGAAAAAACAATATCTAATAATAAATGAATGGATGAAAAATAAATTAATATTCATAGTTTGTTATCAAATAACATTTTTAATATTTATTTTAATTTAACTTAAATTAGGTTGAAGTCAACCCTCAAGGTGCTTTGTTTGCTGCCAACATCACTAACACTAACAACTCATGCTCAGGAATCAGTGATAGCCTTATTCCATGCAATGAAACTGGAATTTTCTATTCTGCATAAATTGCTGATTTCGGTTATAAGGCTAATGCCTAGATTCCTGTCAAGCTCGTTACTGGAACCCAACAAGCTTATCACTTAAAAGGTAATTTCTTCAGAATCGATTATGCCTTCAATGGTGACATCGACTACTCATGCTGGAGACCCACCTATGTCTCACCTGCTTGTTTCCACGTACCATCCTAGTTTGGAGATATTTTCCTTGTTTGAATAAAATATATAAATTTATAATAAAATACCAGTAATAAATATTAAATATCTATTATATATTTTATATGTATAAAATATTTAAATACTTTGTTAGTATTTAAAACTTATTTATATTTCCTTTTTACAGTCATAAAAAAATATGGTGTTCCTATTTAGTATTTTACATACCTCTCTCATAGTATCATTTAAGTATTACAAACTAATTTCAAACTTAATAGAAATAGTAAATTGTTAATATGATTGCAAAAAGAAAGAATATTTAAAATGATATGAGAAGGAAATACTCCTTTAGTTTTTTTTTTGACAAAAAATTTTTTGTTCAATAAGATTTATATAAAAAAATTGTGATATTCCGTATAATAAAATTAATCATTATAATTCTTTTATTATTCTAATGGAAAATATTTAGGAAGATTCTCAAAATTGATCGGTCTATTTTTATTTTATATTCTTTTACCTGAAAGTACAAAGTAGCTAGACATAATAATTTTTTCTGTCAGAAATCAATTAAATTATAATGATATATAAGAAGATTCTGTTGTTTGAAAAATAAATAGATAATAAAAGTGTTTTCGAAGCTTTGAGGTTTTTTAATTAATTAATTAGTTAGTAAGTAAAGTAAGTATGATAACTAAATTTACAATATGAAGTTTTTACATACATTTATTTATATAAACAAAATTTGATTTAATTTTTTAAGCATACAATTATATTAGTTTTATATATTATTTATATAGTTATTTATTTAATAAACACAATTCTCATTTTATTCAATAATTTATTTCATTTTAAAATCCACATATATAACCCATTGTCTTGAATTAGCTCTACTATTTAATCCTTTTGCTATCTAATTTTTTGTAGCTTGAATAAAAAATAATTAATTAAATTCACAAATCTTTAAATAAATTAGCTAATAAATTAAATCAATTTAATTACTTGTTCAAATATTTCGCTAAAATCCTTTGGGTGATCATTAAGAATGTCTGAAACTAAAATATTTCTGAGCATTTTTTTTTCTTGCTATTTAAAAAAAAAAAAAACATGTTTGGTAAAATTAAAAAAAAGAAAAATAAATCACCTATATTTGAGTTAAGATTCTATCATAAAGCTTACTTGCTTTCTTATATATTAACTCAGATTCGATTTCTTGCATAGTTTAAAAGTAGATATTACCATTTTAAGAATTTTATTCATTAGTTTAAGGAGCAAAAAATTCATTTTTCATATATAATTCTTTAATTCTTTAATTTCTTTCTTCAATGTTACCATAGAAAGTGTAAGCTTTGTAAATACTTGAACATAGGTAAATGAATGCTATCAATACAGAAACTATAAGCACAATTACTTTAGTTATCTCCCAAATCTATCTTTTGAAGGTTCCTTTGTAAAATTCAGGATGATGCCTGATAAAATCTTCAGTATTATTTGAAGAATATGAATATTGGTCTGGACTATTGGAGTTTGAGTCACTTTAAGACCTTTCTTCTAGGCTGTTCAAATAATTTTTATTGTTTTTCATAATGCTTTTTAAAGGACCTTTATTAAGATTTTAGCTAAGACTGCTAGACATACTGGTATTAGCTGAGCTATTTTTATCAAAAGTACCTTTTTGTTAGCTCAAATCATTATTTTGAATGCTACTAATGCTAGAATTCAGTTGTTTTTATACCTTTTCTTGATGTTTAATATGGGAAAACTTAACACTATCATTGTTTTCGTCGTATACATTAATTCTAGGTAGCTATTCGGAATAACAGAACCTTTTCTATTTTTCTATTTCTGCCTAAATTGCATCTCTTTACAATTTTTACTCAGAAAAGAATTTGAAAGATGTATTATTACTCACTTTGAATTAGTTTTAATCATTGAAATGCCTGTTGCTATGTGTGGAGGGGAAGATATTCTCTTGCTAGTATTAGAAATTTCTCTAAAATATTTCATACTAAGGGTTGTAGCTGTTAATTTGTTACCTGTTATTTAGTTATCTCTCTCTTAAAATATTCATAGCTTTTTATTTGTATTTTAGAAATTGTTCTAGATATAAGGGAATGCTGTATGTGAGTTTTTATTACTTATTTGATCCTATTCTTTATTTGGTTGTTGTTAGAATCTACTTGATTGTGTTTTTGCTGGATTTGATGTTATTAAATTTTAATGGAATAAATTCGACAAAGCTAGCTTTCACTTAAAATTTTGTATTTCAAAGATAAAATAGTTTTCAGAAACTCAGTTTGGACTTATCTAAATTTATTTTATACTATTCTATTATGTTATGTCTTATTATTTTTGTTTGTTTTTTATTAATCTTTGAAGGATTTACTTAGCAACAATACTAGTTTTTTTTGGATATTATTAATTTATTTATGTCTGAAAATTTTTGTTAAGATTTTTATTCAAAAATCAAATTATTTTTTGCGCTAAATTTTGTTATAATCTAATAAAAAATAGATGTGTTTAATCCAAAATTTTGTGTTCATAAACAATTTCTAAATTTTAATTTTAAAATTGAATTAATTAAAAAAAAAAAACAAATATATTAAAATTTGATAAATTAGCTAGAATCACATCATATTTTAGTTTTTGAAATACATACTGATTTTAACATATTTATTCTAAATCTGATTTTGTAATTAAAAAAAACATTTTCAAAGTATCTCTTAAAAATCTTTAAAATTAATACAACATGAAAAGAAAACATAAATTTTAAAAACATCTTTTTGATAATTTTTAATTAATTTTTTGTATGTTATACAACAATTAAAATATCAGAAGGTATTCATAATTTATTAAACAAATTTTAAATCATCAGTATAGCCACATAGAGTAAAAAATCGACACAGCCTTCTATACCTTTCAAGAATATCAAAATCAAGCTAATATTTAACTTTAGATAAGCAGCTTGGACATAAATGTATTGATCCTCCACTTGAAAAGTATTCACTATATTCATAACTAAAATTCATAATACAATCCCACCAAATACAGTGATGAACAGATAAAATATGAAGACACTCGTGTAGAGCTGTTGTTATAATTTCTCTTTGCACACAATCTTTCACTCCAATAACAGCACCTTAGTAACTATAATTATAAATGAGTTTAAATGATTTATTTATAACAATAACAAATTAATTTAATACCCTTGAGCTCTTCCAGTAATTATATTATCTGGTACGCATTCTAAAACTATAGGGTGATCAATGAAGCTAATACTTGAAAACAAATTTTAGGTTGTGAGTTAACAGCCAGATATAGAAGGATCATTATTTTTTAAAAAGAGTTTTAACAATAATCTTTAAGTTTTAATAATTTAACTGGAACTCAAATTAATTTTTTCACCATCAGCATTTTTAAAGCTTTTAATTGGTTCTTTTATATTGTATGTATTATTTATTAGAAAATAATCATCATTTTCTTTTAATAAAGTTAATCTTTCTTATAGTTAAACAATATTCATGTTTAAATAAAAAGCTTCAAAAGCAGTGGTAATGAGATTTAAGTCGTACTCTTCTGTTTGTATTGGGTCTATTTGAATCAACACTAAATATTTATCTTCCGACCATTTAGCTTTGTCATATTTGGCTTATACTTCATCAACAAAGTTTTAAAAAAATTAAGCACCATGATTTTTTCTAACATTTTATGGGTGAGGGTCTTAAAAAAGCAGCACTGATTATTCATTTAATATCTAAGGGTCAATATTAGATATCTTTTTACATCCTAGAGCTTTTAGTTTTGTTTTCGGTTTGATTTGCATAGAAAAAAGTTTTGTCAATCGCTAAATATATTTATCTCAAATCAAAAAATGAATTAGTATTATTCTAATTCAAGGCAATTAAATTCAATTAAATTTAAAATTCTTTATAAATTTCATAACTATTTTCTTGCTCTTAAATTATTGGTGGATAAAGCCAAGCGTCTATTATAGAATTCAAAGCAATTTTAATTGATTTATTACTGTTTTGTTTAGCTTAAAACTATAAAATGATAATTTGTATATTTTATAATTTACATTCACTGTTTAATATATTATTTGAAATCAATACCAATAATTTCTTTTGTCTATAATAAATTTATTTATAAATTTCAAATATCTTGCATAAATTTCTATAAAATTTAAATTTTCCTTCTTGTTTAAAAAAAAAACATTTTAATTTAAAACAAACTCGTTAGAAATTAAAAAATGAAATATTCTTAAATGATATTTTAATAAGATATTGTTATAATATTAAATAAATATTGACTAGATAAACAATATTTTTGATAGATGTATGAGTGCATATATATATATTGTTTACTAATTTAATTTATTGAATGATATTTGTATATTATGTTTTACATAGAAATGAATAGGGATAGATGATAGATTTATTAATAGATAGCTAGATAGATAGATTGCATATAGCAATATCTTTAAACGAAAGTAAAAATAAAATAAAGAGAAAAGAAATGAATTGAATATTAAATAAAATGTGATTGATTTATTTTGGAAAATAAAGGAAATATATATCAATCATTATCTTTATGCTTATAAATATATAAATAATTTAATTAGAAAGCAAGAACAATAATAATTTATCTAAGTAGCTACTAAGCAAGATTAAATGAAATTATTTAGAGCTTTAACCAAGTCTGGTCTTATTTAGAAAATTCGTTAAGGTTAGTTATATTAAGCATACATTTTTAAGGCAGCGCTCACTTCATGATAGCGATTTAAATTTAAATATGATAAAAAAGATAAAATACAAGCTTTTAGCATCATGTTTTTAAAAGAATATTGTATTAAAATAAAGTTGAAATTTGGATAGCGCATTAGATACCTTAATTGATATCAAACGTTTTATTAATCATTTAATGTGTATAAAATAGCTACTGGAAGTGAGATTTCCACTGCTACTAAATATGGCGAAAATATTTCTAAGCATAGAAGTCTTATGAGTCTCTATGACTTACATCCTCAAATTGGATATCAATCTTACATCGCTCCTAATTCCACTGTCATAGGTGAAGTTACTATTGGAAACGAAACTACTGTCTGGTACAATAAAATAAATATATAGAGAATTTAGCTTTTATATATATGAGCAAAACTTAACTAATCTTTTTTATCAATGTTTAGGTACAATAGTGTAATTAGAGGTGATGTTAACGCTGTTCAGTAATAAATTCAATTTCAGCATAATTATCAGAGTTTTTCCTTGCATTCATTCATTCATTAATTGATATTTTAACAAATACATAAATATTAGATCAATAGCCAAAAATTTTAATTTCTCTCTTAAACTCTCTATGCAATTTATATATAAATGACTGCAATGATATTTTAAATTTCAATAAGTAACAATTTATAATTTAATAAATTTTAGAATTGGTAATAATGTTAGCATTGGTGAAAATGTCGTAATCCACACTGCTGGTTCTCTCCCCACTGGCTAACCTGCCTCTGTTGATATTGGTAAAATTTTCACTAATTTACTTTAGATAACTATCAAATTGACAGTTTATATCCAAGCATATTCAATTAAGCATGTCATTTAACATTAAATATAAAATAGGTCACTATGTTATTATTGGTAGCAAGTCTACTATTTACAGTTGCACCATTCAAGACGAAGTTGTTATTGGCTAAGGTTGTGTCATCCTCGAAGGTGCTAGAATTGAAAAGGGAGCTATGATTGCTGCTAACTCTGTTGTACCTCCTGGTAGATTAATCCCTGCTGGTACTTTATGGGCTGGTAATCCTTGCACGTAAATTAATTAATACATTAGTTATTGTAATAACTATATTTTATAAAATAATATTTTAGTTTTGTTAGAAACTTGACTAAATCCGAATTAGCTACTAATATTGATCATGCTAAAAAGTAACTCCATCTTGCTTAACAACACAGATATGAATATTTACCCTACAACTCTGCTTACTTACAAAAGAGCAACAGCGAAGAAGATCTCAATCCCACCAAATACGACGACGTCACTATTAATTATAACTTCGGAGATGAAGAAAGAGCTCAAGAAAATCCTTTAAAATACTGATTAAACATCTAATCAAAAAATACCTTTATTAAGATTTCAAAAATAACAAAAAAATCATTTTATTGTCCTTATATACTTTCATATGTAACAGTAAATGGATAATAAATGTAATTGCTTCTAAACTTAGCTTGACAAAATTTTCTAATTTAAAATTAATTAATTATTTATAAAATAGACTATTTAATATCCCTTTGATTAAATAAACAATCTTCTAAAATAAATTCAAAATCATTCAAATTGAATTGTATTTATCATGTTTAACTTTTTAAAATCACTTAAAAAACTTCTTATTTAATCTCTAAAACAGCAACAAATAAATTTAAAAATATTTTTTTTAATTTTCAAAAATGTTATTTTTGATTCCCAACAGTATTAAAGTTTAATAAACAAAGTTTTAAATAGATAAGTGTTGTGAAAAACTACAGAAATTTATTCAGATAATATTCAATATAGATTGATAATACAAAATTGGATACGAATATACTAATAAGTTAAAGGAAAAACCATACATTTTTTTGTTTGGATGTACATTAATTTACATAAATTTTATGTTTTGGAGAGTTCAGTATTTAAATCAAAATTAGCAAAGATATATTAACTTAATTTCCAAAATTATTGATAGATTAATAGATTGATTAGTTGGTTTATTGATTGATTAGCTACTTATAAAATTTAACTAAAAAAGGATGTTTTATTTATTATTTTTATTAAAATTTTTCATCAAATTATAATTTTTTATTTGATTTAATAGGATATATAATTAATTATTTAAATTCGTATTTTGGTTTGAACTTTTATTGTTTTTACTTAAATAACCAATCAAACTCCTAAACTATTTAAAAGTAACCTTTTTTCTAAAGCTCGGCTGAAATTGAGGCAATATAAAGGAAGTACTTTTGGATTATTGTCTATTAATTATTCTAAAGCAAAGGGTAAGAAACCATTTATATCGTTTTGGCTGTTTTAGTTTTCTTATTTAAAAAGCTTAGAAGCAAGATTTTATTTTTTTAATTTCATTTACAATTTAGATGATTCATGAATATTTTAGTTATTATTACTGATATTATCATCAAAAAGCTAGTTTTACTTTTACTTACTAAAATAATGATCTGATTTTACTTTATTTAACTTTTACCTCATAAGGACATTATTTTAAGGTACTGGCTCTTTAAAAAATGCTTTGTTATATTCAGATTTTGTATTTAATGATGCCGTTTAGGGCTAAAATTTCTTTATTTAAAATGCTTTGTCTTTACGAGATTAGCTTGGTGCTGTTTTGGGAGAAAAATTTTAATTAAAAAATTAGTCTTAATTGAAATAAAAAGTTGGTGAGTTGATAGATATCATGAGATTATTTAGATTAATAAAGCCATTCTTTTCGTTGTTTTACTAATTAAAATCAAATCCTGTTTGAAAGAAATTATTTTTATTAGGAAATTACGGATTTAAAGATTTAATTATCATTTAATCTCTTGTGCCTTAAACAGACTTTTACACCATCTCAAAGGCATTACTCTCATCAGTTTAAGTAGAAAGTTATTAATTTTCGTTGTTAGTGAACAGACTTTAGTTTTATGAAAACTTTGTATTTTTTTCTTCCCTTTGTTAACTGCTAGTTTATGTATTATTGCCTGGTTATTTGTTAATTTTTCTTACAACCCACTTCTTACGAGGATCAGGTACATTTTTAATTTACAAGTTAAAGTGTTCTTTTAAAAAATTATTTCCTTGCTTTAATGAATAGGGATGATTTTAATCAAACATATCATATAGCATTTAGCTTTATGTTGGTTCATTAAATTGGCTTGTTTAATGATTGCTTTGGTTTTAGTGATTCGAATTTACTTTACTCTTTTATGGAGGGCTTGGATAAAATTCTATTTGCTGTAAACGTAGTCTATTTAAATTATTTTTAAAAAGGGGATTCTTATACATATCATCGATGTCACCCTTTTCACCATTTTACTAAGCTTAACTTTCATATATTTGCTATTATTTTTATTGCTCTTTGTTTATATACTCATTTAAAAACTCCTTATTGAAGAATTATTGCTATTGTTTGACAGAATTAACTGCATCAATAGATTATTTCAGATTTTTGAAGCTTTATGATCCATTTTAATAGATAGAAAGACTGTTGGTAAGTCTACTTTATGGAGACTAAAAGTCATGTTTAAGAGGAGATAACTTAGAGGATTTTAATTGTCTACCTGTGCTTTAATTTTTATTACTGCTTGGCAATTAATTAATAAAACTTTAGGATTTGTTGCTAATATAATCTATAGTTGCTGACATACTATTTGAATTACTATTATTCATGTAAGAACTACTTAAATTCTTTTATTTTAAAGGGCTTAGCTTCTTTGCTTAATGCTTGTTCTATAAAATATCATCAAAAATACCTAAATCCTCTTTCTTAGACTCATAATCAAAGAAAATATCTATAAAATCTACAGGTTCTTCTCTCTCTTACACAAAATTAAGAGCGCTATCAAAAATAGCTATTTTATAAAAATAGTTTCATTCATTAAGTATTAATTTTTAAGCAAATAATATGTGTTTTTTATATAATTATGATAAATTTATTTTAATTTGATAACATATTTGTGTCCTTAAAAACATTTTTAATAAAATTATTTAGTTACATGTCATTATGCTTGCTAAAACTAATAGTTTTTTATAGATTAAATGTCTTGTTTTAAAACTTATCAGCTTATGAAAATAACCCTACTACTTAATAATTATAAATCAAATTAATTTATTATTATTTATTTTTTGCTTCGTATTTATTTTAATCAAACTTTTTAAAATCGCATGACTTTTATATAATTTATTCCTTTTAATTTATATTATATTCTATTGAATAATCCTCAAAAAAAAACTCAAAATCTAATGCAAACAAGCAAGAAAAAACATAATTTCGGGTATTTTAACAAATATATTTTGAAGTTTTCTTACATTCCATATATAATTCAGGTACATAAATAAATATTTATGTACCCCCAACTGTAAATAAAAATTCATTTATTTATTTATTTATTAATTAGACTCAAAAAATATAACTTTTCACCAAGGACAAAAATTTATTTATAAAACTGCCATTTACATTTGATAGCAAAAAATTATCCTTTAATTTATCTTCGCAAATATGTTGAGTAAGAATGAATTATCTCTTTTACTATCAAACATTAAGAAATTATTACAATTTTTTTTTTTTTTTGAGTTTGGTTATGAATAGAACATGAAGTTTAAATTAGCCTTTGATACTTTTTTTTTTCTAGCTTTTGATTATAATTAAATGTAATAAAGACCATAAAAATTAAATTAAAGAACCAAAAAATTCAGAAATAAATGGAGTAAATAAGAAAATAATAAATTTTTGATTCAACTTTAAGATTAAAAAAACATGCTAAAATGAAGTAAATAAGGTAAAATAAATATAAACAAGTCATTCTATTATTGTATTTTTAATAGATTAAAATAATTTATCTTGAATTCCCACAAAATAATATTCTAAAACAAACCAAAATTTATTGACCATAAAATATTAAAATAAAAATATAAAGAAAAATTTGAATTTATATTTTTATATTAAGTTATACATAGACAAAATTAAAATGGAATTTTACTAAATTTGAGAATTTTCATAGAATTGAAATAGTATTAATTATAAATATTGAGAAGTTAACAGTTAATAATTTTATATTAATTTTAATGTTCTAAGGTAGTATAAAGTTGGCTAATTATAATATATCCCATTAAGGTTATATTTTTTATTTTATAATAATCTGAAAAAAGTCTAAATACAGTTGCTGTGCTTATTCAGCTGAGCGGACTCTTATAAGTTTTTTTAGCTCTAAATTATAGCTTGTGGATATTTTCATAGTCAGGAGCAGCCTATTCTTAATCTAATTCTATAACATTTGGAGACAGCTCTCCTGGTTCTTGAGAACTGTATATTTAAGGATTTGAATCAAAAATTATTTCTTGTTATGATTGAACTTCATTTTTTAAGAAATTGAATGAAAGCTTTTAATTATTTGCTTATTTTGCTGATAGTAGATTGAATTAATTGTCGGTTAATGAAGTTACAGGAGACTCTATCTAGAATTTTTCAAAGAAGGCAGATTTTCTATTATGGATTAAATTATTTTTAGCTTATTCCTGATCATTTACATTTACATGATCTGGTTACTCAACTGTTCTCTTACTTGTGTACATAGAATTGCCTCTTGAACCTTTATTTTATACTTTATCAGTTTTAATTCTTAATTTTTCATATTTATTTCTGAAAAGAGTCTGTGACGAGTTCTAATGTAAAGGCTATTTTTTCTTTTACTAAAGAATATCGAGATAGAATTTTTTGCCAATTTAGCTTTTTGTTTCCAACTTCATCAGTAAGTAGCTCAAATTGTTTAGCGGGAAGTATACAAAGAAATTTTTTTGTTTATCGAAATGCCTAAATATTTAAGTGAGGCCATACTATTCATCTGTCTCATCTATTGTCAATGCTTTTTAAATTTCATTTGGTTATTTGTTTTTCTAAATTAATTTTTCCAAGTGTTTCATAATATGATTAGAAAAACTTTTCATTTTTATAGATAAAGCTCTCTTTATTGATGTGCTATTTTTCTCTGTATTTCTAGTAGAAGAATTTGGCTATGGTATATTGTGAGAAGAGTTTATTTAATTAGTTATAAATGGCTGATGAAAATAGCTGCTAGCTTGGTCAGCTGATACTATTTTCTACATTTGCAACGTAGGTAAAATAGGTTCTTCTTAAACCCTATACAAAGTAGCAACTTTACCATTTGGTAAATTAAAGGTGACAGTATTTTGTTAATTAATATTATTTCCATTGGTTTATTAATTATCTTGCAATCCTTGCTTATTTTCATTTGACAACCTTGAAAAGTCAGAAGGGGTATATTATTTCTCGAAGGCATCTGAAAATATTATTGATTTTGGTCTCTGATTATTACGAGTTGAAGGAGAATTCACAGGAGCTTAATTAGAAAGTCTTCTTGGACCTTTAAATTAAACTTATGGAACCTAGGTTTTAGGTTTTTAATCTAAGCTAAATTCCCTTTCCCTCATATGCCCCCTTTTAGTAGGAGAAACAATAGAGTTCTTTTTCTGCAAAGGTGAGTAGTTTGAGCCTGAGTTTTCTCTCTCAAATTAGATAATTGATGTTTATTTTTCAAAATCTGTAACTTAATCATATTGAACCATAGCTGATTAATCCTAAGACTAGCTTAGTTATTTGTTTATATTTTAGATATTTTTTGAACTTTCTTCTTGCAATTTACTGATAAAATTATTATTGTCAACATTATCGTCTTAATATTCTTCTTTATCTTTGTTTTCAGCCCATTCTTTTTGCTCCTTCTAAGATGCCATGAAAGTAAAATCAAAGTTATAGTGGAGATACTTCATTTCATATTCTTCAATTAACTCAAACTAGTCTAGATACAGCTACTCCATGTGCTGAGGCAGATCATATCGAGTTTGTAATTTGCCTCTTTTTCTAAATGATTCCTCAGTTTCTTCCTTTGTTGTTTTATTTGCATACTCTTCAATGTCTTTTTATCTTATATATTTTCTTCTTTCAATTTATTTTTGCTTAGGAGGTATGTAGTTATATCTCAGACAAGTTTTTTCTATATTTGGCTCGTAATGTAAATATCCACAGTTAAGGATATTATGTTTAAAGCTGCCACATGAAGGGCATTAGCTTGATGATTTATAGCCATCTTAATAAAAAATTAAACTATCTCTAATATAGCAGAAAGCTTCTTTGTCATCAGGAAACTACTCTAGTAAATTGATAAATTCATCTCTGCTTATTTTTAACAAACTGACAAAACCAATTGCTCTTATATTAAGGTCTCTAGGAAGACCTGTATAAAATTGTGTTATTCCAAACAGCTATCCCTCTTAAATTTCCTATAAAAATTAATAAAATTGATTATTTATTAAACTATTATTTTAAGGAAAGTGTAAAAAAAATTATTATACATGAATTATTTAGTGCTTTGATGGAGTATTTTTTTGAGCTTTTGTTTTGTAATAAACTTCTACTTTTCCTTTCTCGATCAAATATAGACTTAAATTATCAGTAGAGCCACCTTTATAAATCAATTACTGAGGCTTGCATTGTACTTCTTTAATTAAACTGAATGCCTTTGAGATAAAAGCTTCACTAAAGTGCTTTGAGAAATAATTAATAATTTTTTCATTCTAATGTAATTATAGCTCTTTTTTAAGACTATCATTCAGCTGTTCAATAATTTAAGCACTTTCCATTTAAATCTGCTCACTGTTTTCTTTCCATATGTAGCTAATTTATTTTAAATATTAATTAATCATAAGGTACTAAAAATGTAAAAATTATTAAATAACATACTTTCGATTACCAAAAAAATCCATGCAAAAATTTAAATATAATTTTTTTTTGTATTTTCGCTTTGAAGGATTTTCTTAGAAATGACAAAATTTTCAATAGAATAAAAAATATGCGCATTATTAAATAAATAAATAATTTACTCTAAATATTGTCTTATTTGCATTCTTAATGGATGCTTTACCTTTCTCTTCTCCATATGAATATTAATAATTTTCATTTTTCTTCTTGCTTCTTTTACTTCTGAATACATTTCAGTAAAAATCATACCTATTTAGTTCAAGGTAAAACCAAAGACACCACTTGAAAATAACATCATGAAAATTGCAACCAAAGTCTCTGTTTCATTAGTTGGAACTATATCACCGTAGCCTAATGGTTAAATTAGATATTTATTTTTTTTCTAATTTTACAATCACAAATAAAATCAAATTATTATTACCAACCGTTGTCATGGTTACAGTAGAATAATAAAAGGCAAGAGTGTATTAGCGAAACCAAACATCATCTTAGCATCCTCTCTTAGTTTACCAGCTTGAATCTATATTATAACTTAATTTTGATACACAAATCCAAATACAAGCCATAAAGTGATCAATTAGTATTATACTTGCAAAGAGCTTAATGAGCTAAATAATATTTTACTCCTGCTTTTAAAATATAATTTTTTCTTCGAAGGCAATCATAAATTTAGAAAAATCTCTTAATTTAAAAATGAATGGTATAAATACTATCCATCTAAACAATGTACCTAAATCACTGACTTAAACATTATATGCATTTTAATCACTAGAACTCGCTTAAAGAAAGCTTGTTTTATCGAAAATTAATAGCATAAGAATAGAAATAAAGCTACTAATATCTACATAAAAATGAGTTTTTAAATAAATAGAAAACATTTATTATCGATCTTTTGAGAGTTTCATATCCTCATAATAGCCTGTATTTAAATTTACAAATGAGTTAACAAATATCAAACCAAATGAGATTTCAATTACTATATGTGGCACTAAGTCATCGATATTCATTTTGAAGCTAATAATAATACTCATGAAGAAAAATATCAATAAAATAGAAACCAAATTAAGAATTTCGAGATAAACTTTCAGAATGCTTCTTGGATTGAATGCAGGCAAAAATATATCAATTTGTTTCATAAATTTTGTAATAATACTATTTTTACGATCCCTATAATCTTAGTCTCCTTGAGAAGAGCCATTATCAGTATATGAAAAGTGTTTAGTATACGTTCTATCAGATGAATTATCTCCTATCATTTTATACTACATATGACTTAAATTCTTAAACATTCTTGTATTTATCGAGTTAGCTAATCTTTTAACTTGATTCTTTAGGCGAATTTAGAATATTAAGTCATTAAATTTGCTTTTTTTATGTTCTATCATATATCCATTTCTCCTCTCTTTTGTTTATGGGTGCTAAACATCTTCTTAAGCTACATCTTATTTTTCATCACTATAATCTTAACTGCTAGAATTATCCTCATCGTCATCTGCGTTGCTCTTATCTTTTTTCCTTTCAGAGCTTTATAAATACTAACTTAATTGGTTTTCATTATTATCTCTATTTTTTTAATCCTTTCTTTATTTTTTAAATCCCAGATTTCCATCTGAAATCGAGTTTCTGTCAAAAAAGTTTAATTTTCTTAAATCTAAAGTTGTAGGGGAATGGGCACCTTAAGAATAGTTTCTATCTTCACCCCCGTTTTCTATAGAGAGAAAATTTCTTCTGGTAGTGCTACCTCTATTAATATAATCACTTTGATGATCAAACATTGGAAGTATAAGATTTATTTATCTCTAAGAACTTCCTTTTTGTGTTTGCCTCTTCCTTTAAAATAAATATCTTAATTTGTTGCTTTTAATACTAAATGTAGAGCCTACTATTTGTTATGTATAATTTATTAAAAAAATTACTAATATCAACAATATTTATAAAATTCATCCTTGAAAACATTATTCTTTGAATTATTTCAAGCTTTTCAGTCATCTATAATTACTTTTTAAATTACAAATTACTTGACCAAACAATTATAAGTTCTAATAATTTATTGGAAATGTTTAATACAATAACAAAAAGTACAATAGTTATGCTTGAAGCCTAAATAACTTTATTCTTATAATCAATTTCATTGATTAATGATCAATAGATTTATTTTAATTAACTTGACATGTTCAAATGTATTTTTATTGTAAGTAATCTACTCAGCTCAGTTTTTAAAGCTTAAAATTTCTTTTAAAATACTCAAATATAAATACTTAAAAATGGCTATAAAGATAAAACTCCAATTTTCCAGTTAGAAATCTCATTTGACAGACCTAAAAAATTTGTAAAAATTCATAAAAAATTATATGAACTATTTTAAACCCCGATTTAGTAAATATTAAATTATTTATGAAATTATTGTCTATAAAATTCTACAAGTATTTTGGAAGAAAAAAAAAAGAAACAACCAATATTAATTATTTCCGAAGTCTTAATAAATTATGATTCAAAAAACATGAAAATTAAAACATAATTTAAACATATTTTTGAAAACTAACCTAAAAAACATTGTAAAATTTAATAACAAAAATATGTTTATTTTTTAAATAATTAATTTATGGAATAGAATGTTTTAGTAAATTGATTAATTCTAATTTTTCATAGATTATTCTGCTTAACTTAATTAATATAAAGTGCTCAAAAAGTAATTTAAGATTTCTAAAAAATATTTTGAGAATATGAAATTAAATTTTTATAATAACCACTTTATCTGACATATTTCAAATAAGAAGCCTAAAAGTTCTTTAAAACTTAATTAAATCTCAAAGATGTGTTAACATAAAGTCTTAAATTTTTAGAAAATAATAATTTGAGTAATTAAAAACTTTTAAGAAAAAGCCTAAAAAACTATATTTCTGAATTTTTATAAAAACACAATTTTATAAATTTGATTGAATGTAATTTAAATAAATTCTTCTTTTTGATTTATTATATTTTTTAAACAAATTGTTTTTACTGACATATTTTAACTCATTTAAATTAAGATAAAAAAATTCCATGATAACTGTAAATTATGTTGTAAAATAAACTTTTAAAATATTAAAAGCAAATTTAAAATAATATTTTTAAACTAATTTGAATTAAAATAATTAATTCAATGGTAATTGTAAAATATTCAATAAAACTAAAACTAAAAATTAATTACTATAAAAAATTGACAGAAAATTTAAAATAATTTTTTTGGAACTAATTTTAATTAAAATTGTAAATTTAATGATAGTTATAAATTTTAAACATAATACAAATAATAAACTATAAAAATAATTGATAGCATATTTAAAATAACATTATGATATTGATTAGCTTAATTTAACTAAAATTATGAACTTCAAAATATTTATTTTAGAAATTAAGATTATTAATTTGCAAAATAAATGGTTTTGGAATATAAATCAATAACCATCGTAATATTAGCCAAAAACCACTAAATTTGTCATTTTTCTCTTAAAGTTTTAGATGTATTTAGAATTATAAAAGTATTGTATAGAATCAAAATCAATTTTTATTAATTATTTATTTTATGTTATTACTTATTAGAGAAGTTAGGCCATATCTTGTTTTATGTTTTCTTCTCTTAAAGTTAATTTTAATTCAATTAAGTTTTTATTATCCTTTATAAAACTGACTAAAGGCTTAATTGTGTGCTCATCGATACTTTTTGATGAAAATCCTAGGCTTAAACTTAGTAATTTAGGTATTTAATGCAATTTCTCAAATAAGATTTGCATTCCTTTTGAAGTCAAGTCATTTCTTACCATAAAAATATCTATACCTTTAAGTTGTTTACACATAGTTAAACTTGAAGTAAAATCTATTAATCCTTCATCTGTAATTTTATTATTATATAAATCAAATTTAATCACAGACAAGCTTTGTAATTGTGCTAAGCTATTTCCTAAACTGGATAATCCACTATCCTCAAACATATTTCCATCCAAGTACAATACCAACTTTTAGAGATTCTTAAACTTCTTCAATACCTCTGAAAATTACTCTGCACCTATCTTACTGATAAAATTTCCTTATAGATTTAAACTAAGCACTAACAAAGAAGTGCAATTTGCAAAAGCTTCAGACAAATATTTAATATCTTGGTTTTCTAGACAACTTTCATAAATATCAAAATAAACTTCTTTAAGTTTAGTTAATTTAGAAAGTGATTTTTAAATACTCTAGCTTAATCCACACTAAACATTATATCCACAATGAAGATTTAACTTAATCATATTTTGCAAATTTCCTAAGTGTTTAAATAGCTGTTCATTTCCTGATTTGCTTATATTTGTGTTTGTTAACTCTATAGTAAGATCTTCCAGCTTCTTAATTTACTCTAAGCCTTTCATCAAAGCAGCTAATCCTGCATCTTTAATATTATTATTCTAAATATTAAAATTAAGTATTTTAAGATTAGGTAAAGCTTTCCATAACGAGTCAAAGTAAAGAATTCCTTTACTAGTTATTTTATTTTAAAGCAAATCTAATTTTAGATACTCTAAATTTTTGCACTGTTTCAATTCTTAGCATATCTTATTAAGAGAATCATCGCTGATGTTCTTGCTTCTAAATGACAAATTCAGTTTTGTGAGTTATCGACACTCCTCTGCTGTTTTATTTAAGTATTCTAAAACTTAGGTTTTATTAGATTGTTATCTTGTGGAACGCATATCTTTTAAGATTTATTTATTAGTTTTAATTTATTTAACTAATCTTTTTTTGTAATTAAAGATTCCTAAATGACTTATTTACCGCCTATTTGTTAAAAAAAGATTTAATAAGTATATATTTATCAAATTAATATATAGATTTTTTTGTGGTCATGAAAGTAATTGTTATTTTATAGAAGATATTTGAATAAAGTAATCTAATATCATTCATTTATTATAAAGCAAATATATGAAATTTTTCTACACTGTTTTATAACTATTTGAAGCTTTTAAGCTTCATAAAATTTAAATCTCTTTTGTTAAGTACCTTAATAAATGTTTTGTACCTTATTTATTTTTATTTAGGTACATATACAAAATATAATTTTTTTTATTAAAAGGTTTTTGTACTTAGAATATTTCTTCTGATTTTTGCATTTTAAGTTCATATAAATAAATAATTACATTACATTAATTAATATTATCTTATTAAACTTCAAATTAGTTTATTAGCAAATATATGTTTATTATCTTATGATTAAAAATTATTATGAAATAAAATTTCCTTTATTAATAATTTAAAGACCTAAGAATATTTATAAATTGAGATATTTTTAATAATTAAGCACATTTAATTGTATTAAACCTTAATTACTCACTCAGTAATAAATAAATTAATTAAGAATTCAAAAAATAAAGTAAAATATACCATAAAAATGCTAAGCCTAAAAGATCTTAAAGTATTTGATATTTTTGCTCCTACTTATCAATAAAAAGTTCTAAATGGTAGTAATAAAAGATAAACTATTATTGGTGGTTTGTTTTCAATTGTGATTGTTTTACTGTGTTTAGCATACGCTGTTTATTTGTTTTAAAATTATGTGAATGGATCATATTAACCAAAGTAAAATGATTACACTTCTTACTCACCAACAGAGAAATTATTTGATTTAAAATTAAATAATATAAAAATTTTAATTTTTAATGAAAATGAAACTCTTTTACAAAATGAAATGAGAAATAAAATTTAATATTTTACTATTTCTCTCAGTGTAATATCTAACCATAAAGTTGTTTAATAATATCTTGCTGAAGAGTGCTACAATTAAGCCTTAGAAAAATAAGTAGGAATCAAATCAGGATTTTACTATTGTTTTGGTAAATAAAATACAAATTAGCCTATTCAATTAGAGCAGAGTGAATATAAAAATACATCATTAAAAATAGATTTCAATTATTGCTAACAAAATTAAGTAAATTAAGGTTACAGATGTGCTTCTTTGATAGAAGCTAATTCTTATTTATATGATTAAAATAATAATTTTCAAATTTTATTAGAAACAGACATTTATAATCTTCATAAAAATTAAGACATTAATACTTTTTACATTTAAGACTTATTTCCCAAGCCTCATGAAATCTTAAACAATGTTATGTAGCTTCAGCTAACAAATATATAAATTATTTAAGGTATTATAATACAATACTCAAGTACAAAAACTTACTTCTATAACTTTTTAAACGAAAACTACTATATCCCATTAAGTACTAATCCAGACTAGATTAATCCTATTTCTACTGAAATTAAGTTAGATAAACCTATTAAATACGAAACAATTTAATTTGTTCCAATAACTTAAGTTCTTTCTGAAGCTTGGACAACTATATCATTGCTTTTAGTATTGGGCAATATAGCTAGAATTATATCAGAAACAGGATTTATGATTGACTTGATATAAATTTAATTGAAATTTTACTATAAAAAGACAGCAAAAAAGCTTTGTCCATAAGACGAGGATTAATATAACTCTTAAAATACATTAAACGATTCAGCTCAGAATGTTATTAAGATAAATGAAAAAGTTGAAAACACAAACTACAAAAAAAATATTCAAAATTATTTTAATTTGTCCAAATGGTAAAAGTAAAAACAAAATGAATCACCTTCAAAATTTATCTTTTAGATTTATTTTAAACCTTAAAAAATATTTAATTTATTTTTTATTTAAAATAAAATAAAAACAGATTTTCAATATTTTATTTGCCATCAATTTGTTAGAAGAGAAAAGACAAAACCGAGGAACAAATTACTCTTGAAAATTTAATAAAGCAAACAAATAATGAAATGAACATCTACGAAATGCACAAAGAATTATTAAAGATGAAACTTCTTTTAAAAATGCTAGTTAGCCCAGAGCAATATGCTGCCATTTAGATGTGTGGTTGTGATATACTTTAAAATGCCTCTACAGATATGAAAGTGAATGAAAATAAAGATAACATTGATTTAACATTAAAGGGAGATGAAAGCAAAAAAGTTGATGATAGTACAAGTTTTAATATTTTTACAAAATACTAAGAAAGGCAAAGCAAATTAAATGATAATATTATTAAAAATGATTTATAGGTTATTATATCAGAGGATTAAAATGAAAAATATAAAAATAAACCTTCAAACTAATAATAAATCAATGTCTAAATGCAAATTTTAGATAAAACTATAAAATAAAAAAAAATTCTACATTTAACCAATAAATAATAATAACTTAATCATCTTGAAATACTGAATAAAATTGATTTAGATCCTAACTTTAAAAAAGAATAATTGGAAAAATTTTTATCTTAAGATAAAGGAAAGTATCAAGATAATGTATTGAATTAAAGGATCAGAAGCTGCATGTTGGGATTAGAGACACCTTCGATTAACTCTCTTTAAGCTATTTTTAAATTAAATTATAATATAGAGTAGATTTAGCCTAAACTAAATCCAGTCGTATGAGAGAATCAGTCACATATAAAAAATTCTTAGCATTAAAATTTATCAAAATAATAAGTAATTAAAATTAGTCATTGAAATAGGCATTTTAGAGATATTCTTAAAAATATTACTGAAGCTTCAATATATCTACTAACAAAATCGATTCAATTATTTTAATAAATAAAATAGAAATATTACTATCGTGAATATTATTTAAAAAATATTTCTTTTAGAGATATTTTATTTTAATAATGTTATAAAAACTAGTTTTAAGCTAAATTCTCATTATATAGAAAATAAATAGAATTAGCAATACTAGTTGGTAGTTTCAAAAATTTACTATTTTCAATTATAATAATTAATATTTAAAAATATTTTGTTTTTAAATATTCATTAAAATTTACATTTTATAGAGTTGTTAAATACTTTCATTTATAAAATTGCAAAAAATATAAAAATATTATTTTTTAATATGCTTATTTATCTTAATATTTGTTAATTGGTTGTAAAGGCGTAGCTTCAAAAATTAAAAACGAGTTGAATTTTAGCACTGAAATATGATTTGAAGTAGAATGAAGGAAAGGAAAGTAAGTGTTAAAAATTGATATTAACAAAAACGAATCAAATTACTTAATTACTTAAATTGGATAAAAATTAATTAAAACGATAAGAAATAGTATTTGGTTTTATCAAGCAAACAATAATAATAAGATGAGATTATTTACTATCATTTGTTTATCACTTTTAATTGGGATATAATGTACGAGTATAAGTGATAAATACCCATCTTTAAAGAAGAAAATTTCATTAGTTTAAATGATGACCAATATTGAAAGTAAAATGGGAGTAAAGGCTCCAATACAAGAAATATTTAAACTTGTTGATGATTATAAAGATTCTATTTTGGATGAATAATTAAATTAAAATAATTTGTATGACAGGTAGTCTAAAGAATGTGTTGATGAAATTGATTTCAGAGAAAAAGAAATTGAATCTGCTTCTGATGCTGTTAAGAAGGCATAAACAGCTTTAGATTCTTGCAAAAATCAAAATGCTCGTGCTTAATCAGATCTTGATACAGTTAATAATCAAGTTTAAGAAACTCAAAATTATTTATCATAAATTATTGCTACTAGAGAATAATAAGCTGATGATTTCTAAAAGGCAGCATAAGCCTATAGCTACAATGCTGAAGCAGCTGACGAAGCAATAGAAATTCTGTCAGAAATCTGGAGCGGTGAAGCTAGTTTTGTGTAATTAGCCAGCCATGCTAACAGGATGCTTGTACATGCAATTTAAATTAAAAAAGTACACAAACTTACTCCAGTAATGACTGCGTTAGCTCAGCTAGCTACTAAAAAATTAATAGCTGATGAAGCTTTAATAAATAATGTAATGAGTCTTTTGAGAGACTTCAGAGCTAGTTTAGAAGTTGATTTTTAAAATTTACAAGAATCTGAGTAATCTGCCATTGAACAATATAACACAAACAAATCAAGAACTGAAGATTTCTTATACACTCTTTAGAAATCTTAAAAAGACCTCTAAGCTGAACTGGTCAAGCTCAATCAATGCATAAACAATTAGTCAGCTATCTTTACAACAGCTCAAGCAAAGCTTCAAAGAAATACCTAGCTTTTGGATGCAGCTTAAAAGTAAAAATAAATAAAATTTTTTTATAACAAATAAACTTATAAAATATTTTTTTAAGTCATTTTAAATAAATTTTTATTATTTTATAAATTAAAAAAAGTATGTGTACATCATTCAAAAAAGAATATGATTCTGCAACTAATGCCAGAAACTAGGAGCTTGAATTAATTGAGGTTATCAGATAAAAATTAGAAGCTAAGTATGGTTAGCTATCAGAGCTTGTTAAGGAAAGAGCTTCAGAGGATAATTTTGGTTAGAATTAAGGCCATGAAGATTATAAAGAAGAATAATACTAACAAAACAAATATTATTGATAATGTTATTGAATAATCTAAATTCATAGATAAATTTATTAATTGTTTATGTTTTTGAATTAGAATTAAAGTTCTAATAATTCTGAATATCAGATAATAATGTAAAGTTATTTTCAAAAATTTTGAAATCAATATAAAAAAATTATACTTTAATGAAACATTTTATAAGCAATTATTTATAAAATTGTGTTGAATTATTCTCTTTAGGAATAAAATCATCTAGAATTTTATTTTTTCATCATAGATTGATTTTTTAATTTTGATAAAGTGAATATTTAACTTTAAATTGTTTTTGAATAATATTTTATATAATGTATTATTTAATTTTAAGAAAAACTAAGTAAGTAATTATTTATAAATATTATATTAAAAGTTTAATTTTTTAAATTTAGATAAAGTAACTAATTAATTGAAAATAATTTATGAGACCTTTCATTATATATTTTTGTCAGAATAAACTAAATAAATTGATATATTTTAAATAATTTTATTAGTATTTTAAAAATTGATATAAATTTTTATTTAATAAGGTTTTTTATTTCTTATTATTATTAAATTAATTATTTATTTAAAATTAAAAATTTTCATAATTAATTTTTTAAAATTAATTAATTAAGTTAGAATTATTTAAACTTTTGTTTATTTTCATTCTTTTATAAAATATTCACTATTTTTTACTGTATTAAAATTTTTAACTAGGATCTTCATGTTCGTTTAGCTATTTTCGTTAACTTCTTCTTAAACGTTAGGAGATTAAAGTGACATATTCCTAATGTAATCAGTATCACTTATTGATAATTCTGTTTTGTTTAGAATTAAATCTTAGCCATTTATTTTACTTCTGATTGTTGGTGATCGGGCAGTTTGAATCTGTCTTTCACTAGACCAAATAGGAATTAACATATCAGGTACTTAAATAGGCTAATCGGGTAAAGGAATATGTTTGTTAGAATAAACAGATTTTTTATAATTTGATATATTGTTATTACTGTTTAGATTTATATTACTATTAAAGTTTAGATTAGAATTATTATTATTATTTGATTGATTTTTTTAGCTGTTTTGTATTTCTTTTATTTGAGAATAATTATCAAATGATGCCGTGTTTTAGAGATTACTGTGAAAGCTCAAATGCTTTAGAGTAAAGGCCTTTTTCATAGTTTATTCTTTTTTACTTCCATTAATTACTTCTATTTTAGCCTTGAGTAAAGAGTTGTAGGAAGTAATTTAATTTTTACTCTTGCTTGCATTTTAAATCAATGTAAGATACTAATTTCGGGTTAGTTATTTTTTGTTTTTTAGGTTATACAATATGAAGCTAAGATTGTTCAATGGATAGTAAACCTAGAAATCTTTTTATTTATCAAATGACTAAAATATTTAAATCATTCCAAAATGGTGGTTCTATTCTTCTGTCACATTCGTTTTTGTTATTGTATTCTATACATTTGAAGTTCTTATTATTGTTTTGAGGTTTTACATTATAGACCTTTAAAATTGCATCAACTAATTAGAGATTTGCTAATTTGAAACTTAGTGCTTGAGAGAGTTTTATGAATTAAAATGATGATCGTTAGTATGAGATAACTATCTCTAAACCTCTATTGATTTTTGGTGATCAAGTGAATCACTTGTTTTATTTATTTCTTTTGAATTATTTTAATAGATTTATTGTGGATTGTGAAAATTAGACTCTTTTACTGGACTATTTACTGCTTGCTAAATTTATTAACTGGTCTTAATCTTTTTAGAATTTCTTGTGTAGATTACTCTCTGAGGTTTTTGTTCTGTTAATTAAATGAAATTTTCAAAATTTGTAGCCTAAGTTGTAACAATCAGTGGTGTTAATTATTTAAGCATAGATTTTCTCCTATTTATTGGTGATTAATCTAAGTTTCTGCTTTAGCTTAAGTTTATCTACGGTGGGTTGGTACTAATGTTAGTAGAACTTTTACCATTTAGGTTTGTTGTTAAAATTGGAGGCGTATTTACAGCTGTATCTCCATTAATGGAGGGGACTTTCTCAAATGTTGAGAGACGTTATGTGTAAAATTGTTAATTATTAATGGGAGTACTGCTGTGATTGTTGTGATTAGTAACAAAACTATTAGACCTTTCTTTTAAGCAGCTTGTTTAATAGTTTATTTAGTGATTTATATTATTTCCACTATGAAGCAGAGCTGATCCATTTTAGACTTCCCCTTCTTCCTCATCTTCATCGTCATCAGAAAATGCAAGATATGGTGAAGTATAGTTATAGTTAAAATTATAGCATAAGAATTTTTATTCGTAATCGTCTAGCATTCCAAAGAACTCATATGCAAACAATTCATATCTTTAATCATCTAATTGAACTATTTCTCTAGTTGTTTTATATCCCCTGCGCTTTTTCTCTACGATTTATCCTTAATTCCAACTCTTTTTTCTTTTATTATCAAATGGAAGTTCAAAATTATGTCTGGTTATAACTTTTGAGCGGTATGGGACAAAGTGCAGGTAATTACAATTAGTAACCACATGTTCATTACTATCACAACTTATACAAGTTTCCCCAATTTTAGCAAAATCTTTATTAAAAATTCTTCTATCTTTAAGATAATTAAACATTTCCATATCTCTCGGAAATTCCTAAAGAGATTTAATAAAATCATTTCTTGAAATTTTAATTAAGTTGACGAATCCTATAGCCTTCGCGAAGATATCTCTGCACTCGCCTGTATAAAACTCGCTAATACCAAACATTTGTCCCTCTTATAAAATCTTTACATTATTGAAATTATAAATTTGTAAACATTAAAAAAAAATAAGTCTAAATTAATAAATTTTATTTAAATTAAAAATAAGTCTATTAAAAATTTTGTTTGAAATCAAATTTTGGGAATAGTTAAAATAAAGCGATTGAAGATAGATGATTTTTTATAGTTTTATTAAGGATCAGTGTAAGCAATAAAAATGATTACTTAAATTGATTTTGTTGTGTATTGGTTTGTATTTGGGGTGATATACATCTCAACTTATCCTTTTTCAATGAGATAGAGACTCAGATCGTCAGATGACGTCTAAATTTTTTACTATGGCTTACACTTTTACTCCTAAATTAGTAATATAGCCTTTTGAATGAATTCATTTGTAAAATGCTGCTCTAGGTAATTGATTATTCTCCTGTTTTAGTGTAAATATAATTCTTTTTTCAGGTCTTCATTTAGTTGAGAAATAATAGAAGCACTGTCGTTTTAGAATTTTTCATCATTTTCTTACCATACATATCTTTTAATTAAAATTTTTGTATTTTATGTAAGCTCTATGATTAGAAAATATAGCAAACAATTTCAAAGTGATTCAAAAAAATAAAAAATATACTCTAGGTATTCACGTATTTGAGATCTTAAATTTTGATTCACGTTTTTCTTCTCCATGTGCAAATTTATAATATTTAATTTCTTTTTTCTTTCCTTGTCTTAAGAGTAAAAATCTGTAAAGATAGTACCTATTTGGTTGAGACTGAATCCAAACACACCACTTGAGGTAAGCATCATCAAAATCGAAAGTATATATTCTGAAAAATTTTTAGCTGTAATATCTCCATAGCCTTATTTTATAGTAAATTGTAAATTTATTTATTTTGACAACTAATATCTTAAGAAGATAATTTAAAATTTTGGGGTAAATTTTTGAAGAAATTATTATTTGCTTCCTAAAAAGTGTAATGACTTTTGCTAAAAGCTTTAAGTATTTTAAATTAATTTATGGTAAAAAATACTTTAATAGAAGACTCATAATTTAAAAACAATTAATTAGTCATTTTATTTATATTTGAATTTTGATTTCTAAATTTAAAAAATTAATACCAACTGTTGTCATCGTGACAGTGCAGAAATAGAAAGACATAACATACTGATAAATCCAAGTCTCGTTTTATACATTTTTTGAGGTTATCCAATTGATATTTTCGTTATTTTTTATTTGCGCATTAAATATCCAAATACATGCTAAAATATGGTTGATCATAATAATTAACGAGAATAGTCTAACTATCTGAACAATGTGTTACATTTTTTATTTAAACATTATTTTTTCTTCTAGTTTCTGTATCAGTTATCCAAAATCTTTAAATTTAATGGAGAAGGGTATAAAAAATATCAGCTTTACGAAGCTGTAAAGATCTGGATAATTTTATGAGAACTTATTCCCATTCTTATCAATAATAAGCAAAATTAAAATTGAGATAAAACCAATTAAATCTGTAAATAAATTATTCTTGCAGTAAGATTAAAATATGTGCTATCTGTCTTAAAAAGTGTTGCCTAATTTTTAGTATCCTGTATTCAGAGTAACGATCACATTTAAAAATAAAAATATAATGCATAGGTAAATGCTCATTGAAGGGACAATATAATCTATAGTCTCATGAAAGGAAATCGTTATAGAAATTATAAAAAAAATGTAAACTACTGCAAATAAACTCAATAAATCTGAAATAGTTTTTAGCCTATGTTTTGGCTATAAAACAGGTATCTGTTAATCTAATTTTTTTATAAAGCTAATTAAGCAATTTTATTTTCTGAAAACTCTTTATTAGCTATTATTACTCTTACGTATAAATCCAGATTTTTATCCTAAATACTCTATTGAGTCATAAGCTTTATCATCTATCATTTTAAGTTGTTAAAAAGTTAAATTCTTATACATCCTACTTGTTGTATATTTAGCCATTCTCTAAATTATACCTTTTAATTTCACTTTTAAAAACCCTTCTCTAATATTGTTGCTTTTAATTACTTAAGATTACACATCTCCATCTGCATCTACATCACCTTCATAACGAACTGAATCAATAGGAAGCAGATTTGTAGGTTTCTTAATTGTGCTATTTCGAAAATCAGATTTAAGACTAGGTCTGTTTGAATTGCTATTTGTATTGCCTATCTTATTAAAATCTAATGAATTGTAAACAGGTGATAAATTTTATTGCATTATGCTTATTTTGGATGAATCTTATCTTGCAACATTCCTGCCGCCATTTGAAACAGTTGATTTGTATTTTTGCAGAATATTTTTACTCATTTCCCAAAAGAATCGTTAGGAATATCAAAATATTTTATCCAAAGAAATCTCCCCTTAAAATGATTTTCCAACACTTCGCTTAATGATGAAAAAATCTTAAATTTATTTTTCAAAGTAAAGTAGACTTCACCACTTTAATTATATTTTTGATAGAATTTCTTTTGATTTTTTGGATTATATTAAAGAAAAAAATAAGCATTAATACTAAATTATATATGTTTTGTCAAATAAAATTGCTTATATATCATACATTTCATTTACAGTCTTAGAATTATCAGTCACTTTGTTAATATAAAACTATTACTTCGATTTCATTTGCATGACTATCTTTTAATATCGTATGTCAAAGAATAAATAATGCAGTTAAGAAAAATTTCATAAATATAATCTATGTTTTGCTTTTCATTTTAAATATTCATCATTAGTATTTAACTAACTAATCATTAAAAACCAGTAATATTAGACCATAAATAATTTCATGCTCTCCTTATAGAACATAAAATTTCTAGAAATAAATAATCGTATGGTATTAAATTAGTTGTAAAAAAATAAATAGATAAATTACTTTTTAAAATGCATACTCTAATTATTTTCCTATGTTTCTACTTAAAATTCCATTTTTAATTTTTGTTTTTGATTATTGTTAAATAAATCTAAAAATATTCAAATTTAAAATAAATTAAATCTTTTTGAATGATAAGATTTTCAAATAACTGTGGTACCACTTTAAATTACATTTTTACCCAAAATTATAAAGTAACCCCTATCCTCATAAATTACTTGTTACTTTAATATAGTAATATTTTTATTTTTGTATTAGGTTAGAATTATCAAATTCTTAATTTCTGTATTAAGTTTGAAATATCGAATACTTAATTTAAATCAAAATAAATAATAATGAAGTCATTTATTTTTAAATTTTTTTTCATCATAAATTAAAAGTAAAGAATAGATTTTATAGATTAAAAATTTTGTAAAAACAAATGAATAAATTCAATTAAGCAATAAACTTAACTTTTTTAGTCTTTTTTTATTAAAGCAATATTTAATATATTCCTTATCCCTGCTGATGATATACAAATTTATTTGAATCTAATTATCAAAAAAAAAATAAATATAATCATAAAAAAGATTAATTTAAAAATTTATAATTTTCTTTAATTTACAAATTTAGAATAATAAATATTTATTTTTTATGGTTGATTTTTTTTAAAACAATGTAAACTAAAAAAATTTTGGAAAATAAAAATTAAAAAATTTATATTGATTAGTTTTAAGAACATTACAGAAAATCACTTACTTGTTTTTTAATAATTGCAGATGATTTTAATTAAAAAATCATAACTTAACTTTTAAAAATAGAACAAATTGGTTTTATGGTTTAAAAACTATGTAAAATACTTAAAAATTGTCTTTATACTTTCTCTTTTCTAAACTTTTACGATTAATTAATATTTAAAAACTTTGAATCTTATATTTTCATTTTGAACTTTTTTAAATAAAAAATGCTTTCTATTTTTTGAAAAAAATATGATGATGCAATAAAAATATTGGTTTTGCAACATTTTTAAAATTATTTTATAAAATTCTTAATTCAACCATTAAACTTTTACTTTTTTATTATAAATTTATGCAAAATATTAAATGAATAATACAAAAAAGTAATATCTAAATGTAAAAAAAGTCAAATATCAATCAAAATAATCGAAGTAAAAGGATAATTTTTTTAAATGAAAAATTTAAAGAAAATTATTAAATTAAAATTATCAATTAAAGTCATGTTATAAGTAATAAATACTTTTTTAAATCGCATTCCAAAAGATTTTAACTATTTTTTCAATATTTGATTAATTATTGAATTTACATTTTTTATTTTTAATTTATTTGTTATTTTGTTCTAAGACTTTTAACAGGATAATTTTATTTAGAAATATATGATGCTTATATTTGAGTTTTTGATGATGAGTAAATTGGCGAAATTATAAAAACATGAAAAAGTGAGAATCAAGAGTTATTTTTTTTATAAATAATGTATTATTGTTAAAACTTTAAATTCTAATAAATAAAAATTTTATATACAATAAAATAAAGCTTAAATAATTTAATATCTATATTACTTTATGAATAAAATAATTTAAAAATGTACAAATTGTAAATAAATTATTATTGAATATTAGAAGTAAAATTTTTAAATTGAAAATCAAAAGTTAATTTTCGTAAACAAATTTTATTTTTCATTTAATACTTTTATATTCTAATAAATAAAAGCTGTTCTTACAATGAAATAAAGTTTAAATAATTTTAAATATTTGTTGCTTTATTAATAAAATAATTTTTAAAAGTTTACTAATTAGTAATGAAATTATTATTGAATATTAAAATTCTTAAATCTATATTACAATTTTTATTAAGTAAGATTCTATCCAATGATAACATTATTAGGACAACAAAATTAAATGTATATTTCTATCTATTTTAGGAAAGAGCTATTTATTGATTAATTTTATGATGTATTTATCAATTGAAGAAATCTGAAAAGTGAGTATTTATTTTATTAATTCTTGTAATCAAATAATAAAATCCAAATAGTGAATATATGGTATAAAATACTAAGATTTCTAATAGATTTAGATAATTGAAAAGAAAATAGAAAAGAAAAAATTTTGTTATAAATTGATATTAATCTTTTATAAGTTGATTATATAAATAAACAAAGCCAAACATTAAAAAATTAGGAGTTTTTTGAATTTCCAAAATGGAGTAGGGTCCTAATTAAAATGGTGTTATTTAATATGAGAGGCCTCAAACAAGAAAAATGTCTAGCCGCACTTTAAAGCAGCTAGAGAAAAAATTTAAGGCTAAATTTGTCAAACCACAAGCTTGGAAAAAGGATGAAGATTCAAAGTTGTGTTTTATCTGTCAAAAAGAATTTAATTTTTTATATCGCAGAAGGCATCACTGCAGAAAATGCGCAAATTTATTTTGCTCTTCGTAAAAAATAATTTTACTGAATAATAAATTAATTTTAAACAATCTTAAAAATATTATAGCTGCTCAAATTACTTTCTTTCTTTGCTATTCAACCCTTTAGATGAAGTTGATAAAGAAACACGTTTGTGTAAAAATTGTTTCGACCAGTTTAAGCAGTCCATCGAATAGGAATAAAAAAACAGTATTGTTAAACTATACATTTTTTAGTATGTAAATTGGATAAATAATTTTATAAAAGGTGAAGAGGAAGAATCATTAAGCTCTGAAGATGATGAGGAGTCAGACTCCTCTAAAATAACGAATAGAATAGAGTTGAAAGATTAGTTTGAGTTGAAATTGAAGAGCCTGATTAAATATATTTTCTAGCAAGAAAAGAAGTTATCAAACGTACCAAATTTTTGCGACCAATATATAGACCGCACGTTCAATTTTACTATGTATTGTTTAAAAAATTTGCGTTGTCGTTTGAGGAAATAAGATAATGAAAAGAGAATAGAGAAATTTCATGAGATGGACATAAATAGATTTGTGATAATAAAAACTTGTCTGCACAAAGATGCTAACTAATTCACTTATGTAAATGGAATCATAAATAGCAAGAATGTAGCTAAAAAGAATATGTTTACTTCATTTGGACCTAAGAAAGATACATCATCTGTCATTTAATATTAAAACTAAAGGAGTAATAACAGCTCTTTTGATGGAAGTAACCATAATAACAATGGATCTTAAAGTGCAATAAATTAAGGTGTTAGGTGTATGATAATAGGAGTTTCAGTAGATATCTTTAGCAATACAGATACAAATTACCCTGATTTGTAATAAATTATTTAGAAGCAGAGATTGTATATCTAGAGAATAGTTGAAGGAATCAAGCAATTTAAACCTTAAATAATTTTCTGCAGAGAAAACGTAAATCAAGATGTTCTAACTCAACTAGAATAAGAAAAAATTACAGTTGTGCAAAAGATAAAAAATAATATAATACTTAAAATAGCCGAATGTGCAAGATGTTTGATAATTGATGATATTTCCCTAATTTTACCCCAAAACAACAACCAATCCAATCAAAAGATCAGCAGCCAAATAACTAAAAGCTATATAGGCAATTTATACAGTGTCTACTTCAAGACTTTCTAATTCGTAACTAAGTCAAAAACTTATATGTTCCTTGTTTAACCAGAGAAATCAGCAGCATATCATGTTTCCCTGCTAATAACTGGTCCTGAGCTTGAAATTCTTAAATAATTCAAAAAAAATCTCTAAGGTTATCTATTTATTAATTTTATTTTGGTTATATTTCTAAAATTAAATTTCTATCCAACCAAACTAAATATTTCACAATAATAAATTTAATTATACTTTTTTGGTGAAGCAAGTCAAAAAAATTTCTAAAAATCTTTTACAAATCTTTTTACAAATTGTTTAATTCTTTTATAATATTAAATTTATTACTGAATAGTTATTTTAAGATTGGCTCGTCACCTCTATTTGGAATAGGAAATAGTTTACACAAATAATGAAATGATTAGCAAAAACAATAAAAAACTCAGGAAATATTACATCTAACAGCTTGAAAATGATTTTATAGTAAATATTTTTTTTTGTTTTTTTGATTTATGATACTTACATACTAAATTAATAAATAGGATTTTGGTAATTTGAATAACTTCATAGATGATAAAATTGGCTTATCTGAATATCTTTACAGTGATAACTAAAAGTTTTCATATGTTTGCATCTAATATAAAAAAGTAGAATGGAATTAATTTGATGGAGTAAATTCTCATGAAGAATTGGAAAAATATTTGTAAGATAAAAAAATAAACTACGAGAATTCTAAAATCAATACTTTAGTTAAGTATTGTGGAGAATATGAGCATGAATAAATCTCTTTTTACTAAGTCAAGGATATTAGCCTAGGTAATAAAATAATTATTATAAAATAAAAAATTTTTAAGATAATTTGCAATTTAATTGATGAGTTTTATTTAATAAAAATATTAAACTTTTTTTATTCTAAAAAATTTTATTAAATTCTAAAAGCTGATAAATTATATTCGATTTACAAAGAAAGACACACTAGTTGTGATTATAAAGAATGCAAAACACCAAGATATAATCATTACCATCTGTACATCAGAAATAAATGCTATATCAAATTGAGCATTTCTGAAAGGTTGGATTCTAATATAGCTAAAAAAATTAAGGAGACTGCTGTTTAAGGTCGTACAAAGACTGAGACAGGACCGCAGATGGCTTATTAATATTCAAATCAAATATCTAACCCTAATAAAGTTAAAGGAGATGAATAAATGAGGTACGAAAAATACTAAAATTAATAGAATGTAATATAGTATTAGTATCATAATCATCAAAGAAATCATACTAGAAGCCCTTAAAAGCAATAAGTAGAAGGTCTTAAAAAAGTTAAAATGCACCCTAAAGACTAAATTTTACAATACATTTTATGCGAATAATGTGATCAAAAAATAACTTCTGTATGTACTATAGTAGTTGGAAAGACCTTAACTGAATATTCATTTAATAGATTTTTGTAGCATATGTTTTAAGAATATTCAGAGTCTTATAAAAAGGAGAAGTTGAATCTATTAAAAGAATGCAGAGATATAAAGGAAGTTAATACTGGCTAGTCAACTGTTGTTTAAAATAAATGCACTCATCAAATAAGAAGTAGAGTTTTTAAACTAAAAGATGTAGAAATTAAATTTTAAGTTGGAAAAACTAATGTTTTTTCATTCAGCAGATTATCTTTTATTCCTGAGCCTGTTCAAGAAAAAATTAGAGAACTTGATGCTTTATATTATAAAGAATCCTTTTAAAATTTCAAATAATTCTTTAAAGTCATGGTTGCAGACGCATAGACTCGTCTTTAAAAGCTAAATGATATTGTATTTTAAAAGAAAATAAGCAAATAATAAAATTTCTTCCACATAATCGAAATGTATAAATCATGTATAGAAAGAATGGAGAGCGAAAAAGAGCACATCATTCAATAAATTGATTCTTCTAAAATAGCCAATTACGCCAGCATGGTATAGATCTATATTTTAGAGTAGAGAATGAATATTGGCTTGAATCGTCTTAACTGTTTGTAAAAAGAAATAATTTAAAAAAAATACAAGCAGTTTGAAAAATAACATTTGTAAATAATTTGATGACTTAAATCAATTAATCAATTTAATTTAAATATAAAAAAAGAGATGAAACAATACATCAGAGTCATTAAATTGAATTAGATAGTAGCATTTTAGATGAGGAAATTTATGATTTAAAAGAGTAAAATTAGTTCATAAGTTATATTATATTCATATATTATGTTTTATTAGAATCGATTAGACTCATAAATTTAAAGGATATTCCACAACATTAAACATTTAAGAAGAAAGACAGAAAGATGATCAATAAGCCTAGCCATTTGTAATTTTAAATCATATTTATAAGTTTTAAAAATTAATTATGCTTTTTGGTACTATTGATGTTAATTCAAATATAATTTTAAATAGGAATACATCCCAGTCTATGAAAAAAATTACCACAGCATGGTTGCATGGGCACTTAACTCTAAATAATATTGCAGATTTCTTAAAGATACAGGTATTATTATTGTTTTCTACTAAATTTTTATTTAATTTTTCAAAAACATTCAAAAATAAAAATTATTTTTAATAGGCTTAAATGGATAAAAAGTTAGTAGAAGCACTCTAATTGAAATGCTTAAAAAGAAGAATATAGACCCTAATTTAGATGAAAAATAAAAAATAGAAGAAAATAAATTTATAGTGAAATTGATGAAGAACTAAGAATTAGATGCTTTGATAAAATATGAATAGTATTTTTAAAATATAAATATTATTCACAAAGATACATAGCTTGATCTCAACAAAGTGTATAATAATCAAGATTAGAATGGTTTTTTAAGATGTAATTCTGAGCATTTCCGCTCATAAAGTTATTAGCCAACTCATATTACAAACAATGATCCCTATTTAGTTAACTAGAATGTTCACCATTCTAACTTCTATAATTAAGCACATAATTAGAATAGTGATGGTGCTAATGAACCACAATGCTTTAAGAGTAAAGACGATTTAACAAGGGACTTGAATGATATTTCAAATAACGAAGATTTAATTATTGAGCAATCTTTGTAAACATTAGACAATAACACCTAAAGTGGTGATGAATCTATTGGTTCAAGAAACAATCTCCCTGAAAAAACTTTACCTCCTAAAAAGATTAAATAATCTAGCTCAGGAAATAATATTAAGGAGAGCTTAAATAACTTATTCTATAAAAATGGTGATTCAAAATCATCCTAAAATAATTTAGTTGAGTATGGACAACAGTAAGAAGCTGCTAGACTGAATAATTTTAAGAAGAAATCTTCATAAAATAATTTAGTTGAATATGGATAGCAATAACAAGAAATTAAAAAGAAATCATCACAAAATAACTTAGTTGAGTATGGCCAATAGCAACAAGAAGTGAAGAAAAAATCATCTTAGAATAATCTAGTTGAGTATGGCTAATAACAGTAAGAAGTTAAGAAAAAATCTTCATAAAATAACTTAGTTGAGTACGAAAAACAACAGCAAGAAGTTAAAATACAAAAAAAATCTTCTCAAAATAATTTAGTCGAATATGGATAATAATAGCAGGAATAAAAGCAGTCTTTTGGAATTAAAAAGAAATCATCTCAAAACAACTTGTTAGATTATGCTTAAGTTCAAGAAGCAAAGCAATTTAAAGATTTGAACTAATCATAAACATAAAATATTCATAACCAATTGCTTTAACATAATATTCACTCTCACAGCTCAAATAATTTAAATACTGTTAATATTAATTAATCCCAGGTGTAGCATCGTATAACCCATTAATCAATTACTTCTGCTACTTAATGTACAAATGTATTTAACAGTATGGTAACAAACAATGACATTGAACAATCGAATGTTGTAAAGCTGACAACAAGAAACTATGATACTAGTGGAAAATTCAATATGGGCGGAAGTGGAAACTCTGGTGAAAAAGTAAGTGAAGTCCATATTTTGTTTGCTAAATAATTTGAGGCTTTCAGAAATCTTTATGGTATTACTTAGGAAAGAATAATAGAATCTCTTAGAACTTGTGCAGTAATTAAGTTACCAGGAGGATAAACACAGAGCTCCTTTGTGAAGAGTCATGACGAATTGTTTGTAGTAAAAGAAGTTTCATCATTGGAATTCAATTACTTTTAAGAGTTTGCTCTATAATACTTAGATCACATGTCATCTAATCCAAACTCACTATTGGCAAAAATGTATGGCTTTTTTATAGTTTCATGTGAAGGAGATAAAAAATACTATGCAGTTATGGAAAATATTTTCTATGGAATGGATAAAGATAATTGTTAAAGTTACGATTTGAAAGGCTCTAAGAAGCGTCGTTTTAGAAAGGAAACAGATATAGGACTTGATACTAATTTTATGATTGATATGAACTGTGAACCCTTCTTTATCGATAATTCTTCTTATCAATCGTTTGATAAGACTATCAGATCTGATAGTGATTTCTTAGCTACATAGGATATAGTGGATTACTCTCTTCTGCTTATTTGCGATAAAAATAAGAAAGTTTTACGTCTTGGCATCATTGATTATTTCAGAAAATATGACTTTTTAAAGTATTTAGAAAAAAATATAAAGTAATTTGTATACAAAGAAGACCCAACAATCGTTGAACCTAATAAATATAAAGAGAGGTTTGTAAAAACTCTTACAAAAAGATTTTTCTGTAAAGTTTGATTCATTAAGAAGCATACATCTTTATCTTACTTTAATGGCTGACAAATTAAATCATCGACTCACTCTACTAAATTTTCTATATCAAATTTTTTTATAATAAAATGATATCTTTAATAAATAAATATAATTCATTAAAATATAATAAATTTTACATATCTTTCTATAGCAAATTAATAAATTAATTACTATAAAAAATTTTCAAATTTTTAAATAGAATTTGATTTAAGCATTAGCTAAAAAATAAAATTTTAAATCAAAAAAGTTTCTGAATCGATTCCATTCTTTTTATATTTATATAGCATTATAAAAAGTTTATCTCTATGTTTTTTATTGCAAGCTATTTATAATCAACAATATTTTATAGCATGAAAAATTAAGTAATTATTCTTAAATATGCTTAATAATTTTAAAAAATAATTATTTATTAATTGAGATGAATATTCTTTCATCTTCTTTACAAATTTGTATTTTTAGTTTTGTCAAAAAAAAGAAAATTCACAAAAAGTTCATTTTTTTTATATTTTGTAGAATTTGAATTTACTTAAAATTACTAATTATTTTTAAATAAATTAGAAATTGTAATTATATGAATTCTAAAGAAGCTAAACATATATTAATGAAAGCTAATTAAGGTGGTAAATACTAAGCAAAATTATACAAAATAGTCATTGGAATACACACAAAAACACGGATGAATGCATTAAAATATTTCATAGAAAAATTTATTAAATGACAAATAAAGCTATCAATTTATCTTTCTATCAAGCTAATAAGTAAATAACGCACTCCTTCTTTGAAGGAAGATTAATCATACCTTTCTCCAAAAGATAACCGCTTTTGCATAAACTATTCAAATCAAACAGCGTTAATATTCTTAAGAATGTAATTAACAACTTATTCTAAATTTTCAAATCCTTCAAATACACCATCAGGGAAGAGGATAGTGAATTCGTGTTCAATAGAAGCTAATAAAGCAGTTTGGTCTAAGCTGTCCAAACCTAATTTCTTGAAATTTTATTCCCATCTAAGGTTTTTCAAATTAACTTATTCAAAATTAGACAAAACCTTCAAGATTCTAGATTCAACCTAATATTTTTTTGAAATAAAAATATTTTTAAATACTAAAGCAGGCTCTATTATTTTATTTAATATCCATTTTAATATGTATGAATGATTAGTTAATGATCATTCATTCTATTTCTTTTAAGAAATATTTTTAACATTAGTTTAATTCTATTGTATTATTCTAATTTTATTGCAAAAAACTATCTGTTAATAATATCCCATTATTTTTTTATTTAAATATAATTGCTAAATTTCTAAAGAAATTCATCATACTTCTTATTTCTCAAGAGTTTCTGTATTGAATTTGTTTTCCTTGGGAAGGTTGTGAGCCCAAGTTGCAGAATTAGTTTCAACTCTAGATCTGTCTTAATTATCTTAGCTGTTTTAGACGTTGTAAAAACATTAACTTAGCGATGAAAAACTAAATTCTTTATTCTAAATTTTAATCAATCATCAGTTTTCATTTTTTATTGTTTGTTGCATTGTCTGGGTATGTATTGCAATTAAATTGAGTAAAAAACAAAAACTATGTGCAAATTTAGTAATGATTGTTTTAAATATGCCTAACTAATTGAACTTTAAAATATTTACAAAAAGTAGACTGGTCTGAATTAGAGCTTAGGAGCACTTAAAACTAATTATTTGCTAAATCTTAAAACTTATCTCAACATTTCAATGTATTTTCTCTATCCTCTTTTCTAAAGTAAATATCCTTTGATAATTTGATAAATATATTTTTCTTTTATTCTTAAATTATTTAGTTATCTTGAATATCTTCTTTTAATCAGATTAATTACCATTGTAAATATCTAGTCAAATAAAAAAATGTTCTATCATATTAATGCATCTGCTTGTTTGGCTCTCTCCATATTAAATAATTTTTTATTTAAATTTACTTAATCTATAATTTATATAGATAAAGAATTATTAAATTACTATTATATTTATTTGTCTATCTTTCTATTTTGGCAATAAAAACTATTTTAATTCATCATCATAAATATTTTTTATGAGCATTTATAATTTAATTAGATTTTATAATGAGCTGTTATTACCAATGATTAACTTTGACATTAAATAATTTTTTTATTTTAATACAAATAAATTTTTTGAATTGGACTATTATTTAGTTTATTAATCAGTAAAAATAAATGCTAAAAAGTTTTAATTCAAATTTAAAAATTAAAAAAATATATATTTAAAATAAAATAAATACTCTATATGGTTTAGATTTATTGACATATTACTACAATAAATATAAATATACCATAAACCTTTATAATAAATAAATTGAACATATTTTTTATACCATAAAATATCCAATAAATAAAAAGGTCTATTTTAAGAGGAGCTCATATTTCGGTTCGTTAACTGAGATGAGGAATTATAGTATAATTTTGGAATTAAAAATTTGTTTAATGATTATATTAAGATAAATTAAATTACTATTATTTTATTAATAATAACAGAAAAGTAGAATCATTTTTATTGTATTTAAATTTATATTTGAAAAATTAATTTACTATATCAAAATGTTATTAAGGTTTTATTTATTTTTACTACAAATACAAATTTAATAAAAAAAGAAAATTGATTTATGAAAATTATTTACTTTCTAGAATAGTTTTTATATTAGCAGTGTAATAAAATAAAATAATAATAATTTAATTTAAATAATTTGCATAGTTGCTTGCTTGTTTACTTATTATTGCCTCAAATTAAAGAGTCAATATCAAAATCAGCCATTTTAAATAAGTTAAATTTTTATTTGTTATTTTTCTTTATTTTTTATCGAGTTGATTAGATAAATAGAAAAAGAAAATAATTTGATTAAATTGCTTCAAAAATAAATTATTTTTCAAAATACAAAAACAATAACTTTGTTAATGAAATTTCATAAAATATTTTTGAAAAATTTCTTATTTTTTGAATAACTTATTTATTTTAAAATAATTATTTATCTAAAAATATAGAAAATTAATTTACCTTTTTTATTTTAAACTGGCAGTTTTAATTCATTTACAATTATTTTTGCTTTTATTAAAATTTATTTCCTTTTATACTTTAATAATATTTTTTTGTTTTTTTATTTTAGTAGGATTACTTTTATTATAATTTATAATAGATTAAATATTTCTTAAATCTCAATTAAATTATAAAATAAAATATAATTTAAAACTTTGCTTGTAAAATTTTTGCATTTCATTTTATATTTTACTGTTTAAAATGTAAAAATTTCAAGAAAACAAAGTATTTAATTTTAAAAAACACTTAAAATTTTTATAATACCATCTAAAAATATCATTTAATAAAGTTTTTTTATTAAGAAAATTTTAATTGTACTAAAATATTGAAAAATAAACTAGAATTAATTATTATTAATAGTTTTTTACCAGAAAATATATTAAATTTACTAAAATGCTGCTATGAGAATTTTTAGAAATCATAAATTTTAAAAAATTAAATGATGAAATAGCAAATATTTGGTAAACTATTGCTTACGTAAAATAACTGAAAAATAATATTCAATATTTAGGTTGCTTATTTTATCATAAATTATCTTTTTAAAATAAAATAAAATGTTTGAATAAGCTTAAATATTTAATAGAACTAATTAAATTCATTTATTTTAAATAGCTGTTTTTTTATTTTCATTTGATTATGTATTTTTATTGTATTGAAAATAAAATTAAGGTGTCAGAAAATTTATTTAATTTTAAATGGAGTCCATGCATGTATGTGCTGGCCTTATTTTTGATGATCTAAAATATATCGATGTATTATTTTGATTATTATGGAATTAAATTTTTATCTTCATCACTGAAATTTAATTAAATATTTTTTTTTAAAAGTAGCTGATTTTGATAAATAAAGGATGAAGATAGCCACAAAATTAAAAAATTTCTAATTCATTATCTTTAGGATTATCTTATTATGGTGTAAATTTTAAAATAGTAAAAACTTAGTGCATTAATTCAGATTTATTAGCATTAGATCTATTAATCTTTGTTTTTTTGTTTGTTTGGTTTTGCATTGATTGATAATTACAAAACTCCGCGAAGGCCAGTCTATTAGAAAACAATTATAAATATATAAAAATCAAACAAATAAAAAAAAGAAAAAAAGTAAAAGAAATTTATTATTCCTCATTAGAGTGATTAGTTTATATTAATAGTAATGGATTATCTAGAATTTGGAGGATAAGAATGGTCGCAACCAATGTAAGCGGATATGCTATGTAGCAACAATACCAAGCAAAGCTAGTTACTATAAGGAAATCTTTAGGTAATGAAGAATGGGTGCGAAATAAATGATAATTAGTCATGGACCACTGACACTTCAATTCCTTCTTAGGATATTGACTATCCGTCAATATCTTACCAAAATAATAAGCTTTCACCCATACATAGCCCACAATATTCATAAAATAGCACTCATTTATTTAAGGCGAATTCATTAGAAAACAGCGTTGAAAATAGTTACTTCAAAGATAGTATCTCTTCTCCATCTTTCTAGCCTAGCTATTTATCTATGTCTTAAAGTTATCACTAATCAGCAGGATAGTAGAAATAAATACCTTCTTCTAGTTTTAGAAAGCAATAACCTTAGAGTTAAGATCAATCTATCTAATTAGCAAACCCTTTTAGCAGAAAATTATAGTCTTCATCTTTGGCTCATTAAATAGAAGGTATAGAAAGTAAATAGGCAAAAAAGACTGACTATATCACTGATAGATATATTCCAAGCAGAAAATAATCTAAATTAAATACTTACTAAGCTTACGAGTGTAATGAAAACTATAATTATTATGAAAACCAATTTACCACTGATAGTCCCCGTGGATCTAGCACAAACAGTGTATTTGTAAAAAATGCAGTTGACAAGGAGGAAATAAACTAAATCAGTATTTCTCAATTATATAAAAACTATGTTTTGGGTATCAAAGATAAAAGAATGCTGAATCTTTCTTTAAGTTCTGCTCATGCGTTTTGTCCCTATAAAAACTAGAACGTATTGCGTTTCACCAAACCAAATATATTAAAGAATAGTATGCAAATAGGTATTGAAGCTAATCAGCAAAAAAGTATATTGCAGTCATCAAGTGCTTACCCAAATTAGCTATTCCTGAACTTAGAAGAAGAATAGTGTTGCTCCCATTTGCGCTTTTCCCGTAAAATATCAAAAGTACCATTTAAAGTTCTAGATGCTCCAGCTCTATAAGATGATTTCTACCTAAATTTAATTGATTGGTCAAGTTAAAATATTCTTGCAGTCGGTTTATCATCATGCGTTTACTTATGGAGGTAGAGTTTGATTTTTAGTTATTACTTAATTTTTTAGTATTTGCGTATCCATACACGCAATAGACATTTATTAGAATTTATTTTTCACTTAATTTGATATAATTTTATTAAAGTCAATTCTTATCTCTAATTTACATAATAACTTGGTAATAATCAATTCATCCATTCAATCTATAATTGATTGATTGATTCATACATTGAATCTTAGATTTTTAGATTGAATCTATAGGGTTTTTTGAGAGATCTTTATTTTATATAGTGATATATAAATCAATTAAATGAGCATAAATAAGCAAATAAAAATAAACATCCCTTATACATATCAAATACATTAATAAACAAAAATTTATCTTTAATCAATCACATCAGATATATAGGTTTTTCTATCTATTTTAACACAATTTTAAACTTGAGGTTTTTTGTTTGCCTTTCTTTTGATATTAGATATATAAAAAATAGATACATAAATAAATAGTCAATCAATTAATCAATCTAACTTGTTAAAGTTAATTAAAAAGAATGTTTACTTAGTTTTTGGTAGGTATATTTTTATTAGTTTTTGCAGAAGGTTTTAAAACTCTATATCGATCATATCTTATGATTAAACAAATAAATCTTATTTTACTATGTAAATTTTAAATATAGTAATAAATCTACCACTCACTTCTTTTATTTTCTTTATCTTTAAAATTAATAGCTAGGCAATTTATTTTTAAATTTTAGATTAAAATTTATATTTTAAAATATTTAGTGCATGTTCTTCAAGAGTAACCAAGCTTTGTGATTTTGGAAGAACAAACGAAGTAACGTCAGTTAATTGGTCACCAAGAAGCTCCCTCATTTCAATTGGTATTTTATATTGTATTTATTAATATTAATTAATCTTACAAAAAAAGGTACTAACACTGGAGAAGTAGAAATATGGGATTCTGTAAAACTAGAAAAAGTGAGAGTTATGAAAGGACATTCATAAAGAGTTGGAACTCTTGCATGGTAAATAAATACCTTTTAAAATTATTTTTAGATAGAAATCCAAATAAATATTAAAAAATGTTATTAAATTAAATAGGAATACAAACATTTTAACTAGTGGTTCTAGAGATAAAACTATATTGCAAAGAGATTTACGTACTAAAAATTTATATGAATAGAAGTTGATAGGCCATAAATAAGAAGTATGTGGATTAAAATGGTCTTTTGATGAATAGTAACTTGCTTCAGGAGGAAACGATAATAAGTTATTTGTATGGAATATGCATTCAAACAAACCTATTACTAAATTTGGTAATCATAATGCAGCAGTAAAAGCTCTTGCCTGGTCACCTCATTAACATGGATTGTTAGTTTCTGGAGGAGGTATTTTAATTAAATTTTTTATTTAATGTTTTTCGAGCTTGAATAGCTAATTAAATTTCTATCTTAAATAAAAATTAATTATTTGTGACTGGATGAATTATTATTGATCATAATAAATTCTCAAATATTAGACTTTTAATTTAATTAATTTTTTAAAAATTTATCAGGAACACAAGATAGAACCATCAGATTTTGGAATACTCTTACAAGTAGACAACTAGAATGTATTGAAACAGGAAGTTAAGTTTGTAACTTGATCTTTAGTAAAAATGTAAATGAGCTAGTTAGCACTCATGGATATAGCTAAAACTAAATAATTATATGGAGTTATCCAGAAATGGAAAAGCTAATTACTTTAACAGGTCATTCATGCAGAGTTCTTTATTTAGCTATGAGCCCAGATGGATAAACTATTGTCACAGGTGCTGGTGATGAAACCTTAAGGTTTTGGAATGTCTTTCCCAGTAACAAGGAAAAATAAATAGATGATTCTACTTCGACTTTACTATCTAAAAATCATGCACTAAGATGAAAAATAAAAATATGAAACTGGACTAATTTATTTCACATATTCTAAATTAAATCTAATTATGTTAATTTAATAGAAAGATCGATGCCTGCCTAATTACTAATATAATAAAATCCTATACTAAAAAAATAATCTTTAATCAAAGAAACTTAACAAAATTATAAATAAATAAATAAATAATTATAAGAATATTTTTCATTACTATTAATAATCTAATTTATATGACTCATCAATTTTACTAAATATAAAAAAAGATGAAGTCTATCAATTCCTTTCTTAAATTAATTTAATAAATATTAAAATTTTAAGCTTTCTCATACTAATGAAAAACAGTATTTACTTTATAAAACTGCTTGTCATTGTTTAAATTTCTATAAATTTTAAATTAACTCCCTCTCACTTTTCTTTACTTAAATCTTATATCTATTTTTTCTCTATAAAAAACATTTATAATAAAATGTAAAGATGCAAACATATTCCATAAAAAACTCTAAAACCTGATAGCTTGAAACAGAATTACTTGACAATAATAAATACTCAAATAAATTGACTGAATTAACTAATGTGGTAATTTAAATTATAAAATAGTACTTTTAAAGCAATTAATAAATATTTTATAATTTATATTCACAAAAGACATATTTATTAAAAATAATGAAATATTTTTAAGTAAAAATGTTTAAATTAAAATATTAAATATATAAGTTGATTATTTGTTTTATCTCATTCAGAAAAAAAAATTTTATAATTAAAATATTTGCATTAAATTTTTAAAATTGTTTAAATTTAATTTTTTTAGAAGTTAAAACAAATAGGTTTGTTTTAATGAAGAATATAAAAATGTCATTTATTTTTATTTTAGATTAATGTCAAAAATTTTGCTAATATTTTTTTTTTCTCTTTTATTCACTTTATTAAATAAAAAACTACTTTTTTAAACAAAATAAAAATTCTTAAATTAGTAGAATCTAAATTTTGGGTATGATAAAGGCATTTAACTTAACGATATTGATAATAATGTTTATTATTATTATTAATTTTATTTACATTTTAAATAAAATAGAGTTTAGTTAAATTAATAATTATTATTTATATTTTGCTTTAATATAATTTTCAAACAATTAGTAACGATTTTAAAATAAAGTTTTTCATTCATTATTTCTTCTATGATTCAGCCCATTTGATTATTGCTTTATAGAATGAGTCAGATCCTAATTAATAAGATGATAAAAATAATTTAAATATGATTATATTTAATTTTTTAGTGATTTAATTACCATCAAGAGTTTCCATAAAATTAGATTAGTCTAATCCTAATGAAGCTAATACAGCTCCTCCCTCATTGGAATTAAGAGCTTTTTCTAATGATTCTAGTGCTTATTAGAATTGTGGACTAATCAAATTTTCTTTTAAATTTTAAACATCCTATTATCCTTCAGGTAAATGCCTAGAAATTTTTAAAGCATATTTTATTAGATTTCATTTTAAGTTTTTAATTTACTAAATAAGCTCTTTTTAGACTTCTTCGTCGTTTGCTAATTCCATTAAACTTTCTTTAGTTAATACTTCAAAGAAATTGGGAGCTAAATTAATTATTTATTTTTCTTTACAATAAATAACTTATTAAAGTTTAAACAATTTTACTATCTCTTTATCTTTGCTAGTATTATTACAAAAGTTATTACATCATTGGATTATTATTTCCTCCTCTTTGATTTAACATGTTTTAAAACATATCTTAAAATTGAGCACCAAAAAGATTAGCATTCATTAAATTTGGTTAACCTTATTGGGCAGGTTAAGGTTAGGATTAAGATGAAGATTACTGAGAAAGTGATTATTAAGGTTCTGAAACAGAAGATGATTCATCTATCATTAATTATTCAATATCAAAATCAATAATGTCTTATACTCTACTAACAATTTCAGCATCTTTGGAAGCATCTTTTTCCTTTATAAAAATATAAGAATTTAATTAAAACATAATCGAGAGTAAGGTTTGTTAATATAGAAATCTGATCTTCTTCTAATAAATATTATCAGAATTCTATTTATATGCTTCGATATTCAAATTTTTACTTAAAGCCAAAAGAAGTATCTTGATTCATCACATTAAAATCTCAAAACTACAACTCTTTTCATTTACTTAGACAATTCTAGAGAAGCATCACTTTACATTACTGCATATTCCTAAATGTTTTTAAAATTGAATGTAAATTAGTTTGGATGTATATTTATTATTCTCATAGGATCTAAATAAATAACAAATCTATTATTTTACAAATTCGGGTTCAGTAGCTCCTTCAGGTGTCCAGGTAAAAGGTTTCTCGCCTTCTAAAGTCTTTTATTAATATAAAAAACCTCTATGTAAACTTATCAATTTTTCAAAGTTTAAAATAAACATACGCATCCAATTTTTACAGTTCCTTTTCTTTTATCAGCAGTAACCTTTTTGGTTGTGGGATCTAAATTCATAATTCCTGCCTTAAAAGAATATTCCTTGACCTATAAGTATACAATAAATTTTATAAATTTTCATTGCTTATTACAAAAAGTTATATTTTTTTTACAAAATCTAAACTCATTTTCCTATTTCTTTCTATTCAAAATAATTAAAGTGTATCTTTTTATTTGTTTGAAGTTTTTATTTATTAATTATTTTAAGTTTTTCAAAATTCAATATATTTAATAAATACATCAATCATCATACTGTCTCTTTTACAAGAGTATCTTAGTCAATTATCTAAAAAAATAAATAAATGTTCACTCACTTCTACCAACCACACTTTTCTTACAAGAAAAAAACCTAATGGTTTAGTAATAACATGTATTTAAAAACTTTGCTGTTTAAAAATAAGGAAAAATATTCTATTTATTATCTATTGTAAAATCTGATTACATAAAATGTTTTTAAAATCTTAAAAAATTTGATGAATATCAAATAAAATAACTTATAATTTATTTTGAAAAAGCAAGCGTATTTTAAATTTATAAAACTGATACTTTCTTATAAAGAATTCGTTTAACAAAATTAATTTTAACTTAATGGAAAATTAAAGACATTCCTGAATACATATAATAAAAATGCTTATAAATTAAAATATAATAATCTTAATATCTATAGGTTGATTTGTTGGTTGGTAGGTAGTAGTAAAGTTTAAGTTTTTTTAATTAAAAACTTGATATTCATAATAAATTTTATTTATATTAAACTATTTTAGCTCAGTTCTAAAACAAAAATATTGCTTATATAGATAGATGATAGTTTTTTGAGTTTGCTTCTTGGTTAGTTAGTTGGTTGATTGGTATGTTTTTTCACCTAATATAATTTTATGCTATATCAGTTTATTTTAGGTCATTTATTAATTAATTCTTTAAATAAAAAATAAAAGAACGATGCTGAATTCATAAACTAGATTTAAATATTTAAATTAAAGAAATTAAGTAATATTTCTTATAAAAGAACCAAATTAAAGATAGTCTCATCGCTTGATTTAAGATTATTAGCGTGCATTTATTTAGCTGTTGTTTTTTGCATCATTGCTTAGACAGCAACCACATATGCTTGCAAACATAGATTTGTTTCGGCTTCCGTTGAACATTCCATCTTTATCATAGCTGCCATTAAGAGAATTATATTTTCTATTTGTTGGCTAAGTTTCTTTTATATGATCTAAGTTTGTTTTTCTCCAAGTACGGATATCATATCTTATATTAATTAAGTGTTTATATTACAAATCGTGAACTGTACATACTGTGTCCAAGAAACGCAAAGAAGAGCTTTGAATAAGTTCCAAGTACTGGTTTTCAATATCCTTAACATTTTCGATAATCAATTCAGATATGAATTTTTCCTTATTAGGATAGTGAATATCGTTTTCAAATGTCATAAGGCAAATACTTTCTTGTATGTTATTTAAAATATCTAAGAGATTTTTCCATAATATGCTAAATTAAATGATTGCCTACTTTTTCTCATCAATTGTAGCAAGTCCTCCTAATGTTTCTACTAAACGGCTGTTAGATATATTATCTATAGCTGTTACAAAATTTTTTTTAAGCTATTCTATTAGGTTATAACCATTTATTTTAAGATAACTTTTATTTGATGTTGGAGAAAGTTGCATATTTGTGTTTCCTAAATTATTTTGGTTTGTATTAGTATCTATTAATAAATCTTCTCTTTTTTATATTGTCCCCATAGGAAGAACACCTGCTGCATTCATATTTTAGGTCATTGTACCTTATACATTTATGTTATTTGGTGTATTATTATTTGTGTTATTATTTATATTGTCTCCTTTGTGATTTAATTTCGGAGTGTCATTTCTTATCTATGGAGAATTCCCAGCTGTTCCTTATTACTAAAGATTAGCTGCTGGATATACCCTTGTAGGATTATTCATTAATATGTATAGAGCTAATAATTCTAGAAAATAATTGCTTTATTTTCGTAAATAAATCTCTTTTATCTAGCTACTTGAGTTACAAAAGTAAGAGTAAATAGTATTGATTATTTTTTATTAGCTCTTTATATAAAATAATAATAAATCAATTAATAGATAAAAAAATCAATCAATCAATCAATCAATTAATTAATATATCAGTCAATCAGTCTATTTTTCAATCAAATAAATAAATCGCTTGCATATTTTTCTTTTTATTATCTCTTAAAAAATACTGTTATATATATATATACACTATTTTAAAATATAATCAGGCTATTAACATCTTTTATAAATTAAATTTTAACAAAATCTCAACCTCTTTTTTAATCAAAAGATACCAAAAACCTAGAAATAAATTTTGAGGTTCATTTTAGTTTAATTAAAATTACAATTAATTTATTCACAACTTTTTATAAGTTTTAAATAAAAGTTTATTCTAAATTTTTATTATGTATGAAAAAGATGCATCGTTTTTTAATGCCTATTTTACATATAAAGTTCTTTAAAAATAATATTTAATAAAATTGTCTCAAATGAGTTTCTAAATTCTAAAGGTTTATTATTAGTTACTTTTTTTATATATTTATTAAAACTCTTTTAGTAAGTATCAAAAAGTGTATCAATCAATCAATATATTATATAATCAAGTTTATATTTTTATTATATTTTTCCCCCAAATAGAAAAGTGAAAACAAAAAAGGTAATAATATGTTAAATTTTACTTAGATTAAATAGTTTTATAATAAATTAAAAAATAATCAAATAAAAACTAATCAGATTTTATAATATTTTTTAAAATTTTATTTGTAAATCTTATTTTTTTCATTTATTTTTTTTCTTTTATATTCTGGAGCTTATAATATAGATAAAAATAATAAGGGTAGTGATATTCTCTGTCTCAATTTTTTTATAATTTCAAGAGGATTCTTTAAATAATAAAATAATATTAAGCTTTATAATATAGGCTAAATAATATAAAAATAGTGGAATTTTTTGTATTGTAAGATTTTAAAGCCTAAATTAAGACCAAATAATTTTTCTTTAGAATATGATTAGGTTAAAAATTAAAAAAACCATAAAATAAATAAAATATCAAAATAAATAATGAATTATGAATATTGAGTTTTTTTAACATAAAAATACAATTCCTAAATGTGAATGTAATCATTCATTATCAAAGTTTATTAGTAAGAAATTATAATAATAAACAAATAAATGGAGCCTAAAAATTAATTTTACTTTTAGTTTTATATTTATTTATAATCAATTCAACAATATACTAATGTTGAATTGGTAATTTTAACAATTTATCTTTAGAGATTTATACACTTTCCAAAGCTTTGAAATATTTTTGGTAGAAAATATTTAATAAAAAATGCATATATTTTTATTTCTTAAAATCTATTATGTATAAAATACATAATTAGATTTTCTTTTTGAAAGTATTTATAATGATCAAAGTTTATAGATTATTAATTAACAGATAAATTAATTTAAAATAAAATTTTATCATCAAAGATTTAAATATAAAACTAATTTTAGTTTTTTTTTTGATATGAATCTATCTATTAAAAATTAGCATATTAAAATTTGAAATTATAAATTTTAGACAAACCGTTTAATTTTAATTACCTCTAACATAAATCAAAAAAAAGAAGATTGCGCGCGTAGTAAAATATCATTTATTAGAATAGTCCGCTAAAAAAAAACAAAATCTTAACTTTAAAAAATTTCATAGATAGAGTTAAAATTAGGAGAATACTTGCAAAAAACGATTAAATATATAAGAATATAATAGCGTGAATAGAACATATTATGGTAAGATCTTTTAATTTCATTAATATAATTATTAAATTAAGAAAATTTTAATTATATTACATGATGAAGTCTCAAGAAACTTTAGCTGCCTGCCAATCTCTCGACAAGTAATTATAGCCACAAAAGCTTAAAATTTTATAAAAATAAGCATATAGTAAAATGTATTCTATTATAATTAAACTAGATTCGCTCATCCAAAGAAGGTTTCACCTGTTTAGGTAATAGCATATATCCATTTTATTAAAATTTTAGTCCTTAAAAAGAATATATCAAAATATTCTATCACAAAAAATGTAGAAGTCCCAGATTATTGAAGAGCCTCCTTTATAAAAGAAGATAAAGCCAACTGAACCAGGGTAAATCATTTTAGAATTATCATTTAATTTCTTATCTTTATCAGTTTAAGATGCTACCTTACCAAGCTCTACTTATAGATTAGATACTTATCATTCTATGAGAAGATTTTAACCCTCTTAGGAGGAAAAAATTTTAACTTTAAACTTTTTAAAAATTTAGTGAAGATTAACTAAGTCTACTTTTGAAATGGAGAAGCTCATACATCCCTCCTCAAAAACCCACCAACGAAGATGAATATAAGTAAGCTTTTTTGATTTTAAAATAAAAAGAACTCAACTAAATTAAGAAATGAAGCTCTAAAATTAGCAAAAAATCATATTTGATTTCCAGAAAAGAGTAATTAATTTATCAAAATTAAAATTAGGAAAATTATATGTAAGGATATATCAAGCGAAAAACTTGAATAGCATGCAGGAGATGTTTCTGCTTTATTTATTAATATAAAATGGAAGTTATCTGAAGGATAAAGTGGCAAGTCAATAGAAGATTTAGTAAAAATAAATTTCATATTCGATAGTTATTGCTGATTTCTACCATTTTATTTACATTTTTTTCTTAATATAGAAAAAATTAGCAATTAGCGATAAGCTGATTAACAATGGCATCATATTTATTTGGAGCGAAAAGGAAATATTAAGTTAAATTGTTGACGTCCTTGAAGCAAAAGGATTCAATTATATAGAAAATTTCATGATTAACTAGCTTTCAGCAGACAAAGCTCTAGAAATGTAAAGAAAAAATTAAAATTAGTAAAGTAAAGAGAAAAAAATTACAGATTTCTTTAAGAGATTAACACCTCAAAAGAATATTTGGTCTGATATAACTCCAGAACAGTGTATTGAATAAGAAAAGTTCCCTCCAAATAACTATGTCTAAGATATTTTTGTAAATAGTGAATACAGTTTTTTCAGAAAATCAAAAAAAATCCTTTTAATGCTTCGTAAATTCAATAAAGATGCTTAACTTGAATTAAGACATTAGCGTACTTCTGACATATTCTTTGATATTTTTGAATAAAACAAGCCAAATGGTAATTAATTATAAATCTTAACTTAAGTTAAATTTTTCTAAAAATTTTTTTATTCTTTTAAAAAGATGTAAGCAAAAAAGGAATGGAATTTGTTTATAAAATGATAGAAACCCTCCTTCCCAAAGCTAATTATAGCGAAGAAAATAAAGGAGCTTTTAAAATGATGGAATTGTATGCTGATGATAAGTCTTAACCTAGAAAGGGATGGATAAGCGTATATGAATAAGAGTGAAAAATCTGATAAAATACAGTTTTCTAAATCGAAATCTGTAAAAAAAAAGCAATATTTTATAAATAAATAATAATTAAGCGAATAAGCGCAATATAAAGAAAAAGAATCAAACATTTTATAAATAAATAACTACAAAAAACATAATTAATTATTAATCACCGATCGATAAATTTAATCTTTCAAATTAATGAAAATTTCTTTATTTTCATCATTAATTATTTTCCACACACACACAAAACATTTATTTAAATAAAAATAAGGTCATTTAAATGATACCTAAAAGATATATATCTATCTAACTAACTATCTATTTATATATCTATCTATCTATTTCTCTAACCAACTTTCAAAGTCTTATTAAAATAAATTCATAATTGTTGCCCAAAAGCAATAAATACCCTTTGTTGCTATTAATTCCTTTCTATATATTTATCTATTTTTCTATATAAATTTCTTTCATTTTCTTGAATTATTAAATTATAAAAATTAATATTTAGAATATCTCTGAGCGATTTTGTAACTGATTCGAAATTTTCGATTGTAATTTACTTAAACTTATTAAAATGTTTATATAAGAGCATATCTTGATGAAAGTTCTAGATAATTAGTCTTGTTATAAACTTATTTACTTTTTATTGCTTTCTTACGCGTGTAAATTATTAATAAAATGAAATTAATTAATGAAAACCAATCAGATTTGTTTATGATTAGATAGATATCTGATTCAACTATAATAAAAACTATTTTCGTTTTAATTATTAATTATTATAATTTAATTTAAAATAAAAAAAATTTAATTAACACAACAATAAATATAAGATAATGTCTAAATTATTAGCTTTAGCTTTAATACTCTCACTTTTAGGTACTGCTTTAGCTCTTTATGACAATAACTCTAAAGTCATTAAGCTCAACAAAAGCAGATTTTAAAACGAAGTCATTAACTCAAAAGAACTTTGGCTTGTTGAATTCTTTGGTAATTAATTTACAATTCTAACAAACAAGCAATGAGCTTGATCATTTATTGCGATAATTTATATTATCTTAAGCAATTTTAAGATTTAACATTTTATAAATAATTAATAATATAATTAAAAAGCCCCTTGGTGTGGTCACTGTAAGAGCTTGGCTCCTGAATGGGAAAAGGCTGCTAAGGCCCTTGAAGGTATCGTAAAAGTCGGTGCTGTTGATATGACTACTGATCAAGTAATAATTTAAAGTATTTTTTTAAAAATGCCTAAAAAACATCCAAATTTTAGTCCTAACTTAAAATGAAATGAAGGAAACTTAAATTATCAATCTAATCCAACACATTCTTAAATTTTAGATTGATAAATTAATTCAATTTTCAAAAAAAATTCGAATTTTAATTCTCTTTTTTGAAATCTTTCATGAAAAAATTTAAAATTATCTTCGTAAAAAAAAAACTTTCTAATGTTAAATTCTACAGAAAATATCTTTAAACAAAATTCTTGTTATCACCATATCTTAATCAATAATGTCATTAAGATATAATATGATTTGTTGGAATGTTTACTTATAAAACAAACAACATATGATATTTTTAATGCTTTATGTTCTTCAATATGAATAACCTTAAATTTATAACTAATTTTAAATAATAAATAGGAAGTTGGAAGCCCTTACAACATTTAAGGTTTCCCCACTATCAAGTTCTTTGGTGATAATAAGTCTAAGCCCTAAGATTACAACAGTGGAAGAACAGCAAATGATTTAATTAACTACGCCTTAAATGAAGCTAAGAGTATTGCTCAACGTCGTTTGAGTGGTGGAAGCAGCTCATCTGGAAACAGATAATCAGGAGGCTCTAAGGGTAATGCTAATGCTGATAATGATGGTGATGTTGTTGTTTTAACCGATGATAACTTTGATGCCAATGTAGTTGGAAGCAAAGAACCTTGGTTCATTGAATTTTATGCCCCTTGGTGTGGTCACTGCAAGAATTTATAACCTGAATGGAATAAGTTAGCTACTGAAATGAAGACTGAAGGTGTTAAGGTTGCTAAGGTTGATGCTACAGTACATCCTAAAGTTGCTCAACGTTTTGGAGTTAATGGTTATCCCACCATTAAATTCTTCCCTGCCGGTTTCTCCAGTGACTCTGAAGGTAATTTATTAAATAGTATTTTTCTTGAAATACAAAGAAAAAGATAATTCTCATATAGCAAAATATATAAATAAATGCACATTAAGTAGGAATAGATTTTCAAAAAGCTAATCTCATTTATCTATTTATTTAGTTAGTTAAGGCTATTCAAGCAATATTTAAGATATAAATTAAATAGGTTTTCAAAATTTATTAAATCTAAATTAGAAGACTTATTTTAATTGAAAGATTATTAATTTTTGAAGGTTAATTAAATAGCTATTTTAAATAATAAAAGCTGTTGATTACAATGGTGGCAGAGATGCTTCTTCATTGGGAAGCTGGGCTAAGGAGCAAAGAGATGCTAAAAAACCTATTATGTTCACTCAACTTCTCAATCAATCTATTTATGATGAATACTGCACTAACAACTCTGGTAATATTTAGCAATTGATTTGTTTAATTTTATTTAATTAATTTTTTGTAAAGGTGTTTGCATTATCTTCCTTCTTCCTCATATTTATGATTCTTCTGCAGCTCAAAGAAATGGATACATCAATTTAATTACTGAAATCGCCCAAGCTAATAAGGGAAGACCTATTACTTACTTATGGAGTTAAGGTGGTGATTAATACGATTTCGAAGAAAAGCTTAATGCTGGAGGCAGTGGTTATCCTTCTGCTATGGCAATTTCTCATAAGAAAAATCTCTACCAAATCTTTAAAGGTTCTTTCAAGAAGAAAGACTTAGATAGCTTCATTTCTGGATTACTAACTGGTCGTGGTAGCTTCTCTACTTTACCTACTCTTCCTAAAATCAAAAAGGTTAAGGAATGGGATGGTTAAGATGCTGAATAATAACAAACTGATAACAGCGATCTTTGAGTTACTGTATTTTAAATTTAGTTAAAATTATTGTCTAGAATATTATTTTGTTAGTTAGTTAGTTAAATATGCATGTAATAAAATAAATGTATGCAGCCTAATTAAATAATCATTTTATCACTCATAATAAATTCTCTCCATAAATTAATATATAATTTTAAATAAATTAAAAATAATAAATTGATAAATCTAAAAACAAAAAATCTAGTTATATAATTTAAAGATGCACAAAAGAAAAAGAAGTATATGATAAAGATGTAATTCTTACTGTGTTTATTTATTCATGTAAGATACTTTTTGTTCAAATAAAAATAGAAATGTTATTACAAAATTTAATAAATATTGCAATATTTTTATTTATTTTATAAACAAATCATTTCATTATTAATAAAATAAGTTTAAAAATGTTATTTTTTAATTTTTAAAAATTATAATTTTGAATTATGGCCAAGTAAAAAATAAAATATTTAATAATAAAGAGACACTCTTTGTCCTCAAAATAAATTTTAAACATATTTTTAAATAAATATTTGATTTGATTTTGAATTTGATAATTTTAATGTAAGAATAATTATTAATTTTATAAATAATTTAATTTATTAAACAACGAATGAAGATATTTATTTGAATTAAAGATTAATACAGGATTAAATAAATTACTGGTTTCATGAATATTTACAGTTTTCAAAATTTAATATTTAAAATTGAAATGTAAGAATTTCTTGTATTTCTTATAAAGAAATTTCGTATCTATTTTTAGTCTTTTTCTGAAATCTAATTAAAACTTTAGATAAATATGATGAATAGCTTTTTAATTTAATAGCAATTTACCTCATAGAAAGATTTACTTTTATTTACTATTTAAATTTTTATAATACCATCTTTAGTTTATGCAGTGTATAAGCAAGTTTTATCTAATTTGATCTTAATAATTATTTAGTTAATAGTAATTTAAAAAAGAAAATGTAAAATACGTCATATAAAGTTCAAAATCAATTAATTTAGGAGCCTCAGACAGACTATTTAGCAAAGATATAAATCCATCATCTAAAATGTTATTTTTACTGATTTTAAAGTAGAATAATTAACAAAAAATAATATTTAAACTTAATTTTAATACAAAAGATTTAAAGATAGCTTCTTTAGATTGACAATATGTGATAAACCAACTCCAAGTGCTATACAGCCCTCACTTCCAATATTGTTATTGCTATTAATAATATAATCTAATAACTTAAGTATTTATTTAATATTAATAATTTGCCTTAAGTCAATTAATAAATCTTATAGCTAATAATTTTAAGAAAGCGAATCAACTAAAGGCTAGCATCCTTTAGAGCCTATTCTTTCAGCGCTTTTTTTAAATTAATATTTATTTTAGAAATTAAGTTTATTATCAAAATTATATCTAAATACTAAAGATAGAGCCTTAAAGTCACAGCATTTTTCCATTTTTCTCCTACATATTTTTCTAATAATTGATTTGATTAAAGGTTTATTAAAGGTTCAATATTATGGACACAAATATGTATTCCATCTTGAATTTAATGTTCATGGCACTCTTAGTCACCATGTTTGTGGCTATGAGAATGACTATGAGACATATTCTAAATAGTATAATATAAATTTTGACAAATGAAATTCTATAATAGTCTTCTTCAATAATAAGTAGATTGATGAAATGTTTTGTTTTAAATAATGATTTTTAAGACAGAAAGAATCTTTAGTTTTATAGTAAAGGAAAATAAATTATCAATATATAAGAAATTAATTAGTTTACTTAAGTATAAAAAATTGGCGGAATTTAATTTACTAATTAATACATTTAATTAAAGAAATTTTTTTAAATAGATGAATTCATTAAATATAAAGCAAATAATCGATTAATTAATTATAAGTCCTTTTGTTTTACTAAATTATAGAAATCTTTTTCAATCACTAATTTGCAAATATTTTATAATCAGAAATATTTAAAGTACATACAAATTAGATTATTAGGTAAATTTATTAAAAATCAATTCAATTTGAACAGTTTATAGCTAATTAAAATGTTCTTCTCATCAATTTTGATGAATAAATAAATACACGATCGAAATTTATATTCACATTATATTAAAAGGGTATTTTGATTACAATATTTAAATATACTATAAAGAGTACCTAATAGAAAGAAGATTACTCTTTTTATTTTTTAAATTTTATTTTGGCTAACGTTTTTTATAATGGTCAATCAATCATTTAATACTTTATTATAATTTGTGTAAAAATTAGTAGTTTTTTTTATAATATTATCTTGGTTGAAGTTTAAAATAGTAAATTAGGAAAGCATCAATTTATTTATTTTATTCAGTCACAAAAGCACCAGCATAAAGATTTATTAGTTTTTACTTGTGCTTACTAAATTGGTTTACTAGCAGATGGAGGGGAATCTTTCTATGAGTAGGTTTAGCTATGGAAACTATTGTTATATATTTTGGAGCTTTTTGAACATATAGAAATAGCTTTATCTGCTTCTTTAGTTTATTATCTATAATTTTAAGCTTTTTTATGAGCATCAATCAGCAATTCACTGCTGTTAGTAGAGCTACTGTTATTTTCTTACACTTTTTCATCGTCTCCATTTTATTTAATCTCCAAAAGGAAAAATCTCTTCCTTTGTGTCTTAAATAATGTGAAAACAGTAGGAACTTCTTAGATAGAGACAGCTTTAAATAATTAAAAATTAATATTATTTAGATATTTAAATGATGGGTTTTGCTAAAATATTTTTAAATATAAGGGAGATGTAATAAAAAATGAAGCTATAATTCTATTTATTATTATCTTTTCAAAAGATTTTTTAAGTTTGATAAAATTAATTTGTGGATTTGAATACTTTATATAATTTAAAAACATAATTAATTAATACTTTTAGCGTTCATTAAGTTATTAATTTTCTATTAAATTATCAAATCAAATATTAAATAGCTAAACAAATATGGTTAAATATATATCATTTTTACTTAATTTCCAATTATAATACTTGTAAATTTAGTCTTTTAAACATTTATTTGTAATTAAAGTAGTGTAATTTGAAGATTTTACGTGGATAAGTGGTTGACCTTGAGCCATTTTCTTTAGCTATGAATAATTAAACGTTATCTATTTCTTCATATAGATGTATAAAAGTTGTAGAGTTTTAAGAGAAAAATTCAGCTGCATCCAGAATGAAATTTTTAATTGTTTTATCACTTTTTAATGTAATATCATATCTCAAAAGAGTTTAGCTGCTTGGACATTACCAAAATATTGTATAGGTTCCATGTAATGATGCCTATTTATATTGATAGAAAAGATTAAATCATGAAAAATATTAAAAAGATTTAAATATTCGTATGCTAATATTGGTTATCAAATTTGCCTAAAAATTTTTCTTAGTAAATCAACTAAGTAAAACAATAAAAAAAGACGCACAAATCTTAAAATTTTATCATAGAAATAACATTAAAAAATTCATTTATGGGAGGAAAAATTTATAATTTAAGAAATTATTTATAGAAAATTATGTTTTACCTTACTTACTTGCTAACCTCTTTATTTTCTTTATGGAAGTGGCTGAGGTTGACTTGATTCTTTTTTTTTTAAAAATATAAACAACATTAATTCAACAACTTGCTAATCTGTAAATATATTGGTAAAAATGAGCAAACTAATAGTAAAAATATGATCATTGGCTAATAAAATAAAATTTTACTATAGGGAAATTATTCCCACATCATGGGAGAAGTGGAAAGACAAAACTCATTAGACTAATCTTGAACGATCATTATTCTGCAATTAATATCAAATAAATAAGATTGATTGTGTTTAAAAAGGAGATATTAAATTTTTTTTTGCTTTAATCTTATACTTTTTGATTGATATTTTTTAATAAAGTTTCTGCTACTTTATTTTATTATTATGAATATTGTAAAAATCTTCACCTCTTTATTAATCATCGATATTTAAGATTAAGTATTTTTCTATCAGTCTTCTCTTTTAATTAAGAATAAAATAATTAGGCCTATCTATCGTACGGGCAAAAACAGACTTCTGCATTTAATATCTCTCATTAAATTTAAAAAACTAAGATACTTTATTCATTCATTTAATCATTTAAAAGAAATTCAACACAGACAAACATCATTGAATTTTAAATTAACAGTTTCCACTCTTTATTTGATTGATTGATTCATTGATTGATTTGATCTTTAATATAAAGTAATCAAAATCTAAAAATTAATTTTTTGATTAAATGATATTCTTTGTCAATTTCATCAATAGTCTATCAATTTTTGGATTTATTTTCATCGCTAAATTTTTTTAAATTACAGATACTACCTTATTAAACATTAAAAGAAATTCCTTCTTAATAAAATTTATTATTTCTCGTATTGGAATAATTATTTATCAATTTAGATTTTGTTTTGTAATATTTAAATAGACTGATTCGTCTTGCTATTATTTTCACTATATTCGCTCATACAATTTTATATAATAAAATAATCTCTTGTAAAAAAAAGTTTCTATTTACACATGATTTATATATTTTTTTATTTTTTCATTCATTATTTTACCTAAAAAATAAAATCTGACATTATAGTTATTTTATCATTGAAATTTAAAAGAGTGATTTACACTTCAATTAAGTATATTTTACTTACTGCTACTTCAATTTTTTAAAAAAGTACTAATTTTTTACAGGCAATGAGGAATTGTTGTTTTGTTTGTTTCTTAATTATTGAAAGGATGACAGTGATCAAAAAATATATTTAAGTTAAGCTCATGTAAAACTTTGATAATTTAAATCTATAAAAAACCCTATCAATAATTTATAATTATTTTCTTTGATTATGATTTAAATATCTGCAAACACTTTAATTACCTAAATCCTTATTACATATTTAGTTAGTTATTTATGCATATTTAACTAATACTGCTTAGAATAGAATCTAAAGTAGCAGTCAAATTAATCAATAAATGACAATTTTAATTCACCAGTAAAATAGATAAAAGCATATCTTTAAAAATAAAAATCAAAAGTTTTAAATAAAATTAGCCTTAATTCCATCAACTATACAAATAAACATAGGACAATAAGATAAAAGATAATATAAATACAAAAAAAAATTAAGATGAATACCAAGCTTTAATTTTTCATTTTAGTTTTATAAATTTACAAAAATAATATTTTTGAGTTTAAAAATATTTAGTTCTCAAAATGATAAAAATCTTAAAATTATTTATTGAATTCTTTAAGAATTTAATTTAGCCTTATAGCTATAGGAAACATCATTTTAAAATAATTTTTATTGTAAAAAATAAAAAATTAATAATTTGTTATTTAAATTTATTTTAAATTATAATAAAATTATTTTTTTTAATCATATCTAAAAATATTATTAATTCTTAATTTTAGATTATTTCATCTTAATTATGTAATTTACTGGCATAGTTGTTTATTTGATTCTAATATAATTACAGAAAATTATTGTGAAAAATAAATAATATAAATATTTTTATATAAAGAATAAAATTTTATAATATTTTATATAAATTAAATCAATAAATAATTAATTTTAAAAATAAAATTAAAATTTTTAATACTTATTTGGTTTATTATTCAATTTAGAGGAAAAAAACAGCCATTTAAATTTTATATTTGTATTTTAGATTAAGATTATTACAATACTTGTAAATTATATAAATTTTCTTAAATATTTTAATAATTAGTTTCAAAAAAATTAATAAATTTGTAAATATATTAAATTTTAATTATAAAAAATTTACTTAATTGAATTAAAAATTTCAATATTATTTATTTTAAATAATGCTATGAGATGACCTTGAAATTAAAGTACCAAAGATCTCAAAAATCAAATAAGAAAGGAGAAGGGAAATGCTATTATCTTTAGCTACTATAACAATAAACCTTCAATAAATTATACTCCTTTATTTTCTATTGTTTTTATTTCTTAGCTTTGTATTATTAAAAAAATTTAGATACTCTAACTTCTCATTACCTCATTAATTAAGGGAGCTTCATTTAGGAGGTCATTTTGTGATTCTTTATTTGGTTTTAAAATACTTTTGAATATTAATATAAGTCACTCTTAATTAATAAGGAGTTAGAGTATTATTTAATAATAGGAAATTTACAAACAACTTAAAAAATAGTATTTAAATTATTTATTAAATGGTATTTTTCTTGAAATAAAATGTTGATTGAATAAATAAATTGTGAAATTTGAGTATATCAATATTGAAAAAACTTACAGTACTAATAAAAATCTTTCATGAAAAAGTAATTTTTTTTCTGATATTTATTTTATTAAAATATATTAATTTCTATTAAATGGTTAAATTATTATTCATTCATTTATTGACCTGTTTTTGCATAACAAAATAACTTCTATTTATAGCTAAAAAAAATAAATTTCTCTTACATCATTTAAGCAATTTAATTTATTTATATTAATATTAGATTAATATTTGATGATATCTGATGATCAAAAGCTTAACTTTTTACTCACCTATAAAATTTTTCTGATTTATCTTTTTTATCTACAATTTTAATCCTATTTTATCACTACTATAATGGATGCTAAAAGAGATAAATTTTTATTTTTATTTATTTAAAGCATTTTTGATGTTTTAAATAAATATCTTGAACTTGTTTGTTAATTTTTAAGTTGTATTCAAAAAGAAGCAAAATTATTATATAAAATAAGAGAAAATAAAACTTTACACTTTAAGAATTTGTACAAAAGAAGTAAATGCAATTTAATTTATAAAAAATTATTTATTTAAAAATGGGAAAAGAGTATTAGTGTAAATAAATTATTTATAAAGTAGTTTATAGTAAATTATACTTATTTTGGATATAACTACAAAATAAAATATAAATTTTATAATTTATTTATTTATTTTACTGTTTTCTAAGTGTTTAAAATGTTTATTTAGAAAATTTAAAATTTATTAAAAATAGTATTTATTTTTTTATTTATTTATTTTGTGTTCATTCATTTGTTTTTTGCTTGGTTTGTTTGTTTTTTTGTTTTATTATATCATTTTATATTACTGAAAATTTAGAGGAATAAGAATAAGAGAAGTTTATCTATTTATTTCGATTGATTTTATTGGTATCTATAAAATATTTTTTTATTTATTTATTTATTTATTTGTTTTTTTTATTGTTTTTTATATCATTTCAAATGAGATTTTAAATCCAGCCTTTCATTTTGGTAGTTAACTATAATTTTTTAAGAAGAAATTGTCAACACTTCTCTTTTTCATTTTTCAAAATATACTACAATTATTACTTTGTGAAGACTTAATAGAATAGATATCATCATCCATTCTTTATTTATTTTTTTTTTTATTTTCACGAATAAGAACTTCATTTTTGGAGCGATTAGAGCCAATAGAATTACCAATTGAAAAATCTTTCTTTTTTTAAATAATTTGTCTTTCCTTTACGTCTTCATCTCTATCACTTATTTAACTGGAACCTAGGAGGGAAGAAGATTAACTAGACAAGCTACTCCTTTGATTTTGTTAATCCATCCACTACAAATATGCCTATATTAATTTACTTATGCATTAGAAAGGTTCATTTATTTCTAAATTTATTGAGTTGCTATTGACGTAGCCCACCATTTTATGAGTGTATTCTAGATCATATATTTTTTAAGCATTTCTTTCATCAGTATTTTGATCAAAATTAAATTTATCTTTTTTATTTCCCCATAAAGCGCATTTACTCATTGGGCCAAGATCTTAAAAATTCAAAGAACTGCCTTGGAGGTTATTAGCAATCTATTTTATACTATCTTTTTATCCTAAATCAAACACTATAACAATAATTTTATAATCTTTCAGCTAATTTGGTTTCTTTGATATGTATTCATCTTCATCAATTTATCTTGAAGTTATGGTATGGCTTTCTAATTAGATATCATATTTAACTAACTTATCTTCACCATCTAAATATAATTTTTAAAACAAAAGTTATAAAATTGGATGATTAAATTTTATTTTTGATCATTTTATATAAATATGGTAAATAGATTTAATAATAACAAAAAGAAAATTAAACATTAAATGAATACCTTTTAATTGATGTGGAAATTAAATTTTTTATTTAAATTACTGATAACCCTCATTAAATCGCTAAATTATAGTTTTTTTACCAACTCCATCTAATCCTGCGATAAGTATTTTAAAAGTTTTATCAAGTGACATATTTGTAAAATTGTTTTTTTATTTATTTTTTCTTTTGTAAATGATAATGGTTTTGCTTTTAATGCTTGCTTTTCTTCTTTTTGTTTGTTATTTAAGAATTTAATTAAATAATTTTTCTTATCTTTCTGATTTTAATTAATTTTTTATGCTGGCTCCATAAGAATTCATATTAATTTGCGTAAATTACATCTAAATTTGATGATTTTTTTCTTTTTATATTACAACCTTTTTCTTGAGAATTCACCAGTTTAAAAATTTTAGTCTTATGAATAGAAATCCTCACCATTAATAAGAGAAAAACAAGGTAGCTTGTTAGCAACTACTTTAAATCCTCCTTATTGTATTCTCTATTATAAATAATTAGGGTGATGATGTCTCTCTCTTTTAATGATCTAATATACTTCCTAAACCTTTTCTAAAAAATTATAAAGCTGCATTTAATTGATTGATTGATAGATAGTTTGTCTGATCAATATTATCAAGTGAAATCAACTCACTTTAAGTCTTTGAAGTATAAAAAATTACACTTTAATGTAAAATTCAATTTTTAAAGCTTTTATTGATAAGAAATGTAAAAAAGCATCTTCTAAAATTTTTTATGAATAAGAGATTTTTTTAAGATATTCTTAAAAAAGTAATTCATAAAATTTTGGAATATAAAATTAATCAATCAGAATATTTTATTAGATTTAATAGTCACATTTATTTTTACTTTCACTATATTAAATCTTTGTAAAAAAAGTAAATTTGTTAAATAATTTTTACTTGGTTTGATCAATCATCTAGAAATTTAATTTAATTTTCTGCTCAGATTTTTTAATGATTGAGAGTATTCTTTATATATTCTTTTATTTAAATTTTTATACATGATAGATAAATACAAGTGTTATATAGCATCTATTTACAATTTTTACTTAAATATCCCTTGCTTTAAGGTTTTATTAAGGTTTTGTAAAACTTCTTAATAAAAGATTTTTTAAATTGATAGAAAAATCAAATAAACCTTTACAATAATTATACATCAGTTTACATAAAAACAAAAAAGATAATTTACTCACTAATTAGCAACAGAAAATTCTTGAAATATTTATTTTTAATGAAATAGAATAAATTTGATTTAAAATCTGAAAAAGCAATAATTTACTAGATTGTTTAAAGTTAAACATCCAAATATAAAATACAAAAAAAGGGGGTTTTATTTTTTTTAATTAGCTTTATAAACTCAATTAATTGGATTTTTTTTTAATTTTAACAAAGAAAATAAAATACAAAAATAAAGTAACTAATAGAAAGAGAAAATACAAATTACTTTTGATTTATGGTTAGAGATATCTCTAAAGGTAATAATTAATTTAGCATTAGTTAAGCCATATTCTTTTAGAGCTTAACTATTTATACAATATCTTAGAACGGAATTTGTTAATTTTATTTAATACATTAATTTTTAATTTTATAGAAAGTAAGTATCTCAAATAAAATACAGAGCATTTAGTTGTTCAAATCCATATTCTTTATAATCATTTCTATTCATAGCTAGCATTTCAAAATTATCTCCTGAAGTTACCCTTTAACATCCCTAATAAGCTGATGAAGTGTCTTTGAGATGAACTAATTTATTATCTAAATAATCAGGAGTATTCTAAGTGACTTCATTTAATCTAATTTTAGTAAAATAAATGTAATCAATTAATATAACTAATTAATTAATATATCTTACAGTCTTTCTTTTAAGCCCACAAAATTTGATGATCCACCACATAAAATGATATTCTCATAGAAGTATTCTTTAATATCAGGATGTATTTCCTTAATAACACTGCTTGCGCCTTATGAGATACCACATTAATCTAAACCTATTTAAAACAGTTAAGAGAATTATTTATATCTACTCACATTATTTTCATTTTTTTAAATTATTTATTTATTTAGATAGATTTATTTTTTTAAAGGAATACCATTTAAATTACAATTTACACTTTCTATTTTTGCAATTAATTTTGGGATTTTCAAATGTAAAATCACTAATCATTTTTGCTAAGAAAAGGAGTTTTAAATGGTAATAGTTAACAAATTTTTATCTAATTCAATTTAAGATGATGAATAAAAAATAAAATAATGTGCTTGATACCTATATCACTTGGATTAAACAATATTTCTGGAAGGGTGAATCTCTCTTTGTCTAAAGTTAGCTTATCACTATAAGAAGCTTTTAATTTGAAAAGATTTGTTAGCAAGAATCATTAAAAATATGTTTTAATTACATCTATCATAGAAATCTACAGCAAAACCTTTTTTACCTGTCTCGTAATCAGGTAAAATAAAATACTTGGTATGAGAGCCTTTTCTGATATTATTTTTAAATTATAAATTGAATAAATATCTAAGAGTGTTGATATTAATTAATTGCTAAATTTATTTATTTATCTCATATAAGAATTAATAATAAATTATTATTACCGCAATTTGATATCTTTTTAAAAATTTTGTGACACAAAACACATGTCCTCTTTAATTTGAGAAACCATTCTAATTTCGTTTTTTAGCTGAATATATCTGCATGTAATAATTTCTTTCAAATGGTTTGTAAGTAATTTACCACCTATAAAAAATATTTTATAATTAAATTATAAATATTCTAATTAAATATTGGAATTAATTAATATTTAAATAAATATCTTAATAATTAATATTTTATTTATTATTACCAACATCTAATCTTTTAATTGCATAATTTATAGGTTATCCATCAAAGAAAGGCACAAAGTAAGTAGCAGAGTGCCCTATTTCTATAACTAACTGAAAAGTGTCGCTTATTTTTTTATTGTATTTATCTAAAGCGTGTATTTGAGACATTTGTTGAGATAAAGCAGGATATATTGCATCAAATCCAAAATACTCAAAACAAACTTCAATCATTCTTTATCTAACTTTATCAGGTACGCAAGGGTTGTGCAATATACTAATACTATAAGATTATAACTCGTTTTATTTTGATTCAAATTCTGTTTAAGCATCTAGCCTGTTTTTTAAAAATTATTTCAATTTTTCATTTATTCTGATTGAAAATAAATAATGACATTTTTTCCCATAAATGAACTTCATGATCCCAATCAACTACAACACCCCTTACTTAAGGCTTTACATATATCAAATTAGCTTCATCTATGTAGTTATTTAAATTCTCTCCGCATAACAAATTACCATTTTTTCTGTCAATACCTAACAAATATTATAAGCTAAAAAACTGATCAAACTTTCTCTCATTTAAATTTACCTAATAAATTATAGTAAGTTAAATTAGGTACTTCATTTAAAGCAGATCCTAATCTTATTTCCCAAGAACCATTATCCACTATTAATCTTTTATTTAAATTTGTCTTCCAATCGCTCATAGTCTATCTTACTAAATTCTAAAATCTAATTACTTTTAAATTATAATATCGTTTGCTATAAATAAATAAATATTTTTAAGAAGTATGCGTAAACAATTAAATTATTAGAAATATTAACCTAATAAAAATAACAATTAGTCTAAATTTTTAAATAATATATTTAATCTAAATACTCTATATATATAATCTATATATATGTATATAATATATTTTTTTCTTTTTAAAATAATTTTTAATGGATTTAAATTTTACTAAAATAATTTTTATTTTACTTTATTTAGAGTATTCTAAATTAAAATGCTAAATAAGCTTATATAAAAATTCAATAAATCAGTCATATTAAGCATATTATTTTTATTATTAAATAAACTAGAAAAAATTATTTTGTACAAGCTATAGCCCATAAGATGATATTCAATAATATTTATTTTTTTAATTTATTCAAAATATTTCTTAACTTTCTTATTCATTCTTTTTTAGCTTTTTTATAAATTAATAAATAAATTACTACTGTCTACATAACTTATTTTAATAATATATAAAAATTCAAATGTTTGATAAATGATTGTTAAAAGATATTCATATAAAAATTAAAATCAATTAATTATTATTTATTATTAAGTTAAAAAAATATTTGATTTTTGTTTAGTAGGTAATTTTTATTTTTATTTAAGCTTATTTATTTTATTTTTTATCTTAATTTTCTCTTTTTTTATTTTTTCTTTTTAAATTTTATTTATTAAATATTTTTCAAATTTTTTAATTTATTTCAATTTTTAATTTATTTATTTTTTTTTATTTTTTCTTTCTTTCTTTTTTTGAATTCCTATCTATCTATCGTCTTATTTGAGTCAGCTTTTATTAAACAATATTTTTTATATGGTTAATAAAAATTTAGAGAAGAATGATAGGGAATAAAATGTATTTGATGGACTGGCAAATATATTTTTATATTTTTATTTAATTATTTGCCACCATCAGAGCTCTTGTTATTGGAATTTCTTCATCTTGATTATCTTTTTATTCTTAATTTTTTAAGGATGTTAAAAACTTGATTGTATAGGTGGCAGATAAATCTCGATGCTGAAACAAGATTTATCTAATTGGGGATTAAAATGATAAAAAGCTTTTCAGTTGAAGAGGTTAGCTCCAATAAGTTTCGATCTCTGGATTATGGTTTTGATAAGAGATATGAAATGGAGAAGTTTATTTAGTGGGTAATCGAAAAATGGAAAATAATTAATTAATTTCCATTTAATATGGTGAGGGTCGTTCGATAATAACTAGTTTTTGATATTGCAGTGTGAGTTATATCTAAACGAATTCCTTCCATTGAGCAATTTAAAAACTTATTCTCTTAAAATATAAACTTTTTTATTTTTCACTCTTATCAGATTTTTTAATTAAAAATGTATTATAAAATTTTTTCCCCTTATATTTGCTTTAGAGCAATTTTTGAATTTTGATTTTAAATTAAATGAAAACCTCAAATTTATTAATCAAATAAATTAAAATCCTTGATTTTAAGAAAAATATCCTTTCTGTTTGTTTTTTATGAATTTATGAAAAGCCTAAATATTTTTTTAATAGCTTGAACAAATAAATAAATAAATTATTTTTTTAACTCAAGTTTCAAAATAAAATTAGCTAAAAATAATAAACCATTTAATAAATGAAAATAAATTAATAAAATAATTAGGAATTTAATTTAGTTTTTAATATTTTAATTTGCAACAAAGGCAATAACTAATTAATTAATTAACTAACTAACAATAAAAAGGAATAATAAACATATTTATTGAGCTTCTTCTTTGAATTCAAAAAAGAATAACATAACATTATCGTTTTAACTAACTTAATGATTATATAGGAGATTATATTATATTATTATGATGAAATAAAAAAAGAATCTTTAATTTTAGTTAATTTATTAAATTAAGATTGAATGTTATCTTTCTTTCTTTCACTTTGCTTATTCAGCTTCATTAGCACGATTTAAAGCATCAACAAAACTGAAAGGCTCAAATTTATAACCATCTGCTTTGTAGAACTTAGTTTAGAATTCGACCCTGAATAGATTTTTTAAAATTTAATAATCAATTAAAACAAAATTTTGTAAAAGTAATTACCATTAGAGACGAAGAGCATGCAAAAAGCATTCCATAAGATCCATACACATAAGTACAGCAAATGAGATATTTAAGAAAAGGAACCAACCAATAATAATTTATAAAGCACTGCCTCCAACAATACCTCCACCAATAGTTTTTTCAAAGAAGACCTTAGCAAGTTAACCGTGAGCTAAACTCAAAGCCCACAGACGCAAGTAAGATGCAGTGTTAGAAACAGAACCTTTATTTAATAAAATTTGAAATTATTTAAATAATAGACATAATAAATATTATTATTACCGAGAACGAATTCAATAGTTTCAATAACTTAGTGGACAAAAACTTCATTAAAATCGTGATCATCGTGACTAGGAGGAGCGTGAGACTATTATTTAAGAATATAAATTTAGTATGAAAATAAAAAAATAAAGTATTTATTTACTTATAATAAGGGTTCACTTTCATCATGAACTTCTTAGTGTTAGGGTTTTTTCTTTAACAAGAAGAATAGGGGCTTAATTAAAAGCATAATAGGAACACAAGCGACAGATATAATGAGAAGATTGTATTATAACTCTTCTTAGAACTTTGAGTCATTAAAGAGAGGAGTGGGAGTACCATTGAAAGTAGAGACTTGACCCATCTTTAAAGGTAAATTGATCATTTAATTAATAATAGAGGGTGCCAAATATCCTTCTTCATATTGGCTTACCCACTTGAAGATAATCATGAAACACATGTAACCAAAAGTAGATAATAAGAAAACCATTTGGGGTAACCATTCGAAGATCAAATCAACCCAAAGATCGAAATGAATGCAATTTAAACCTTTTAAGAAAATACCCCAAGACATTTGAGCTACACCGAAAATAACAGCAACTATTTATTTTTAAGAAAAGGTTTTATAAATTTTCAAATTTGAATTAAATAAATAAACAAATTACACTTCATCTTGAATGAATTAAAGAAGTTGAGTTCATTGTTTGAAATGTACCACTTAGGATCAAAACCTAAAGGATAGACACAATTTTCATGTTTTTCAATAGTATAATGGGCTTAGCCTTCGTGAACTTCACCATCATGGTGGACATTGTAATAGCAAGAACCAAAAAGATTAATAGGAAGAGCGAGAAAATCATTATAGATTAAACCACAATAGAAAGCAAAAAGACCCATTAAAGCTAATAAATATCTAGCTGGGAATAAAGCTGCTAAAGGAGTGTTAAGTAATTCTTTTCCTTTGTATACAAGCCAAGCACCAAAAGCAAAGAGGGCACCACCATGACCAATATCACCAAACATAATACCGAACTTAAGAGGGAACATACTAATACAGAATAAACCAGGGTTAACTTCTCTATAACGAGGGATACCATATGTGTTAACGATTTCTTAGAAAGGAGCAGTAACATCATTAGTTCTGAAGTGAGTGGGAGGTTCCAAATGAGAAGGTCTCTCTTACTTTTTGACTTCAGTCATACCAATATTAGGGTTATTGGTTCTAACTTTGTCAATAGCTTTAAGCACAGCATGGTCTTGTTCTTCGGGACACCAGAAATAACCACCAAAAACAGCACTCTTGACTGTTAACATATTCATATTGGTGTAAATGTATTTCTCCTTGACTACAAATAATCTAAGTTCTTCAATATAAGAGCATTAGTTACCGATTCTAGGTTAAATCCATTCATCTAAAACGTTATTCAAAGCGTTTTCAGTCAATCTCATTAACTATTTTGAATAAAAAAGAATGATTAATAATCAATCGTATTCAACTATTTAATTTTCCATGTTTTAATTTTTTTTTTTTTAACTTCCTAAATGTTTTGTTTAATTTGCTGTTGTTTCTTAAAATCTAATATTCTTTATAATTAATATTTTACCTATCTAGTATCACTGATTTGCTATTGAATTTCTAAAAATTTGCTATTATAACCGTTAGGATCTCTTGGCATTGAGTACCTTTTTAAGGAAACATTTTAAATAAATATTTCTAAGCTCTTTTTAAATTAAAAATTACTTGCTGGCATTGAATGAATCACAAACTCTATTGAGTTTTGATTTCAAGACACCACTACCACCACTGAAAGCAACAATAAAAACTGATTTTTAAAAGCCTTCTTTGAATTCACCTTAATCGTAGGGGATTTCTGAAGTGAAGACCCAACTGTTACCTTTGGTTGTTCTAAAAATGATTTTCTTAAATCTTAAGGTATCTTCTTTGTTGATAGTACCAGTAATGTAAAATAGCTTGGAAGCACTGGCTAAAGGATTTTCTTCTTCTTTACCTTCTTCAGCCAATTCCAAAGGATTGATAGCGATGTTGTCTAAACCTCTTTATTTATTTATAAGTTAAATATTTTTTATTTATTTCTAATTTTAAAATAGAGTAATTTTTATTCAAATTTATTTCAATCTTTTTCTAAAAAATTATTCTTTTTAAAATTATTCTGCTTTATTTGAATCTTTTTAAGATTTATTTGATCAAAAAAACTATAGAACCTAGCTAGCTCTTATTTAAAATTATTCAAAAAACAAACAGCTTTTCTACTAAAATATTAGTTTTTTATATCATTCTTAACTGTATTACTAGGATTATATGTTAATTTGCACTGAATTAAACCTTTCATTTTTTAGCTAGATATTGAAATTAACTTGCAAGCTTTATAGAGAAACCTATTTGAAAGCTTTGGTTCTTTGAATTTAAATCTAAGATAGTTAGTTAGTTAGTTAATAAATTTTATATTTCTATGGAAAGGCATAGATGGCAAAATAAGATTTTAGCTGATTGAAATTATTTTATGGTAAAATAAATAAAATATTTGAAATTAGAAATCATACGACATAATTCTTTGGTCAACAACTTTTTCTTTGAATTTTCTTAAGACGTTACTGTATTCGATAAGACTATAATATTTTGAGGTAAGACTTTCCAAAGTAAAGGTCTACTCGTTTAATTTGGCAAAAGCATCTTTAACCTAGCTTTCAACGTCATCTATAAATGTGTGATAGGCTTTTTCTCTGCCTCTGAGATAGACTTCTAAAACGTCAAGGTAGGCTTGAATATTGTCACACTTGGTAACTTCTTTTTATTTTGCGACCATTAAGTTATGGATTATATGTATTTGATTTAATATATCTTCAGCTCTTTTGATCTATGGAGTGAAGACTCTGCTCATATGACTTTCGTGAGCGTTTTAGTCCTCAAATTGAACTACTTAAACTTAACCTAATTGATTTAAAACTTCCCAAGCACTTTCCCTAGGGATGACTATGTTGTAGTAAGCCATCTTGTCACTGCGCAACAAACTCATCTTTTCAGTAGTTTTCTTATATTTTTTTTGTTTTCTATCTTCTTTATTCTATTATTCTTTATTCAAAGATAGTTGCTTACTTACTTTGTTTTTTATATGGTTTGATTTATGTATTTGTTAATTTACTTGCTTGATTGATTGTTTGTTTGTTTCCCCTTTGTTTGGCTTGATAGTTCTTTATATTTTTTATTTCTTAGTTTTATTTTATTTTAATTTTTTATTTTATTTATATCCTTTGTACTTTCTATCTCATTTTTCCTCGATATTGATTAAAATTACATATAATATTTCCGTATTATACCTTCACTTTATAATTAAAAAATACAATACAATCAATAATTCATTCTTTCATTCACTATTAGCCTTCATTTTAATTTTTCCATTTAAATTAAAACTTGCCTTTCTTGTTGTGAATTAATTTCTGTATTTCAATTAAAATAAATGGGTATTGTTCAATAAATTAATTATTATTTGATTTAATTTGTCTAAATTCAAGGTACAAAGTTTAAAAAATAATAAGAAATTTCTCTGCCAAATTATTTCAACTATTCTGGTTAAATAATCTTAACTGCATATCTTCCATTAATGACTAGATTTTCACTATTACGGTATATAATACTGTATAATATCTAGCTTTAATATCTGAATAAATACATACTAATGCAATACATTTAAAGTCTTATATTTATTTAACTTTGTTTCTTTGAAATTCTATTTCAAAAATATTTGAATAATCCTTCATTTACTATCGTAAAATACCAATAATGATCCATAGAAATAGCTACTTTAGTGTAGACAAAAAAAAATGTAAATCTCCACGTTTTTCTATTATAAAATATTTGTTTTATTTAGAGTCCCCCACTAATTTGCTCTCATATGTTTGATGATAGAAAATACCAATCGAAATTAAAAATTGCTAAAAGGTATTTTAAATAAATTTATTTTATATTTAAAATTTCATTTAATCTTTTCAAAGTTAATTTATTTGTTGCAAATATATAAAAAAGACTTTTCTTAATCATATTTATGTTTACAAGTAAATTTATTCAAATCACAGTAACAAAAATTTTTTTGTAGGTAAATTTGATCTTTCACACTTTTTTAATATTTTTATTAATATTTATTAAATGAAGAGATTTTTTTTTCTTTAAGTAATTTTTTACTGCTTGTATGAAGTAACTAAATAAAAATTGTCTACTCTTTGCAAAAGATATCTTTAATATTTGATTTATTTGCCAAGATCTACATTTTATCAAATAATTTACTTTTAATTTAATTTATTAATTTTAATAAAAAATAATTTAAAAATTATAAATATTAATTATTAAATTAGAATATTGAATTCTTAAAAATAAAATTGACAAAAGAGAAAAACAAACAAGCAACATTTTTTATTTATAAAATTGAGTTAGGAATATTTTTAAATTAAAAATAAAATTTTTAATTGATCATATTATCATTTTTCTGCAATGCATAATATTTAAGAAATTCTGTTTATTTTATTAATTTATATAAAGAAAATTGAGAAATATTTCATTTCTTATAATTTTCATAAGTTTATTAGTTTATCTTGTCATCTAAATGAGAGTAGCTGTCTTTTATTTTTGCAATTTAGTATAGTCTGTTTATTTCAAAGTAGTTTTTCCTAAATTCCTCTACATCTTTACTCTATTTTAAAAAAAAATTAATATTTAAATTATATAAGATTTAAATATACATCCCATATATCTATTTCACCTAGCCTAAAATTTATTATCATAATACTGCTAAGCTCTCGCAAGTTTATATACTCTTCCATATATATATTTACTTTTGTGAATTATTTTATAATTTTTTAATTAAATTTATTTTAACTTTAGAAAATGTCTTAGCATTTAAATAATGTTAATTTAAAGAATTAAAATATTACTAATAATTAGCTAGCAAGATGAAAAACTAAAAAAATAAAGCTAAATACAAAATTTTAATTTTTATTAAAACATTTTAAAAATTTGAAAATTACATTAAATTTAATTTTCAATTTAATAGTAATTAAATAGTTATTGTCAACATAGCCATAAAATAAATATCTTATTTGTTATAAAATAGGCTTATGGTTTTTAAAAAAAATTAAATAAATTTTAATCAAATACAAAATTTGATTTTATTAAAAAAGAATAACTCTAGAAAAAAAAGAAATAGATAAATTTACGCACTAAAAAATGACTTTTCTCATATTCAACTTTTCTTTAACTCTTCTTTTTTAAATAAACTAAATTAAATTAAAAAAAGAGATATAAAAATATATTTCCATAAAAGAATAGTTGCTTTATTTACATTTCAAATATTTTTTTGTAGTTATAAAAATATATTTAAAAAAAAGAGAGTTAAACTAGTATAAAATTTTTGAAATTCTTTAAAAATTTATTTTTTTATGAAGAAATTTTTATTTTTTTTTTCAGATGAATTAATTTTAATTTAATTTAAATAAATTATTTTTGAAATAGGTTTTTGTTTTATGAAATGTAAAGTTTAAACATACATAACTTATTGAGAGAAATTAATTTTTGACTTTTTAGAGAAAATAATTTAAATTAAAACAAAATATTTTTAATTAGATTTTATTTTTTACAGAAATGTAAAGTTTTAAATTCTTATTTTTATTGAGAGAAATACATTTTTCTACTTTTTAATAAAAAAGGTATCTTAGTTTTAATAAAGTATTTTTGAGTTAGATTTTATTTTTTAAGGAAATGTAAATTTAATTCTAATTTTTATAGAGACAAACAAATTTCTCATTTTTTAAGATAAAATAATCTTATTTCTAAACAAAGTATTTGATTTATTTTTTTATTTTTATGGAAATTTAAAGTTTCAAATTCCAATTTTTATTGAGAGAAATAAAATTCATAATAAATGCAAATAACTATTAACATTTGAGATTTTATTATACCTTATAAAAATGATTTTTTTTTTTTTTTGAATGAAAAAATTAAATTGAGATTAACGGAGATATGTAAAATACTTTTAATACATTAAAATAATTAAGTTTATGTTAATTTAATATAAAGTTGATTTATTTTTAGTAGAAGATTTATTAAATTATCCTTTTTTATGGAAAGTCAAACAAGCAGTATCATTTAACAGTAACGCACTTAGCTAAGTTTCTGGGTTTATCAGGGTTTGTTTCTAAGACTGTGCATATTTCGTAGGTGAGTAATTGAAGAGGAAGAACGCACATTAATGAGGATAACATATCTTTTTATTCAATTTAGATAGAAGCATCAACTTTATCGACGGCTAATTTCTTTAAGCAGTTTGTAATAACAATAGTGTAAGCGCCTCTGCTGTGAACTTCACTCAAAGCGAGACTCATATCGTGGTAGTATTCATCATCAAGAATAATAAGAATAACAGCAGTGCTTTTGGGCTTTTCGCAGTTAATTAAAGCGAGAGGACCATGCTTGAGTTCACCAGCAGAGAAAGCTTCTGCGTGGATGTAAGTTAATTCCTTAAGTTTTAAAGCACCTTCTTTAGCGATGGAAGAACAAGATCCCTTACCCAATATAATAATGTGGTCATGTGAGGCAAGATGTTAGGCAATAGGTTTGACTTATTCTTTAACTTAGTAAAGGGTGATACCAACATGGGTAGGAATAGAACGTAAAGATTGGATGAGTAAAGGACGGACTCTGTCATGTAAGTGAGTTTTATTTTATTCTTCCTTGACGCTGGAAATCCAGGCAGCAATCATAATGAGAGATACACATTAGGATGTGAAGGATTTAGTGGCGGCAACAGCAACTTCTCTTCCGCAGTGAACGTAAACACCACAGTTAACAGAGGTAGCAATTTAACTACCAACAGTATTGACAACACCAATAGTGAATAATCCCTTTTCTTAGGCAAGTTATAAGCAGTGTCTGACATCAGCAGTTTCACCACTTTAAGAAATGCAAATCATACCACCATCTTCATCAGGTAAATCGTAAACAGTGAATTCAGAGGCTTCAATGACTTAGCAAGAGTTGAAGCATTTCAATTTCTTGAAGAAGTTGTTAGCATAAACACCTGCATAGTAGCTTGAACCGCAAGCAACAATAACCTTTATATAAGAATAAATTTTAATAATGAGTTAATTTTATTTATTTGCTTGATTAATCGAATTGTGAGGTTAGAAATTAATTTGATTTGAGTAAATGCAGGGGGTTACTTTGCTTTTTTTTATGAATTAATCAAATTAAAAAATTCAGAATTCTTTAATTGTTAATTTTTTTGAGTAATATTAAATTAGGTGAATAATACTTGCTTGCTTGCTTAATTTTTTTAAATATCTTTGAATAATATGTATTTAATTATCTCATTTATATTTCAGTTATTGACAAATCTTTTCAAATTAAATGCTTTTTCTGTGCGAATTTCTTAATTCTTTTTTTTTTTCTTTTACTAAAGTCTAATTTGGGTTCATTCATTAATTTTCCTTATTATTTTGCATTTAAATTACTTTCTTTTACTATTTTTTTTTTTCATTATCTAATAATAGCTTATTCTTTTTTCTACTTAACTATTAAAATTAATTATCACCTTTTTCCTCGTTCGATTACTAGAAAATTAGTTTGTTTGCAAATTTGTTAATTTATTTACCATATTCTTGACATTGGCGATATCTTTTTAGTAGGGTTCAAGACCTCCTAATTTGGGTCTGTTTTCTTGGAGTAAACGGGCACCATTACTGAAGGTCTTAAGGAGAGTTTCGGGTTGTTCGAAGATTTCTTATTCAAAGAAATGTTTGTAGGGAGACTTAGGAGCAATTTGGACTTCATTCTTTTCCTTGATAACTTGAATTCTGTCCTTGTTGTTCTTGTAGAATTCAGACATGTTCTTCAAGTTGAATTCCATAAGTTCACCGTCTTAGAGTAAAATGTAGTTGGAAGTGTACTTTTCGAAAGCAATCTTTTCAGAGGCAACGTAGATGGAATCAGTGGCAATACCGACCAAAATGGGAGAACCATTTCTAGCAACAATTAAACTTTCAGGATTGCACTTATCGATAATGACTAAACCCCATTGACTTTATTTTAATAAAGAAATAATTTAATACAAATACATTTTTTTTTTTTGCTTATAGTTAGAAACAAGAAATTAAAGTAAATTAGTTACCCTTGAAGTTTGTTTTGGATGACTCTTCTTACAGCCTTGAAGGTGGTGAGAGATTCATCACTCTTTAATTCAAGAGCGATCAATTGAGCAATTAATTCAGAATCAGTTTCTGAGGAGAGCTTAATGCCTTATGAAATCAATTCACTTCTGATATCAGTGAAGTTGTCAAGAGTACCGTTGTGGCAAAGCATGATTCTCTAGTCTTGATCAAAGTGAGGGTGAGCATTTTGATCAGTCTTACCACCGCAAGTGGCCCATCTGGTGTGTCCAATACCGATGTAAGAGTTTTTGTGCTTTTGAGGAATGACTTCCTTTAAGACATCGATGCAATCGATTTTCTTGATAGAGTCAGAAGCCAACTTAGTGAGAGTGAATTCAGTTTCACCAGCCTTGATGGAAGCAATACCAGCAGAGTCATAACCTCTGTTTTAAAGAAGTTCAATACCTTCGAGGACAGCGACTTCAGCATCAGTCTTTTGAGTGAGAACACCAATAATACCGCACATTTTTATTGTATGAGTGATTTTTTATGGAAATGGATTTTTTGTTTGTAGAGTTTTTATTGTGGTTTATTAAATTTTTTTTGTTTACAAATTATTATTAGGAGTTACTAGGTCTTGGATTTAAAAAAGATGCCTAATCAAAAATTTGATAAAATATAATTAAAATAGTTAAGATAAACGTGCTTCTCAATTATTAAATTTGAATTGTACATCATTCTCTAAATTATAAATTTAAGAGAATACTTAATATCAAAAACTTTTACGATCAGAAATAATATAGATCGCTATCGCACATTTTAAAGGAGAAATTCTTCACAAATAAATTTGTATTTAGATTACTCATTTAATAATTTGCGCCGAGTCTAATAAATTTGTAAAACATGGCAAATAATATTTATGTTTTGGAGAAATTATTATGCTAACATTTAAATGAATTCAGTTTTCTTTACTTTTTGCAGTTTGTAAGAGTTTATATTACATAATTGCATCATTCTTTCTTTACAAAGTCTACATATTTAAATGAAAAAAATTGCAATTTAAAAGAAAAACCCTTTTTTAGGTCGCTAACTACTAAATACATATTATGAAAATCAAATAATCAATACAGTTAATTGCTATTAATAACTCTTTTTATTTTACTCCAGTTAAAGCAATTTACATAATTTGCTTAAAAGTTTGTCAAGTAAAAAGAATGCGTTTAGCAAAAATTTAGCAAAATATGAATCCATTAAAATTGAAAAAGCAAAAATTTACTAAATAAATCATATTTTAATTTCAATTTTAAAGAGATTCTCAAGAACATTTCTATTTTGTCTAGTTTGATTAGGGAAATTTGATAAAATTATAAAATTAGAACAAAAGTATTAAATTAATTACACAGCGTATAATATAATGAATGAGTTTTATTTATTTATTTGTTTAATGCTCGCAATTATTAAATAAGGGATCATTATAATAGTTAAGCTATTTTGATTACCAACACCAAAACATAAAACAAAATGCCATACAAATTAAATTGAATGCTAATCACTTGTTTAAAGAAAAAGTTAATTCAATATCTTCTATTTTTGTTGAGCATTTACGCCACCCCATATACAATTAGAACTAAATTTATCAACATTCTAAAATTAAAAATTAGAAAAAAGTTAAGTATTATTAAATTTGAGAAATTATCTTCAAAACTATTTTTTTAATCTGATTTTTCTCTACCATAGACAATCCCTTACCAATTACTTTATTATTTTTGTATTCTTAAAGCCTCTATAATAAGTTTTTATTATCCAATCCAAAATATGTTGGATTTTAAATACCGATTCGAAAAATTTCTATATTCTTACCTCTAAAAATTGAAAATTCTAGCAAATCAAGATATTTTGGTAACATTTTTGGTAAATCAGAAATCTCAAAAGATTTACCTTTCAGATTAGAAATTTATTGTTAATATAGAAAAATTTTGACTTCTGATAAGATTTAATAGAATACATTTTTATTTCATCATGTTAAAGGAATTAAAAGATTTTCTATGAGAGTTAAATCCCAAAATATTTGAAATTACTATTCTCCATTTAAAATATTTTGATGTATAATCATTCTTCAATATTTGCTGCTATGCATCAGGGAAAAAAAATAAATAAATAAATTGTGGTAATATACAAATTATCTGACTAAGATATAAAATTTTATGAAAGAATAAGACCATACAAAATATGTAATTGGATTAATTTAATTTGTTATTTTGTTATATTTTGATATTTTTATCACATTATTACTTCAATATCATAATTAATTCACATAAAGCAAAAAACTTACCTCCAAAAAAAATCTTCTACGAATTCATCAAAAATCACCACCTATCCACATTATTAAAGCTATTAGCTTCCCTTATTTATACAATACAAAAATAAAGCTTTATTTTAAGAGTATTTATGTGAGAATGGATAATGCGTTTATAAATATTTCTAAAAACCTAATAAAAAGTCTAGATTTTAATCAAATCAAGTTTATCTGAAGCGTTTACTGAATTGTTATTTTTGTGTGATTATTTACTGTATTCATTTTTACAAATTTATTAATTTGAATAAGAGTTCATTAACAAAGCCATATCATTAAATTAACAATAGTAATATACTTAACGTAGAAATGAACACGCAATCATAGGTTATTTTTTGTTACTAGAAATTACTATTAATCCAGTAAATATTCTGAAAGTTGCAAAATACTTTCAAACTTTTATCACACTTTAAATAACAGTGCAATATATTCTCAAATGAATAAGCACAAAAAAAAATCTATTTTGCTTAATGTGAATAATTTAGATAGACAAAGCCTATATATTTATATATAAATTTACTTTATTTAAATGCATAATTTTTTCTACTCCTAAAAGTAATAAATTTTTTTAGTAAATTTTAATCCATTAAATGGTTCTCTCAACAAAAATCTTTTTCATTTAAAAATAGATTTTAAGAAAGATTTATTTAAGCACCTAAATAAAGTAAAATTGACTATTCCATTTCATAATATCTTAAATAAAAAAGATATGCTAATTACTTATTATTGATATAAAAGAAATACTTATTAAATACTAATCTATTTTTTTTCATATTTACTAAATAAATTTCTAGAAATTAAAGAAATTTTACTGTTGTTATATAAATTGTGTTTTTACTTTTAAATGCTACCTAATTTTATTTGCTAATGTCTTTACTGGTAGACTGATATAATATTTTAATTTAGTATTACAACACCCTTATATCTTTATTTATTCTGATAAAATTAGAAGATTTCTTACTTTTTACTGAAAAATTTCACAATATTTTGGTTTCAGTAAATTAAATTAGTGAGAGTAGTATTATACTAAAAAAGGTAATTTATTACATTTAAAATTAAAATTCAGTAAACTATTAATAGTATAGACTATCTTATATATTCACATATATGAAGTCTTTTTAAAAAATTATTTTATTATGGTTCAACTTACTTTTAATAGTTATTAAAACAAATCATTTAAATTATTTGAGTAATATTATCAATAAATATTTAAGGGACTGGACTTCTTTCAAAATATATTCGATTAAAATATCTAAATATGATAATTTAGAATAGCTTGCAATAGCTACTTTGTACTGACCTAATTATTTGATTAATCTTATTTTTTAAAATATATTAATCATTTTAAAATGTTACTGGATTATTTTTTAATTTATTAAATAAATAATCTTACCTAAATTTAATTTATCCTGCAAATTATAAAAATTTATAATAAATTTTTAATATTATTTATTTAAGCATTAATTATTCTAAGCTGAGTGGTAAAATTATAAATTCTACTATAAATACTTCATTAATATTAAATAATTTAGCTATTATAAATAATTTTATGATATATAAAGATAAAAATTTTCATTAGGTGTTGTTTTAAGCTATTTTTGAATTTACTGAACTAATATATTCGTTTTGAAATGTTAAATCCTAAAATAAAAAACTCATTCCACTTATTAAAATATATGTAATCATTTTGCATTAAAATCTTAGTTTTTATTAAATAAAGAGAAGAGGATTATTATTCTTCAAAACATCATAATGCAATATTTTTAAATAAACTCAAGCCATATGCAAAAAATTTCATGATTTGTTTGATGTTCATAATTTTCTTGTAAATTATTTAAATATCAAAAGAATTTAAAAAGAAATCCATAATAATAAAAATAAATTTTAGAATTTAATTAATATGTGCTTTGTAATAAACTTTTTTTAATATTTTAATTTGTTAATTATTATAAAATATATTTCTAAACTACTCCAAATTTGAGAAAACCTAATTTTTTAATTAAAACCTTGATTTTCATAAAAAGAGGAGTATTAAAAATTGTAAAAGCATACAATCATTAGTCCTAATAAAATTTAAATCATTTATAAACAATATTTTTGATAGAGTTGTCAAAGTCTCAAATTCATTATGAATTTTTGATGACACTTTTTTTGTAATTTTAAGATCTGGATAATTGAGAAAATCGTCAAAAATAATTATCTATCTATCTCTTTTCATTTTTTACTGTTGACAAATCTATACTATTGTTTGTTTTGAAAAATTGAACTGCTTATAAACTAAATATATTTATCATAAATTATATTTTTATTATTAAAATTTATCATAATTATTACTTTAAATATATAAAATAAAAATAGCTAAACTAATTTATTGTTAAATTTTAGATATATTTTAAATACATTTTGTAGAAACATTTTTAATTATTTTCATTACAATTAAATATTTTTAATTTAATTAATTTTAATTTTTTTGGAAAATTTTAATTAAAAAAATTATGCAAATTTTAACTGAGTTCTAATCTTTTAATTACAAAAGTTTATTTTTCACTCAAATTCTTTTTAAGATTCTAAAAATTTTAAAGGCGTTTTAGAATTAACATAACCTCCTCTTCTCTTATCATAGAAAAAAGTAAAAATTGAAACAATTAAAGCAATTATGAATACTATCAGATATGTTAAAATATAGCTATTACTTCCTGAGTTATCATCTTTCATAAGGAAACTGCCTAAATAAGAAAACAAAGACACAACTATGATTAAATTAAATAATATTTATCATATTTATACTAAAGTTAATTAACATTTAATAAACTAAATAATATATTTTTTCAATCATATAAAGAGTATTTCAAAACACTCCAATAAAAACTTCTATCTTAAATTTATGTTAAAAAATTTAAATTAAATTAAATAAGTATGATAAAAATTACAAGCACCTCTAGTTGTAAAAGCAACTCCAAATCCAGTACTTAAGAGGTTTTTTTGAGTTATAAAGGGCAAAGTGGGATATAAATATGCACTCATTAAACTTAAAAATAACCCAAAAATAACAAGTGCAATCCAAACGTATGCACTGTTATAACCTTAAGGAGCTATTAAAAGCAATAAAAATGATAAAACAGCAAAAGAGCTGGTAACAATCATCATGATTAATCTTTACCCAAATTTATCTGCCATTATTCCTAATAAAGGAACTAAATATGCTATATAGTATGGTATTGAGAGCATTTCTCCTGCTAATGTTTTATCGATTTAGAATTTATGAATAAGTACACTTTGCAAATAATTTTATATTGCAATAAAGGCTCCAAAAGTCAAAGGACTAAGTATTGCAAAGCACCAGTAAACACCATAGAATTTTTTGAAGTCACTAAGTTTAAATTTGTATTTTTGAATTTAATTTTTGTTTTATAAATTTTTTTCATAAAAGTCTGCTTTTTTTTCCAAAGCAAAAATAAAAATTGAAGAAACCAAACTAAATAGACAGGTAACCATACCAATTAAGAATGGTAAAAATAAACCATTAGATTTATCATACAGCATAGGATATAGTATACCTGAAATAGAGGAAGCAACTTTACAAAATAAACTGTTTATAGTGAATGTTCTTGCAAGACCCTTTTACCTGTACCATTTACCGAGAATGCATCCTAATAAATTTAAAATACAAAATTAATAAATTTCAACTTATATAAAAATATTTATTTCTAATGAATAGCAATTAAAAGAAAATAAAATTTTTTATTTATTTAAAAAATGTTAATCATAAATTATCATATGTATGTTTCTTCCTTTATTTTTTATTCTATAAAAAGTTGATTTTTAGTTTTAAAAATCAAATAAATTAATTCTTTTGGTTACTGTAAAATAGATTTTGGGACTAATTTAATTTATTGTAAAGGATTATTAAATATTTATTGAGTTATTTCTAATATATTGAATAATAATTTATAAAATTTCTTCATCAGAAATAATTATAAAAGAAATATTTTGTAACTAAAGGAAATGATTTAATTTTGGTTTATACCTTAAGCTATAGTTTAGGAGTCAGAGGAAATAGCAAGCAGTATCTTTCCACTTATAAGTAAACCAAAAGATTAAAGAGAGCCCGCAGTAGTACACATAACCATACTGATAACAAGTAAGCAAGAAGAAAGAATTAATCCGTTTCTAGCTCCTAAAGTATCTAAAGCAGGTCCTATTATCAAAGAAAGAGGTATACTGGGGAGAGTTGGAATGAGGACGAACATTTGATATTGAAAAGAGCTCATACCCATAGATTAAACTAGTTATTCTTTTATACCAGATTAAAAAACTTAGTTATAAAATGCCCCAAATAGGACAGTACTTATGAATGGAAGCATCCATAAACGTTTCTAATCAATAAATTTATTTTCTAAATTGATCTATTCATTCTAAGAGATGGTTTCTTTGAATGAACTTTGAATATCTTAAGGAAGAATTATAGAAGCTGTACCTAATTTTTAAGTAAATATTGAATTATCAACAAAAACTAAAATGCTTTACTGTTTGTTGAAAATTTTTCTTTTGATTCATCTAAGAGAAGGGGTTAAACTTTTAACAATTCTTCTTTTTCAGACATTTACCTGAGTTTTCCTTAAAAATATAAAATTATTTAATTAATTTTATAAAAAATTTGAATATCTTTGAAAGATAACAATATTTAAAAATAATTACTTTAAAAACCATTAAATCTTTTTATTATTAGTTAATTTAATATAATATTTTTTTATTTCATAAAAAACTAAACCAACATTTTTATTAATTTTATTTTAAATATTTTTCTATTCTTTTTAATTTATTTACTGTAAAGGTTCATATATTAAGGCCGGTTTTTTTAAAAAAATTTTAATTTAGTTTAATTAAAGCGCCCTAAGTGAGATATCTAAACTGAAATCTAGGTGGCCTTAATATTTGAAATTTTATAGTACTTTTATTCCTTTTTATGTAAGTTATTTTGTCATTTTTGAAAAAAAAGTGTTAAAAATAACTAAATAACTCAATATTATCTAAAATTTATTTTAATTGATTAAAAAATATTTAAAAAAAACATATTTTTAATAATATAAAATAAGATTAATAATTTAGTTTTATACTTATTAAAAGTAAGTACTTTAGTGATGTTAGAGACAAAGTTATTTATTGATTAATAAATTTTATATAAAATATATATTAGATATAATTCCATCTTAATTAAACTCAGCAAAAATGATATTTTTGTTGTATCGATAATAAATCTAATTAAGCAATTAAAATTTTATATTTTAGTCAATATTAAATTATCTACCAATATAATTAATAAATTGTGTTTTTTATTCTGATCTAAGATATTCTAAAATAATTATTTTAAGCTAATATACAAATTAAAAAAGTATTTTAGACTAAATTAAAATCGCGATTAAAAAACATTTTAAATAGAATTGAATTTTTTAAATATCCAAAAAATTTGTAGTAAGTGAATAAATAATCCAAAATATCTTTATTAACAATTTTTTATAGTAAAATGTAAAAAATAATTAATAATCTATCTTAAATAATTTCATGTTTTTGACTTAAAATAGAATTTAAACTAGAATACTACTTATAAATCTTAAATTATATTTTTTTAAAATCAATTATAAACAAGAATTTCATAATTTATTCTTTTTTTCAAGTCAAACAATAGCTAATAAGGCATAATTAAAAACAAAAAAGTTTTTTTAACTAAAAATATTTAAATTTAAATTAATATTTTTAAATTAAAAATAAAGCATAATTTAGACTAAAATTAAAAATATTAAAAAAAAAAGAGAGAGATATAAATTAAATTTTTAAATGTAATATTTAATATTCAATAATTTTAATAATTTATTAAATTATAGTAAAAGAGATGAATTATTTATTTTAAATTATTCTTAATTATTTAATCAATTCTTTTGACAAATAAGTAACATACTCTAACTTTTTTAACATAATTTTAATGAATTTATTTAAAAATAAAATTTATAAATAAAATAATTCAATCTTTTTAATTTAAAAAATAAAAACCTCCAATTTGTCTTTTAACAGATTATTTAGTTTTAATTTACCTTTTTTACAATTTTTCATTTGAAAAATTTAATCCGGTATTTAATCTCTGCTTATTCGTTAAATTATTAAATGAAAATATACTCTCAAATATGTTTAAATTTTTTTTTTAATTTTCATTAAATAGACTTTTATTTCTACTAAAATAAATTTATTTTGCAAATTTAAAAAAAGTGATAAAACTTAAACAATTAATTATACTTAAAATTTTTATATTTAAATAATGAAAATATAATTAATCATACTTGAATTATCAAACAAATAAAATTTCTTTTTATTTTTAGCATATCAGTTGGAAAATACGATAAATAAAAAAAGTTTTTTATTTAAATAACCTAAATTTTATTTATTGTTGTAAAAAGAAGAAATTATTTAAATTTTGTATCTTTACTGTAATATTTAGAAAAATCGGATCTTTTTTTTTGTTTGTTAACTTCAATTATTTTTATAAACACTAATAAAATATCTAAATTCTTTTATTGTTCTACATTATGACACTGAAACAGCTATTTCTTACAGTTAATCATTTAAAATATCGATAAAGACTAAAAATGTAAGAAGTATTCAGTGCAAAATAAAAAGCTTATTTTAAGTTGAAAATTATAAACTAAAAGAACATAAAGATAGTATTGTAAGAAGAATGGAGTACGTAGGATTGATTTCGTTTACTTTAAATTTTAAAAGTAGAATAATGAATGAATGATTTTTAAACAATGCAAAGGATAAATAAATATACGACAGGTTGATTTGATAATTATTTTGAAAAATATTAAATTAGTTTCTAATTTTATAAAAATTGATTAAAAAATAATAATTTGTTTATTGATAATATAAGATAACTTTAGTTTGAACAAATCTGTAATTATGACGATTATCCTACAACTGATACTTTTATTTTTTTTTAATTATGCATTATGTCAAAATTATCAAATAAGCGACGGACTCTCCTTAGCTGAAATAAATGATTCTGTTAAGTGGTTTTAAATTCAAGCTGGGAATCCATATGTGAGAAAGTTTGTGTTAAATGATGATATTGTTTAGGCTTAGAAAATAAACAAAAAAAACAAAGTTAATGTATTAGAGGGATTATTTATTGCATAACCATAAGACCCTAAAGAAGACTTAATGATAAGTGTAAATGGAAGCTAGTTTTAAGGAAGAAAACCTTCAATATTTATTTAGTATCAGCTAGAAAACTAAGGATATTTATGTGGTGAAGGTTCTACAATATGTTTTATAGAAAAAGATGTGATTTAAAAAAAACAAAAAATATATATAATTATTCAATGTTCAGACTCCTGTGAATTCGAAATACTAGTTTAATACCAAATAAGCAAAGAAATTATATAGAGCTAAAAGTAGTTGGTATCTATGAATTTTAGAGAATATATAAAAAAATTATATTTTATGCTTAACTTAGGCAGCGCAAAAATTAAAGGATTTATATTAAAAGTTGTTATTGATTCAGACTTAGAAGGTACATTCGATATGTATATCTTTTAAGGTAGTAAATACTAATCTATAAATGATGCTTTATAAAATACTTAGGTTACAAGCTCTTTTGGGAAAATAATCAGGATTGAACCAGATTAAGGATTGACTAGTCTTCAGGACTATACCCTAGTACTAAGAAGCTAGCAAAATATAAAATTCATGATTACTGTAGATTATATTTATTACAAAGAAGAAATAGATATTACTTTAAACAACAAATTTAGTTACGCTCTAAAGTAATTTAATTTTCTTTTATTAATTGCTAAACTTACACTATTCCTATTTTTGTTTATTTGATTATTTCTCACTTTTGATTTGTAATTTAATTAATTATCTCTATTGTTCAATTCCATACAAAATAAATCTTCTAACTTCAATTAATAAATATAGTGAAAATGAATAAGTATTACTAAAAGCAAATTGTGGTGATAGTAGCAATTTGAAAAGCTCTGTATCAATTGATTTATAAGTACATTAAGGAGAAGGGGAGATTTATATAGATTCGACTCCAAAAAGTTAAATTGAATAATACAGATTTTAAAATTCTGTATCTAGCTATTAAACTTACACTTTAGACAAGAAATACTTTGTTTAAAAGAATACCAAAGAACCTCATTTTTATACTTTAATTAAAGCATCCAGCAATTTTTCATTTACCATAAAAATCTATCTTAGCGATTTGAAATAAAAGAAATCACTAGACCTAAATAATTTGTAATACTTAATGTTTTAACCATCAAGCGAATTAAAGTATATTACTTATGATTTACAGTTTAATTTGACAAAGCAGATATAAATTTAGCTGATCCTTTAAGATTTAAATTTAAAAGCCAAAAAACCTGGTTCGATTAAATCTTTAGAAATGATAGTTAAAAATTGTGAAGAAAGTGTAAAAACAAAGTAAAAATGTAAAATAACCCCAGAAGAAATTTCTAATTACTCCAAAAATAATTTCACAGATACTCAATTTATTCCCATCATATAATCTATAGATGGATATACTACTAAATGCACTCTGACCACAAATGATTATCAATATAATTAAACCAGTGAAACAAGGCGCAAGACTAACAGATACTATTCCATAGCTATAGCTATAGCTTAAAGTGAATTTAAAAACAATAATTTAACGATGTTCAGCTTACAGACTATAAAGTAGTACACCTTGGATAAAATTTCCTAATTCAATGATGAGGAATAACAAATCAATAACTTCTAAAAGAAATTTTATTATTTTAGAGTAAAAAATTAATTCATAGAGCCATTAAAAAAATCAATAACCATCTACGTCTAAACATAATATGGATGCATAGATGTAGAGACTTCGTTAGACAATCTACTAACCAGTGATTCAGAAGCAATGACATTCTATTCAAGCTAGCCTGTTGTAAAATCTAGTAGATATCAATAAGTTTCATAAACTTCTTCTATAATTGATGAATATTACAATTAATTTTCATTAGACATTGATGGAGATTCTTATAAAGATGTCTTTATTTCGGTAAAAGGTAAAAGTGACTCTATTTATAAATTTTTCATATATTCTTAAGAACAGAGTTCACCTACTTTTGGTAACTTGAGAGCTATTGGAGATAATCTTGACTATGGAAGAGTCTATGAAGATAAACTCTACGATGTTTCTACAATGAATACACTTAATATGTATTTTCCTCAAAACACATCAAATATTTTTATTTATTACTTTATCGACTACACAGATCTCAATATTGAAAGAGTTAAGAAAGACATTAAAGTTATGTCTCATTTAAAATAAAGAAAAAATATTAAAATAACACCAACAATTAAACTAACTGACTTGCAGACAGGCTCTCTAGTATAACAAGATTAGTATAAGGTCCTAGAAATTAATGATGGTTTGATCTACATTGAAACTAAGAATAAAAAATAGTAATATTACCAATTAGATATCCTCAATAACTATTCTACTAACTACAACATATCTATATACTATTCTATTTTGTACACATAGAGCAATTACTACTATCTCAAGCCAGGTTTTAAGTACTATTTCACAGCAGATGATAAAGCCCCTTCATAAATTGCATTCTTCTATGCAAGAGCAAATACAACTATTTATTTTCAGTTATTTGCATGCAACGGAACCTTTACTTTCAAATGTAAATTCATAAATTTAGTTTTTATTTTATAGTAATTTTTATAATTTAAAATTAGAATGGAGTTAAAAGAAGAAAAATTTTTCCTAAAATATAAATTTCACTCTTGAAAATCTTTAGAACTTGAGCATTTTTATTGACAAAAGCGATTATTATTATTTCTAATTTGATTTGATGAAGCCTCAAGAGTAAGGCTAAGTTATCTTGAACTTGCATATGTACTACTAGGATGAATACAGTCCGTATGATTTGATTTAAGTTCCAGATATTTAATATCAAGTTAAATAAGATAATGATTTTCTTAATATAAAATTTAATTATTTGGCATTGAATAAAAGTGTTGTAGAAAATCTTTCAGAACAAATATTTACAGAATCTCTTCCATCTATTTAGGACAATACGACATAATCTTAGAAACAATAATACATACTAGATTTTGCTAATACAAAAGCTTTGAAGAAATAAATGAGTGATTTTTCTTCTGTTAAAGTGATATATTATTTTTAAATATCTAATAATCAATCCCATATTAGTTATTGTAATCCTTGCTTTTCGGTTCCAAGAACATACCATAGCTTTTATATCATGTAAAAAAGAAGCTTTGCTAATTCAATAGAAGAAATTAACAATTTTAAAATTTAAAAAGCTGATATATTAAAAGCAATAAAAAAATACAATCCTCTATAAATCTTTAGCATAGAAGACTCAATTAAAAATTCAACTATAAGTACGGAATTATATTTCAGTGTAATGGCTGCACTTGAAATAAAAGATAATTTAGGATAATTGTCAGAGAGCTATTACTATTTGTATGATAGATAAAAAATAAATCTAACTTATTTTAATTAAACTTAAGTTCAAAGCAATTTGAAAGAATAACAACAAATTAAGACATTTCACTTGGCACTGATAATATGCATCATAGTATTCATAAGTCTCCTATTAATATCTATAATTTGCTCCTATAGAATTTTTAGAAAAGGAATAAATCTTCCTTGCTCTTGCTTTATGTAGCAGGTCTATACTGATATTCCAGATTCAGATAGTTAATCCAAAAAAATTAAAGTTAGGAGACTTTCAAACTTAAATAATTTAGATGGAGCATTCAATTAAAAAGTTAGAGAAAGCATTTAAGAATTTCTTGATGTTAAAAAAAAAACTCATAAATCATTCACATCTCCACCTCCTCCAACAATTGAATAATGAACTAATTAACAATTAAAATAATTTAAAGTAAATATATCCTACCTCTAAATTCTAAAAAAAATATTAAAATCACAAATAAATAAATCTTTGATCACTAATAGTAAATTATTATTTTCTATTACTTATAATTAAAAATGTACAATAATAATAATTATTAATGCAACAATTAATCAATGCGCTTTAAAAAAATAATAATAAATAAAAATATGAAATTGGGTACACGGCGTCAGATCAAAATTTTATTCCAAAAACCTTAAAATTTTTGAAAAAATAATTTTTTTATCAATTATCAGAATTTTCCAATATCCAATATTTTTTCAATTTTCAAATTTCTTGAATAGAGTATCCTCCGCACATAAAAAATTTATTAATTTATCAATTTCCTTCTATTAAGTGCTAATTTAAAAATAACACTATTTATATTATTGCACACAGCAAAAAAAGAAAACAGCGACACAAAAATTAAGCAATGGATGTTGTTAATTAAGAAAGAATATATAGAATCATTAGATTAAATACATGTCTTATACTCGCAATTACATCAGAAAGACAATTAAAAATTTATCATCATAATGATTTTGATGCTCCATTAATAATATATAATTTTCCTGATTAAGATATTGAACCAAAAGAAGCTATACGTATTAATCATGATGATTTCGTTATTTGGGCAAGGAACAAAAATAGATTATATTTTTTCAGATTAATACACAATACTAATATTGTAAGAATAATATTAGAAAGATCAATAAACCTTTATAGAGAATATTAAAATTTCTGGAAACATAATAACAATAGTATTGCTGGTCTTTATTTTTATGGTTAAGCGAGGTGCTGGAATGTAAAAAATTATAAGTAATTCACTTATTTAGATGACACTTTCCCAACGCATTATCATGGAATAACCATTAACAATAAATATTTTTGTCTTTACTCAAGTTTTTTATAAATTAGAAACAGATTTACTTAAAATGTTGATTTTTACTATTATCACAATAGTTATATTAGTGTAATTAAGAAGTGGGATAATGAAACTATAATATTTGGAATGGAAAATTGTTTAAAATTTTGGCATTTTCCAACGATAACTATAACAAAAAGATTTAATGTACCAAATAAACATGTTATAAAATTAAAAAAGATTAGTTATAAAATACTATTATCAGGATAAAATGATGGTTAAATAATATTTTGGAATATAGAAACATCTTAAGCAATTTATTAATTCACACTTAATGAAAATAGATATTGCAATATTGAAGTACTTCGTAAATAAAATAAAATAATATACGGAGACTTCAGAATTCTAGATATTTTATATGATTGAATTATTATAATATATAATAATAATTGTAGGATTTAATATTAGTTATTTATAATAAGTGATATATAAATATTGAATTTTAATATGAAATTAAATTATAAGAAAATAATAATTAACATATAGAATATTTCTATTGTTAATATTTATATAAATATATGAAATACATTATAATTATAATTAGAGATTTGAGATAATCATGATAGATATGAAGGTCCGCATTTCTTTGTACATCTAGGACAAAAAATATTAACATTAAACCAGAAACTCCAGCATGAAGAGCATGCTTAATGTCCACATGGCGTATTTATTTTTGGATCTAATGGTTTTTTATAACATATAGAACAATTTGAATTATCGCTATTATAGTAATCATACATGTATTTTTGTTTATCTTCTTCAGTTTAATAAAATTATTAAAACTCACCATCCTTTTCTACTATAACTATACATTAGTTAATACTTTAATTATTTTATTCTATGTTCAAATTTAAATTGATTTTCAATTTATTTTTAGAAGAATCTTCATTTAATGATTTTTTTGTATTTTACATTATTTTTTTCTTAAATTTTATGAATATATGAGATCAGAATATTTTTTTCCTTTTAATAATTTTTCCTTTTTGTTATTGAAAATAGAGTTTATATTTTTAAAGAAATAAATAGGTCCTGAAAAATTAAGGTAATTATAATAGCAATAATAATTATAAATATTCTAATCTCCATAAAATTACAATTTTTTATTATTTTCTAAATTCCATAATTAAAAATTTAATTATTAAAATAATTTGATAACTTCCTTTTATAAAATTAAATTATTGAAAAAAAGTAGCTTTTAATAGCTGCAATCTCATCTACTATTATTTTGAATATTTTTTACCTTCTTTATGCAATCTATTGGTGCTACTACTACAATTTCAATTTATTTGAATAATATATGCTTAATTTTTTAAAATATGGCAGCTATAAGGAAAAATTTAAAACTTCATATAAATTTATGAAAATAATGCTGAGTTACCTTAATTTCCTCTTTATTTATACCTTTATTGTTAAAAGTAACTTAGTTGAGAGTATTTGATAATAAAATAATTACTTTTTAATTAATAAATCATAAAAATTAATAGATGAGCTCACGATTTATAGTATTATGAGCAGTTTCATTTTTTTTCTAATATTTTTACAAGTTAATGTGTAGACATGAATATATTTTAATATATATTTAGTTTGAAAAGAAAAATCAGCATCAAAAGACTCTAAAAAATCTGATTGCCTCATCAAAAATAAAATTTTTAAATCCTAATTCAAAATTAAATAAATGCAGATAGTGTAGATAAGAACTATCTAATGCAAAGTAATTTTCTTGTATTTAGGTAATAATGTTTTTCAATATAATAAAAAATGTATATTTTTAAAAAGTTAAAAATTTATAATTTAAAAAAAGAAAGAAAAAAAAACATATTATCTATTACTAAAATAAATTTATACAATATCCTACTTAATTTGAAAGAAAAAACTCAAATAAAACTGATTTCACAATAAGAACCATCGTTAATCAATTTTATTTTAAATAGTTTTTTTCTGCTAAATATTATTTAATAGTAAAGCATATCTTAAAAATTTAAAAACTTAAATAAACAATATTAATAAAAAATAAAAGATAATTTTTTTGTAGAAAAATATAAAATTTTGTAAATAAATAAATTATTTAAGTAAAAAAAGGTATCATCAATTACAATTTTAAAAAATGAATTTAGATAATATTTTTTCGAATTTGATTGATAAATTCAAAAAAAACTTACATCTAAAACAGTCATAAAAAATATATCATTTATTATAATTTATTTGTTAATCAGGAATATTTAAATTATTGTTATCACGCTTTATTTAATCAATTTTATGACAAAATATACGCATTATTAATTAATTATAATATAAATTTTGTCAAATTATAAATTTAAATAAAATTTAGACTAAATAAAACTTTAGGCTTTTAAAAATAGTTAGACCAAACTTCTAGAATTTTCAATTAATTTACTTAATAAAAAAATTCAAATCACTTTTAATATACAATAAGTAGAATACACAACTAAAAGTATGATTGATTGATTGACTGTAGTTTAGCTTGTTAAATGTGTTGACAAAAGCAATTAAAAACAAATATTTTAAACAGGTTAACTAATTAAGTAAGTAAAAATGAATTAATGAATGATGAAAGCTTTAAATGTCTTGATACTAGAATATGTAAGATATTATATAAGTTTCATACATTAATTTAATACTTTATTGGTATGTAAAATATTTTAAGAGTGTTAATAAATAGTTATAAAGTAAGTTTTATTGTATTTATTTGATCAGATAGCAACCCAACCACCATCAACACAAATAGCTTCACCTCTAATTTCAGAAGCAGAGTCAGAGCAGAGGAAGAGGGCAGTTTCACCAATTTATTCAGGTCTAACGAATTATTGAGAGGGTTGCTTTTCCTTAAGTAAAGCTTTAGCACCTTCTTCGAAAGTGGTGTTATTCTTTTAGGATAAGGCTTCAATTTATTTCTTAATTAAGTCAGTAAGGACCCAACCAGGGCAAATGGCATTGCAAGTTACACCTAAATTTTTATAAATAAATTATTGAATTAACATATTGCTTCATATTTGGTAATAAAATTTTCAATAGCTATCTTTGAATATTTGCTTATACTTGCTATTTTTAGTATTTTTGAATAAAATAATTACCAGTTTGGGCATTTTCCAAAGCAACAACCTTGGTCAAACCAATAACACCGTGCTTACTGGCAACATAAGGAGCCTTGTTGACTGAAGCAACCTTACCTATTGTTTTAAATTATAACGAATTAGAATAAAAGACCTAATATATGATTTTTATTTACCATGTACTGAAGCAATGTTAATAATTCTACCCCAGTTTCTCTTTTTCATGTGAGGGATACAGTATTTAATGGTGTAGAAGTTAGAGGATAAGTTTAAGGCAATAATCTTTTCGTACATATCTTCAGGCCTTTTTATTATGAAATATGTTTAATAATAAGTTGAAGACAAGTTATTTTCAATTTTATTCTGAAAAATATATTTTAAGATAGTGATGCAAATACGTTTTTAGCAAATTAATGGTCACTAAAAGTGAAATTTATTTATATTTTAAATGAATTTTATATCTTACATGTCTTCAATAGGGGTAACGTGTTACATACCAGCATTGTTGATGAGGATATCAACTCCACCGAAAGTTTTATTGACGTGTTCGATCATTTACTTAATTTCAGTAGGTTTCATTAAGTTGTAGTTAGCATAGATGGACTTAACCTTGTAAGTGTTTTCGATGTTTTGTCTGATTCTTTCGATTTCATTGGCATCACCAAAACCATTTAAAACAATGTTTGCACCAGCCTTAGCTAAGGTGTGAGCACATGCAAGACCAATACCACTGGTGGAACCAGTAATCAAAGCAACTTTGTTGGAGAGATTTGCTAACATTTATTTGTTTTTACTTTTTTTATGTTTTTTTTTAATTTAGGAGAAGTATATATATCCTTAAAGTTTTTATTTATTAAAAATTATTTTGAAATTTATGGATTGAAGAAAATTGTGATTTCTATTTATACAACTCGCTCTTTGATAGTACTTTTGTAATTAAATGATGTTAAATTTTATCAAATAGAAGAATAAAAAATTTACGACGCCTTGATATGAAATAAAGTTTTCAGTGAATTCATCAGATGATAAATGAACTAAGCATATTGAGTTACTTATTTAAAATGCAAATTCTTAATTTCTGAATCAAAAAGGTTTAGATCCTTATTGGTTTGTTAGTGCTTTATATTTAGTAATTCCTTTTACTATTTAGCATTCTGAAAGATATTTGATATTTTTTAAGAGGAAAACTTTTAACATACAATAAATTTAAAAACAGTATATGCCAAATAAAGTCACATTTAATTCTACTAAAGGTTTTTAGGAGCTTTTAAGTATATTTGAAGTTGAAAATAAATAGGAAGAGTGGAGAAACTCCTCTCTGAATAACAAAAATAGAAGAAAATATGCAATTTACAAAGAGGAAAATAAATAAATAAAATGTGATTTGTTTGTATGTTTGTTATTTTAATGATCAATTGCATCATCCTCCGATTTGATTGTGGATGATTATGATGAGAGCAAAAGGTTGTGCAAGTTTTAATTAAATTTAATATAAGGTTGCAAAATTTTTTTAAATTTACAGAAATTTTCACTAGTGTGATCCTAATTACGCAAGATTTATAGATAGCGTAAGCGATTTCGTAAGGTTTCGTAGGAAATTAAATTTAATTAAAGGAGAAGATAAATTCGTTAATAGAATCAAACAGTAAAAATTAATTACTAATTTAATAAGTAAAGCAAGTACGTAGATCTAAATTTTATTGTTTCAAGTACTTGACGTATCTATATGTCGTCTACTTACTGTTTATTGCATATAGAATCACAAGAAGTTTCTCTTTTAAAGATATTTATTTATATACATTTTTTTTACAAAAGAAAGCTATTACCAAAAGGGATGCATATAAATTCTAATCTTTTGAGAAATAATTTAAATAATCGGGCTCTAAATATAATAATTTTAGTGTTAGCTGCGAAGTTATAGGAATGAGCCATCATTTTACGCCATTTTTCTTTTTTTATGTTGTTTAGAAATTAGATAGGACTCTTATTGACTCTCGAACTTAGTTAAATTATTTTTATGGACTTGCATGCTAATTTAGCTTCGAAAAATCAGCTTAGCATTGCAACTTAAAATGGGAAGGCATCATTAAAGAATCTGCTTCTTTCTCCTAATCCACTAATAAAAAATGGATATTACAAAAAAATTTATTTTTATTAAAATAAGTAAGATTCATCAATAACTTCTTTGGCAATTTTCTATTTGAAAATCTCAAAAAGAAGAAAATTGTTATTTATGCTTTAAATTTAAAATGTGGATAATACGAGCCATTAAAAAGAAAATTAAAGCAACCTACTAAAAAAAATAAATTAAAATTTAATTAAATATTTTGTTAGCTCTATATATCTTATGATCAATAAAAAGTAAATGGTTTTTGAGAATTATAGGGAAAATTTGAACTAAGCAATATTTAAATTAATTAATCTAAAATATGTCTAATAGATAATAAAAACAACAAATATTACTCTTGTCCAAGTAGTCTATGAGTTATTTTTATTTCTTTTCTCTATCCATAATTTTAACATAATTAAAAGGTAATCTAGTAGTAGTATTATTTAAAGAGGTAGCGCTATTGACAACATTCGTAAATGTCATTTTCTTTTTGGATTTCCTTACGTTAGCAAATTTAGTTTCTTGCAATCTATTATATATGACATTTGTCAGTGTAGTTTTCTTTTCAATTGTTCCAAAAAAATCTAAAACGTTATTCGGATGAATATTCATATGAATGTTCTCCCTTAGAAATTCATCTGACATGACATTTAATTCACGGAGCATTGGTGGTATTAGCTTGCAAAATACATACAGATCTTCTTCAATCTCGATATTGTTCTCTTTAATACGTTTTTATGTATCTTATATTTATTTTATATCTCTTATGAGTCTATCTTTTTCTGTAGTTATTAATTTCTTCTAATCCATTTAACGGATCAAATCATCTTTTTATTCTTGATAATTAAATATCTCTGTCTCAATTTCTTGTATCTGTTTCCTTAATGAACTTATTTCTCCATTTAAATATTCGCTTTGCTTGTAATGCTCCTCGATTTAGTCTTCATTTTTCTTATAATCAAGTTTAAACTAATCTATCGACTCTGTATTTGTCATTAATAAGAGCTTTTTGATTTATTCGCTTTTATTATCACATTCTGCTTTATCATTATTTACCTTTGCAATTAACTCTTTCTTCAACTTTAAAAAATTCTCATACTTCATCTCTTGGATTCTACTTAAATTTTGGGTTTGATTGGGTTCTAGCTTTGACTCAAAATTATTCTCTTCCTCTTCCTCATCTTCTTCATCTAAAGCTTCTTTAATTTTTGAGTTATCGACTTAAATTTAGCTAGTCAATTCTTCTATATTATAAATTTCATTAGGCTTACTTAGCATTTAGCTTTCATATGCGATTTTAAATAGCTATTACTCCTTTTCCATCAGCTTAGTAATCATGGCATTGACTTCTTCCTATTTCTTTAACTCATACCCATTTAGAGTGTTGTCTAATACAAATTATTTTATCAATTCCTCTTTTTACTTCATATCTCTTTCTAAATTTTTAAATACATTATCGAAAAATGCTCTTTCATTCCTTGAGATCTTAACTTCTTCCTTTAATTTCTATATCTCAGCAATCATTTTGTTATTTTTAGCCTTAAGTTTATCTAACTTCTGCTAATACAATTTTCTCTATTACGATATTTGTTCTTATTCACTTATTTATTGACCAATTTAGTGTTATCCTTAGCCAACCTTTAAGTTCTTTTGCTAAATATTCAGCTGTACCTTTTCAATCTCCTTCCTTAACAACTCCTAATTCATAAATTTAAAGTTATAATTCTACTTTAGAGAATAGCCTTAAAAGTAGCAAATGTATTATAAATTTTGTAATTTTTACCTATCTCTCTAATTCTATTAATATTTTTTTTGTCCATTACTATCCCTGTTCCTATATTTTTTATATCTTTTACTTCTACGTTACATCTTCGATTTCGTTTTTCTTAACAACAAAATTCTGTATATAAAAAATAAAATGAATGTTTTAGTTTCGAATTTTTAAATTGCTTACGATTTTCTCTTTAATTCTATTATTATCCAGCTTGTATTTTTTTATTTAGTCCCTTTTTTATAAATGTAAGTTGGTTTAGTAAAATAGCCTTCATCTCTCATAAATTATTCCTACTATAATTTGAAAATATACTTTACCAGTTACTTAGCATTTTTGAACCTTAGGCGACAGATATTAAAGTGATGTCTTTAATCAGCTAATCAGTGCCCTACAAATTTTATTTACAATAAACTCCTCCATGTTTTTTTTCATCTTTTTAATCCATTAAAAAAAAGATTTACGTCTATTTCTTACAATAGCTACCACTTTCACTTTAATTCTAATAGATTAAATAATTTTTTATCAATGTAATTGAATATATTTGAATAATAATACTAGCTGAAAGTTAAAATTTGTAATCAAAAAATTTACAACTAAAAAACCATTAATAATAATTTTTTAAAATGAAAAAAAATATTTTACTACAAAAAGCATAAAATATTCTTAATATCTACAACGAAGCTAAGTAAGTAAATATATGATTAAATTAAATTACACTATTGACTTATATAAAAAAAGCAGATTTACTTTACAATTTTATAATATAAATTCAAGTATTAAGTTATATTCTATTGTAATAATTATTTATTTATTTAATAATGATTTGAGTGATTTTAAATTCCATTTATTTTTTATAATTATAATCTATAATATATTCTATAAAAACAATATAATTCATATCTATGTTTGTTAATATTTATTGAATATAATCAATCTATTTATAGTTGTTCAAAAACTTAATTAATAATATAATAAGTTAATGTCATTCACATCTTTTTTTTATTGTTTCCTAATGCCATTGTTTATCCTTTTTATGTTGGTTAATTCTTTTTTAGAGAAACAGTAGATCTTGCATATTTTGCTGCAGCTTGAGGATCTATATATGATGGTGATTTTTAATGTCTTCCAAATGGTTTATGAGGATCAATTAGCGATTTACCAGCTCCACCTGATAAAATCAATCTGTTGCTTTCTGTAGAGTTCTAATAGCGATTTTCAAAACTACCATTGTTTTCTTAGTTTTCACTTGTATATTGCAAAGTAGTGTTAAAAGCAGTTTAAGGTGTATTTAAGAATTATTGTTTTTAATTATATGTATTGCTGTAATGGCCCTACTATTAATGCATCTAGGCATTCTATAAGTTCTAAAATTGCTTATTTTAGATTTAATGTTGCTAAGAATTTTTAGCTTATTCTTCTCTTTACTATGATTGTTGATAATAATCTAAATCTAAGTTTTCATGATTTTATTCTGAATATAACAATTCGTTATATTCATTAAAGTTTCTATTATAGTAATTATTTTTTTATTATAAGGGTTTTCGGGAGTTATTTGAGTATACGCCATTGTTTTAGTTTTCTAAATTTGATTAGCTAGGAGTGTTGCTCATTTAGTGATTGCTGAAATTATTCTAAAAATCTCTACCACTAAATTGCTCAGAGCTATTGTAAGCACTTTAAGGATTCTATACTTATTACTAGTTTAACTGTTTTTTCATAAAATTAGCGTTATTTTTAGTAGAATTTAAATTGTTATTATTCTTGTCATAATTGCTTAACTAAATCTAGCTATAAGCTCTTGTCATTTTTTCTTTAGGCTATTGCTGGTTGTTTCTTTCATATTGATTTTACATTTAGTTTTGATAGTAATTATTATCAGAGACGTACTCTTATTAAGATTATTGGTGAGATTAATCTACGCCATTTAATTGATCTTGCAAAATTCTTATTTATTCTTTTAAATTTTAAATCTCCATATCTTTATTTTAGTCAATACTCTTTAAAATTTCACTTGCTTTAGTAGATTTCTCTAAATTGTTAATTTTAACCTACAAATCTGATATTTACTGCTTCTACTGTTAGTTAATCGCTTCTAAATTAATGTTATCAGTCTTCAAATTTTAAACTGAGTTTTCATATTGTTTTAATTTAAAGATAATTCCATTAGATTGCTACAAATTATGATCTGATTCCATGTAATCTATGATTTCTTCATCATTTAAAAACTGTAAAAACTTGTCTTTTAGATTTGAATACTTTTTTCTTAACTCGCTATTTTAAAGCATTAATTCAGCAGCTATCTTGTTAGAATTTTTCAATTCCTCAGCTAAAATCTTAGTCTTTTCTATCAAGTCGGCTATTATAGCATTTAATTTATTATCTGTAAGCAATCTTGCATCGCTTTTTCTAGACATATTGTCTTTATTATTAGGACTTGTCTGATATTGATCTTCCATTTAAAAAAAATTATTAAAAGAAGTTATTGATTATTTTAATTTTCTTAAAAATTGTTATTAATTAATTTAAAATTTTCAATTAAACTAAATAAAAACTTAAAATTTTCGTTTAATACTAATAAATATAAGCTTTTAACAAACAGATTGATATTAACTATTTCCTTTTTTTTTGTTTGATATTTCTTATTTAGTAGATTTAATTTTTTTCAATACAAATCCTTTTTTGAAATCATAAGATCAACGTAACAAAATAAAATAAATGTAAAAAAATTTTATTTTATTTTTATAAACAAAAAGCGTTATATTATAACAAAGTGATAGAAATTATATTTATTAAATATTTTAAAAATCAAATTAGTTGATATTTGTTTCAGATAGCTTAAAAATTAGTATTTAATTTTCAAATTTTCATAATAAAGTTAATAAAATTGTTAAATTCTATTTCTTTTTGTTAAAGTTAAGAGTGATTCTTAACTGTTGCTAGAAAAATAAAATTTTAATTTATTGATATTTAATTGCTTTTATATTTTTTATATTTTTTTTAAATACAATATAATCAAATTAATTTAGAAAAAGAAAAAAAGTTAAAATAAATTCATTATTTTAAAAATGTTAAGTTAAAAATTTTTATTAATTTTAAATTAGATCAATCAATAATAAAACTATTTCTAATACTAATTTCAAGCAAAATGTCTATTAGTTTATTGAATAAATAAGAAGCATTAGAGATATTAAGTGTAAATTATGCTTTTTTCACTTATATTGTATTTAAATTTTTTATGTAAAAAATAAATATGAATACTTAATTATATTCTAAATATTAAAAAGTAATTATTGATTAAAAGCTAAAGTATAATATATATTTTAATTTCTAGTAATATTTTTACTAAGCATTTAATTGTATTTATAAAAAAGACAAATAATTCTTGCAGAAAAATTGAATTAAAATATTAAATTAAATATTTTTATAAGCTTTTTTTATTTTAATTTTTAAAATACAATTTATATTTTCTTGATGAATTTATAAGGAAAAACAAGTGAATTTTATTTAAAGATTTGATTAAAATTATAATTTTAAATTCAGAATTAATTACAATCTTATCAATCACAAAAGATTAATCTAATTAAATTAGTTAACACAGATTATAAATGATAAGAAAAATAGAGAGATTTTTATTTTGGTGTTTTAATGAAGGTTGATGCCTGATTATTAATAATTAGAAAGAAGAGATAATTAAGAAGAAGAATTCTAACATATATTAGAATGTAATGTTAAAAATCTTTTTTATAAAAATTATTGGTAGTTATAAGAAACACTCAAAAAGCGGGATAAATTTTACATTAAATATTAGTGGTATATATTATTTTATAAACTAATCTAATTTTATGCGTTAAAAACCTCCAATGAAATCACTATTTAGCAAATTAATTTGTAAAATAAAAAAAATATTAATATTTTTTAATAGTTCTTCATTATAATTTCAATTAAAAATCAAGAAAATAGAAATATCATCTTAAGACTAATAGAATTATATAATATTTTAGAATACTTCTATATCTTTTTACATAAGCAGCATCTAACGAGTTTTTAAATAAATACAACGTTCTCTTTCATTATATAACACTAATTTAAATGGTTTCTGCATGGTCTATTCCAAAAGCTAGAAGATGTACTTACTTACTTCATTCATTCATTTTAGCATTTTTTATGAATATAAAATATACAAATTAAAATATTAGAATCTCTTTCAACCTCAAATAAATTAAACCCTGGTCCAGGCACATATAGTCCTGAAAACACAAATAGATCGCACAATGCCTCATTAACATAATCTCCACTCTCTCTTTATAAAAATAATCCTGCTTTTTCGTAAGCAAGAATAGCTTTAAATTAGTTTAAATAGATAATATTTGCAAACATTTAAGTTTATTTCTGATTAGATCATAAATCAATAGCATAATTATAAATTAATGATACAACTAACTAAAATTTTATAATGATTTAGAATAGGAAAAGAAAAAAGGCAATCCTTTATTTAAGGGATTGGACCTGGCTCAGGGAAGTACCAGATTGAGAATAAAGTAAATAAATATATTAAATAAATATAAAAATATAGACTTTAAACTCACTTAATATAAATTTATGTAGTTTTAGTTTAAAACTTCTCCAAAGTATTCTTTTGGTTTAAAGACTTCAACCAACTTTAACAACAGCTCAATAACACCTTCTCCAAATACATATAATTCTAATGATCAATATGTTTCAAGAAAGTCACCAAGATATAGGTAAATATTCTTAAATACTAATATTTACAATTTAAATACTTGATAAATCAAATAACTAATGTAATGTTAAATACTTATAAAATAGCATAGGGGTAAGTAGAGAATAAAGTCCTACTGATTTATTTAGAAAACTTAAAATAATGACTCCAGGTCCTGGATAATATGATTAATAATCTACTTTAAATTCAACTATGGGAAAGTATAACAAAAACATAAATAAATATATTTGCAAAATTAACAAAATATTTTTATTCAAAAAGAACTTTTGGAAGAGAAAAAAGAGTAAATACTCTTCCTGATACACCAGGTCCTGGAACATATGATAACAACAAATTTATAGCTTATTTAGAAAATCCTCCCCAATACAGCTTTGGTAGTGAAAAAAGAACTAAAACTTTTGAGAGCTCAACACCAGCGCCTGGAGTAAATTATAATTAAATAAAAAAAATTTTTCTTACTTTAAAATAAATAGACTTACGAAATTGATAAATCAGCGATGATAAAAGTAGGCGGGTTTATCAGTAAAAATGGTAGGTGCTAAACAGATTATAGTTAAACTCCTGGACCTGGCAAATATAATTAAGATATGAGCAGTATTAAAAGAAAATCAGAGAACCCTGTTTTTGGTAAATCACTTAGATCATCACCAACCAGAAACGATTCTCCAGGACCAAATGAATATAAGTAAGTATTTTTCATTAAAACAGATAAAAAATAATTGAAATTTATAGGATACCTCCAATAGATATTTACAAAAAGAGAACATCAAATAACACAATATTTGGTAAGAGTGAGAGACCAAGATTATCATCAATAGGAAATCCAGGTAAAATAGAATTAAAAAGAATCATCGAATTTTAAATTTAATAATTTTTGAAAGGACCTGGATAATACAAGGAAAAGACTATGTGGAATACTGGAATAGAAGTAAAAAATAAATAAATAGGTATTTTACCATATTAAATTATTATTAACTCATAAAATAGTTCACAATGAGCGGAAGAAAGAATGATTTGAATCTAAATAATACACCAGGCCCTGCATTTTATGATCCAAGCATAAAACCAATAAAAATACAAACTTAAAATATATTGTAAATATAAGGGCTATTATTTATTGTTATTAAAAATTAAATATTATAATAAACAGATTTGGAAAGAGTAAGAGAGATTCACCTGAATGCAGGTTTTACAACAATTCCTAAGCCCCTGGACCTGGAAATTATTAATTATTGAACAATTCTATTATTAAATAAGAACCTAAATTTTCTTTTACAAAAGCTAGAAGAGGATCTATAAAATCTTAAAGCATAACACCAGGACCTGCTGATTACAAGATCCCTCCAACTTTTGCAGATGTTCCTAAATATTTACTAAATAATGTTAATAACTGAGGAGCTGCGAAATGAATTAATAATAATGATAATTATTAATGATCTTTATTAAAAGGTTTTAAAAAAATACAAAATTACATTTAAAAAACTTTATATTATCAAATCAATCTTAAGTTTTAAATATATTAGAAAATAAATTTCTTAGCTTAAAAGCAAAGACGAAATAATAAAAAATGTGTCATTTGAATATTACTTGGGCAAAACAATTTATGAAATATTTAAATAAGTTAGAGTTTTTAATAATTTATAAATATAAATCATTACTTATAAACTACTTTACGTGTATACATACATATTTATAGCTTCTTTATATCGAAATTAAATTATGCTTTTTTTTAAATTTTAATAATTTTTTTACTGATTAAATTATTCTAATTTCTATTAGAAAAGAAAGAAACATTTTACTCATTAATATTGATAAAGAACAACTAAAGATATTAACATAAATTTTTTTTTATTTAAAGAGGGTATTATTTAAATATATTTGATAAATTAGTTTTTAAGGTTATAGATTAAAATTCTAAATGTATTTACTTAAGGAAATATAAGCATTTAGTTGGCCAAATTATCATATGTATAAATCCTAATAAGAGAGTAAATTAAAAATTTGATATACCAAATGTGAAAGAAGAATTTATATGAAATGTTAATCAAAGTAAAATTCTTACTTTTTAATTTAATTAGTTTTTCATGAACTATTTATATCCATTAATCTATAGAAACAAATTTTTGAAATTAAAGGATTATACAAAAAATGAATAATTACAAAAAAATCAAAGAAAAGATGCCCCCATAACTTATTTAGATTAATATAGTGAACTAAAGGAATGATAGCTATTTATTTAATTATTTCTAAATATTTTTTTTTTTTCTGCTTTATCATATTATTTAGTTTAAATGAAAAATCTTTTTAGAAAAATACAAGTTTTTTTTAGTAAATTTGATAAAATAAAAAAAACTAAAAACTCAAAAAGAGATTAAGAAACAAGAATTAGCGGCAAGGTGAGCAAACTTAAATTAAATTAATAAATTAGTATTGAAGGGATTGAAAAGTAACAAAGAAATATACTAAAATGAAGCGAAAATAGAATGAAGCAGGTGAATCTAGTGATGATCAAAGTTAGGAAATCATCTACAAAAAATAGGAATTGAATGATAAACAAGAAGAGAAAAAAGTTGTAAGCAGTTATAACAACAATTCAAAGCTTAGCAATCAAGATTAGAAAGAGGAAAACAGTAATTTTAGTAATGGATCCACTGATAATCTTTCAAAGCCTCCAAAAGATAAAGAAAAGAATTCATTGGCATCAAAATATACACCCTAATAAATAGAATAGCTGAAACTGTAGTATTTAAATGAAAAGAATCTAAAAAAGCTTGTAGAGCTTTGTTAGCCTCTAACTGATATTTATAAAGAGTATTAGAAATTAAAATATAAAAACAAAATCTATTCAATTAATGATTTAGTGCTTATCCAAAACGCAGATGATCTCTAAAATGATTTTATAGGATAGCTAATTAAGATTATACGTATTGAAAACCAAGGAAAATATATTACTCTCATACAAATTAAATGGTAAATTAATTAATTAATTTATTTTGCATTTAAATAAACCAACCTGCTTTTTTCATATTTTTTCACTAAAAATTTGATAAGTCTTAAAAAGATATTTCAAATAATATAAGAATTTTGCAAAATAAAATAGCTTGAATTATTTTTAACTAATATACTACGTTGAATAATCAAGCATTATATTTTTATATTTCGAACAAATTAAAGCAAGGCAAGATAAGGCATAGAATAATTATAAAATTTTTAGAAGAATATTTATAATATCCAAAGAATAAAGGACTGATAAATATTTTGCAAATTTTTGATGTGTTATTTGTTGAAATAAAAAAAATTACTCAAATAATTAAAATTAATTACATCCTGATAATATTTACTTGGCATTTTCAAGTTGGGATTTTAAATATTTGAGTAGAATTTTTATTTTTGAATTTTGTTTATGTGAAGTTTTATTAAGATTTTATTTAAAATTAAAATAAAATTTAAAATAACGGAAATAATATCGGAATATAATCAATCGCTTTTTCAATTTAATCAACTAAATTTTATGTTATTAAATAGGTACTATAAAAAAGACGATTTACCATAAAAGAAATTTGGTGATGATGTAATTGAATGCATTAGCGATAATGAAATATTTGAAACAGACCATTTAGATATCACTTTTGTCGATTGCATAAACGGTCCTTGCAAGCTATATAATTATTAGGAATATGACCAGTTAAAATCTATATCATAAAATACATTCTTCACTAGGTAATTAATTAATTAGTTCCCATCAAAAGAATAAATCATTAACAAATCTAATTTATATTTAAAATTAGAGCCAAGTTTGATACTATTAAGAAGAAATTAATTCCTCCCTTTGAAAAGTGGGAAACTGGTTGTGTTTGCAAAAGACCTCTTAATCCAGATTATTTGTATATCTAATGCGAAAAATGCGAAAAGTGGTTCCATATTACTTGCATAAATATATCAGAAAAAGATGTTGATAAAATTGATTACAATTGCCCATATTGCCTTTAAAATGCCTAAAATTCCGCCAAACCTTCATAAGTTAATAAAGAAACCTCTAATACTTCACCAAATCAGTAAGTTAATGATAAACAAAAAAATGGTGAGGAAAAAGATAATGGTTAAACTATAAAGAAAGCATAAGAAGTTACCAAAAAATGAAAATGAAGAATTTATTAAGTTATATATATATATTGTAAATTAGTTAGTCAGTTAATTTAGGTTAAGTTAGGTTAGTTGAAGTAATTTAAAGTTAAAATAATTAGTAAGTAAATTTTAATAAATATATTAGTAATCTTATCAAACTGGATAGCTAAAACGCTTATAATAAATCTGTTTAATTATAAATTAGCAAACATATTATTGTTTAAAAGTGTATTCATAGGATTAATTTTATCTAAGTATGCAAAGAATTAATATATTTAATTAATAAGCTTTATATAAATTTATTTATTTTATCAATCTGTTATTTACAAAAATTTCCCTAAATGGTTTAAACTATAAGATATTTATCAAATAAATTATAATAAATTATTTAAGAATTTGAAATGTCTTTATTTTTAAATCATAAAATTACTCCAATTAATCAATTTTCAGAAAATTAACCAATAAAATGAGTAAAATTTTTTGATATATCAAATAATACTGCTGATTTGATATATTTTTTGTAATAATATTTAAAAATAAACTGTTTTTTAGGAACATAAATTTAAGTGATTTAAAATAATTTGAATAAATTAAATATTTAAAATTAATAAAATTTGCAAAATACTAACAAAAAAACCTTTTAAAATACTAAAAGAAAGGAGAAAAAATAAATTGTATTTTATTAATTTAATAATATTTATTTTATCATATTAAAAATGAAATTTTCATTAAAAGATTTTTAATTTAATTTTTAAATTAAATATTTAAAATCATAAAATTTTGCTCAAAAAAAATTAATTTTTCGTTGAAAAATGAAAGTAATAAATTATTTGTTAGAAATATTTTTTGATCCAAATCCTTTATTTAAATTAAACATATTTTAAGAATTTTTTATTTAAATAATTTTAAACATGAATAAATATTTTAAAGTTGTTAAATTTATTTAAAAAAGAATTAAAATTTTATTTAAAATATCAAAAATAAAGAAGAAAATGAGTTATAGTTGTAAAATTATTTAATGATCAAATTATTTTTAAGCTTAAAATTAAATAATTTTGAATTTATAAACATATTAAATTAAATTTTTAAATTGACAAAATTTTTGCTAAAAAAATTATAATTTAATTTAAATATGAGAAAAAAGAAACTATTTTGAAATATATTATTTTAATTTTTATTTAATTGATATGCTTTTTTAAATATTTTTTAAACTAATTTTGTATTTTGAGTGATATTTTAAATTGAAAGATTCATTTAGATTATCTGAGATTAAAAATTTTTTTTTTAATTTTTCTATAATTTTTAATGTACAATTTTTTAATCATGTGAGAGTTTTTCTCATCCTTCCATGAATTACTGTTGTTTGTTTATCTCCATCCTATAGAATAGCATTTCCGTACTTATTTAATCCTACAAATATACCTTCTTACAATTTTATAGTAAGAGTTTCGTCATAAATAATTACTCTTTGATTTATATACATTAGCTTTTATATTATTTTAACAATTTATTTTTCGTAACTTCTTGCATTCCTAACTTCTTGTAAATTAGCCATTAAGTTATAGGATAAATTTTATATGAAATCTAATACATTTATATCTCCATCTAATTATAATTCTTTTTTTAAGCTAGTAGCAGTATCTAAAAATGGATTTTAATTTAAGTTAACACCTATTCCAATAGATAAATAATCACCATCGCTTGTACATAAAACACCAGAAACTTTCTTTTCATTTATATAAATGTCATTAATCCACTTAAGTTAAGGACATATAATTTTATTTTAGCTACTTCCTTAATTTTTTACAATAAATTACTCAATGGTTTCTAAGACAGAAAGAGCTGTAAGTTGTGAAATACAGTAGCTCAATTCGCTTTCAAATTTAATCAAAAAAGTTACATAGCAGTTACCTTTAGGAGATAGCCAAGAATTTTAATTTTATCCTTTTCCATTCGACTATTAATCAGCTACAAATCCAAAACTATATTTATCAGAAACATAATGTTTACACCAGAATTTAGCAACATCCATTGTTGAATCAATTTGATTAAATTAATATATTTTAACCTATCCTTATGGTACTTACACTGAATGGTAATTTATTTGAATTTCTTCTGAAATATTATATTTTTTTTATTATTATATTACAAATGCTTTCAAAAGATGTTAGAGCATTTAATTGTGATGAAATTCTATCCATTAAACTCCTTATCTCCAGTGATTAGAAAATTTTATTATTTTATCAATGACATTCATATCTGATGCTTAAATTTCTATTGTTTATTTCTAATCATTAGTTTCCATTTTTGTATCAAAAGGAGGATAGAAAAAAGTAGTGTTTGAAATCCTCCCAATAGCTCTATCTTTAGGTTTTCTTACGCAGTGAGCTTAAGCTTTTAGAATATCATTACTTAATATTTGCAAAGAGATTCCTCCTTATATAATTACTTCATCATCTTCAATAGAGACAACATGATCAGATCCATAGGCGTCTCTAATAACCAAGCCAGCTCCACAATCGGGCTATGGTATTTCTTTATAACAGTATTAGCTAGACTATTCTTTAACAATATACATTTCTTTTAACAAAAGTGTAGCCATGCTAACATCGAAATGCCAAGGAACTTGTATCTGATTTTATTCATCAATTGCAGCGGTTTCATACTAATCTTAAGATGGCAACAAGATAATATTTCTATACTTCTATACCTCTGAGCTTTTTACATAATGTTCCAAGCATTAATTTTGATCGTGAATTTTTTGTTATTGAATATCGTTTCTTAAATAATAATCAACTATCTTAAAAAACTCAAGAAAAATTGAACGAGAAAAATCAATGAATTTTTTTTCCATATCATTGAAATTTTGAATTTCAGGGTTTTAAGCTCTTATAAGAAGGTCAGGAGAATCATTTTTCTAATAGCCTAATGATTACGCCTTTTCAATTACTTGTGGTATATTGAAGTAATTATTCATATGGCTTATCATACCATTATAAGAGTTAGTGCCAACAGAGAAATATTTTTTGTTTTCAGTGTGCTAAGAATTAAGTTACATTGCGATATGGCAAACTTCTTTTCTAAGCTAAGAACACCCAGGTATTTTAGAAAGAATAATCATCCTTTGCTTTTAAAATATATCAATTAAATTTTTCACTTCATTCATATCGCCATCTGCAGCCCTTTTAAATGCCAAATAGCAAATTTTTTTAACTTTAAAGGCTTCTTTGTTCATAATTAACTTTTTTTCAACTTTTTAATTTTGACTTTTTTGTATTTTTTGCTAATTTAATTAACTAAAAATAAAAATTTATATAATATTGAAAATTTATTTTTATGTTTACTTATTTAATTATAGAAAAATATGTATTAAATTATTTATACGTGGTTATTTATTTACAAATAGAAATATCTAAAACCTAAGGCTAAATATATTAATATTATTTTTATATGTAAATTATTAAATATTCATTTAACTTGATTATATATTTTTTATTATCATTTAATTTAAATACATTCTTTTGATATAATTTAGCAAAAGTAAATATTCAAATTAATTTTCAAATTGAAATTATAAGTTATTAATTCTTTATAAAAGATAATTCCTTGAACAAATAAATTCATTTAATTAAAAGAAGTGAAAATAGCTATTTAAATTAAAGATTCTTTTTATTTAATTAATTGATAAGCAAAAATTTATAAAGTATTCAAGACTGTTCAAAGGATATTTAAATAATTAGTAATTTCTCCTTATCTAATATTATTTTTAAAAATATATTTTAGTTTTTAAATTAATTTTATCAGAATATAAGTTAAAAAATTTAAAGAAGATTTTTAAAATTAAAATAGAATTTTTTCATAATTTGAAAAATTAATTTTAATACCAAATAATAAAATTAATAATAATTTTAAAAAATCTTTTTAATTATATAAAATAATTAATTAAAAGTTTTTTAACACACTTTTAGTATTTATTTGGTTTAGTGTTTTAATTTTTTGTTATTTAATATCATAAAATTTACTGAAAATTGAGTATAGCTCTATCTAATTGTATACTTTTAAATCAAAAATTATTTAAATAAAGATTAAATTGATTTTTTTAAAAGTAAATTGCTCCAAAAAAAAATAAATTTAAAATGAAAAAATTAAAAAATTTTTACTAAAATAAATTCTCTCTAAAGTAATTACCAAAGTTTAAAAGAAAGAATTATTATAAAGAAATAATAGAGATAATAAATTTATAAGCATATATAACCAATAAGATTTAACAGAATAACAACTTAATAGTTTAATAGAAGCATTTAAAAAATATTTACAAAAATAAATTCTACATTAAAATAAATTCTTTCATGTGTAAATCACCAAAATTTAAAAGTAAGAAATATTATTTAAAAAAATAATAGAGATAATTAATTTTTTGCCATATTTCATCAATAACTATTAATAGAAAAATTAACTTAACAGATTTTATAAATAAGTTTAAAATTTGTCGAAATTTATAGTAGATTTAGTTTATGAGTTGAATTTATGCTAAAATATAATAGTATTTCAATAAAGAAACATATTATGTATTAAATGATAGACTTAAGGATATTAAAGTTAATAATACACATTAAAAAATGAATGTGAATGAAGGAGATAAATTCATTTACAAAATGAAGTCAAATAAAAAAAACAAAGCTAAAAAAGAAACGAGAGGAAGGAAGTAAAAAAAGAAAGGAAAAATCAAAAAAGAAAAAGATCAATCAATTGATAAGAGAGGGCATTTTAGTATCTAAATATTGCTTCAAAGCAAAAAAATTAATCGAATATCAAGAGATAAAAATATATTAATATAAAGTAAAGAAAAAATTAATTAAAAACAAAAATCAGAAATAATGAGCTTATTATCTCACCAAGCTTGCACTTACGCTGTCCTTCTTCTTTCCGATGATGGTCAAGCCATCACCGTTGACAACATCAACAAGGTCCTCACTAAGGCTAAGGTCTAAAACGTCGAAAAGTACTTACCCAAGCTTTACGTCTCCAACATTACTCCCGCTGTCATCGCCTCTACTATTGCTAACGGTGGTTCTTCTTCCAGTGGTTCTGCTCCCGCTGCCGCCGCTGTTGCCAAAGAAGCTCCCAAGGAAGAAAAGAAGGCTGAAGGTAAATTTTTTATCTTTATAATTTTTTAAATAAAATGAAAAAATTCGAGTGATTTCAAAGTAAATTCATAGAAATTAAGTTCAATGCTCTCAATTAAAATATAAATGAAAACATAGTATTTAGTTTTCAAAATGAATTTAAATTCATGAGAGAAATCAAAAAAAAGGTAAAACCTAAGCTAGTTTCTTCTAAACTAATAAATGAATAAAACGATATTAGAGTAAAAGAAGATAAGTAGGCAATAAGAAATATATAGGAATATGTCCATAAATAGTAACATAAATAAATAAAATTATATGTAAACATAATAAAGATAAACCAGCAGAGATGGTCAGCGTAAAAAGTAAAGCAAGCAATCCAAGTTTATATACCATTTAAATAAATGTAAATATCGCACATAAAAAAATTGATTGATTCAAGTGTGATTTCTATAGTAAACCAAAAAATATTGCTTCATACTTTAGAAAGATAAATTTAAGACTCCTTTAAAATTAATAACCAAATTGATAGAAACAAAATTGTGTGTGTATAAACAAATATTTCTTTCAAAGTAACTCTTCTAGGATATTTTTGTGGATAAACAAACTATTATCAATCATAAAGGGAATTATTTATAGCAATTGTTTGTGAGTATTGCAATGTAGTATGCACAAATTTTAATAAATTTTAGTAAATTAGAAGAAGTTAGATTAGGCTCTCAATGTATTTTAAACAAAATTAAACATGGAGTAGAAATTTACAGTAATTAGCAAAGAGAAGATGTTTGATTTCAATTTTATAAATAAAATTTCAAAGTAAAGATCTAATAATTTTATTGGCATTCCACCAAAGTTCTACTCAAAATATTGATCTATTTACATACAGATAGAATGATTTGCATTATATTTTAAATCTTAAACTGACATTTAATTTGAAATCATTTTGAAAATTCATCATTTAATTTAATAATAATTTAATCTAAATATTAATTTTTAAATAAACAGTCAAGGAAGAAAAGAAGGCTGAAAAGGAACCCGAAGAAGATCTCGATATGGGTGATCTCTTTGGTTGAGTTTATTGGTAATACATCAATCAATCACTTTTACTTCTGTATAGAATAATAGAATTATAATAAAATATCTTTAATAAACTAAAGTGTAATTCGTATTGTGTGTCTTACATCTTTTTTATTTAAATTGATTTAACACAATTTAGTTCTCAAATCCAAACACATTGTGCATGTATATCATAATAAAATTATACATAAATGTTTCGAAATACAAAATACTTCATAATACCTATAATATAAGCGATTTTCAAATAAAGAAACAAACAAATATATTAATTAAATATTAAATAAGAATTATTTTTGGATTAATGGATATTTTTATCCACCCTCAAAAAATAAATAACTTTATCAATAAATTAATAAATCAATTAGCAATAAGTGAACATTTTAAATTTAAATCTCTGTTTTTTTGAAATAAATGATATAAATAACTAACAATAAATAATTGAAATACATTTTTATTAAATTGAATTTGCTATTATAATTATTTTAATTAAAATGTTAATGGTTTCTATATTCAACTGTTATCTAAAACAAATTATGATGCAGCTCTCATTTTAAATTTTTACTTTATCCTATCAGAAGGCTATTATTTATTTATAATTTATTTCAATTATTAAAACATTTAAACAAACGAATTTACTCTAATCATCAGATGGCAACCATAAACTTTGAATATTCTTTAAGGATACACTTCAAATAAAAACACAGAATTTTATTTAATAACAGCTTTTAAAAATGAAAAATTATTAAAGCCAATATTAAATAAATAATAATTAATTTTACTTATTATTTTATCCTCCTAAGTAATCACTCTAAAGCTCTTTAGCTTTTCTTACAAGACTATCCCTTGCATACCTTCATAAGATTAGCACTTGCTAGTTAATACTTTAAAGGATATTTAATGAAAAATGAAAAATGACTATTTAATTATTTACTTTGTATAATAGAGCCATGTAAGTCTGCTTTTAAAAATTTAGCATATCCGTTTTCATCTTTTAAGCTAAAATAAATTAAACATTTTACTAAAATATTAAAGTAGAAAATAATATTTACTCATTAGAAATTAATTGTCTTATGTATGTTTTCCACATGTTATTCATAGGTAAAAAAGTAGCATATTTTAAGTTTGTCTTTGGAATACCAAAATATCCTACTTATTTCAAAGCCTTTTTACATATATCAGAATCTATACAATATTAATTAATAGGTTAAATTAAGCATGAAAATGCTTCTTTTCAAAAAAGATTTAAAAACTTACTAAATTCCTCTTTTTTATATTTATTTTTCATGTTTAATTGCTGCTAAAATTTTTCTATTAAAAATGCCTTGTTATCTATTTTATTTTTAAACTTAAATCCATCTGACACTATCTCTTCTATAATTTCAGATCCCTTTAATGAAATAAAAATTAGATCTTAAACTACCCATCAACATACTGTAAAATATAATTTTTTATGTACATTTTATAAGGTAGCATATTCTTTCGCATCTAGTTTTCCATATATATTATTCTTGTCCAGCTTGAAAAGAGTTGGTTATTCGACTACTATTGTTTCAGTTTTCTTTACATCTATTTATTAATTTTATGAAGGCTACTTTGCAGATTGTTATTGCTAATTAGCTGTCTTTTTTTGTACATTTTATTAAGGCTTTTCAGGTAATATTTATGCTTTTTACTATTTTTATTATGGCTACTTTGGTTTGCTCCCTAACTGAGCAAATAGGTCATCAATATCTCCCATATATTTGATGTTTGATAATATAAAAATATATGAATAAATATATTTTAGATTTAGTCACTTTTTGCAAGTATCTTATAAATTGCTTTTATGGATAATAGTAATATAATTACTAATGAATGTTAATATAGAGATTTTAATGAATGTAGTAGGTATATATGTATGCTCTACTTCAAAAGTAGCAATATAAGCAAATTAATTAAAGCAACATAAATAAATAAATAATTAATTAATTAATTAAGATGAAATTAATCAAACATTATTAGAATTACTATAATATGGCTTTCAAGATTAATTTTAAAAAAATTATATTTTAATTATTATTGAAAAAATTAATGAATGTATGTATGTTTGTATGTATGAATTGTTTCTTTTATTTGATAATATATCTATCTATCTAACTATTGATCTTTCAATCTATTTATTAATAAGAAATACTCTAATTGCAAGCTATTCAAATATTTTATAGAGAGAAAGCTTTTTATATTAATTTATTTCAATAAAAGAGACAGCAATCTTATAACAATTCAAAATGTCTGATTAATCTAAACTTTAAGAGAAATTTGACAAGCGCACGTAACTTGAAGAGGAATTGAAAAGCCTCGAAAAAAATATTTATGATTTAGAAACACAATACTTAGAAGAAACGTTTAATTCTGGTATTTTTGTGAAAAATTAGCCTCTAATTTGGCATTATTTGCTTTGTATTTTGTAACATTTTTCCAAAAATGATTGAAAATAGGTAACATCATTAGGGGGTGGGAAAACTATTTCACAAGCACAAAGTAGAAAAGTATTGGCGCAACCCTAAAAAAAGCCAAAATAAATCCAAACGATAGAATATTTTCACTATCATCAACCACTTCACCAGCAGTAATAAATTAGACTGTCTAATCTATTTATAAATTGCTTTACTAATTCTCCATCAACTCTTACATTTTAACATTTGATTTTCTTTGAAAATCAAATTTACACGCTTGCTAATCAAATGCAAGTAGAAAACAAACAACAAAGATTTCTTCTAAATAATTAACAAAATATCTAACTAAAGGAAGGCTATTTCTTATATTTTTCTCTTAAACAAAAGCATTTAAAAATTGAAGAAAATATAGATAAAAATACAGATGGCAGTCATGGAACATACAGTGGATTTAAAAGACAAAAAAAGAAAAGCAAGATTGGTAAAAATGCTTACGACAACGAGTAAAAACTTTTAATTGCAAAAAATTAGTTAATTAAAGGCATTTATTAATTTAGTGTTTTTTTGGAAAGCATTTTTCTGATATTTCTAAATTTAAATTTTACTTTTATGACTGAAGAGCGCTTTAATTAATTTTTCTTAATTCAAATAACTAAACAATATTCAACTACCTCTATTTATAATCAAATAATATTTTAGCTCTTAATTCAATCAAATTGTTTTTTTTTAAATTAATTAACATTAAAATAATTTTTATAAATTTAATTAAATTAAATATTTTACTTTATCTTTTATTTTTTAAATTAGCTCTCCTAAACATGACCTTGTGGATAGCAGTTAAATTTCTGATGACTTTTACGATTAAGTGGAAGACTCAGTTAATAATGACATGTCTTCAAAAAGAACAAAGAAAATTAAAAAGAAAAAAACAAAATCTTGAAAATTTATTTTATTCAAATTTTTTATGTGTTTAGAGTCTATATCACTATATACAACATAGAGTAATCTTAACTATACTTTACTATACAATTTATTCAAGCCTTTATCAAGTTTGTTCATTTGATTTTTATTTAAATTCCATCAAATTAATTTATGAAGAAAGCTTTTTATAATTTAAAATTCTTTTCTTATTAAAATTGTCATCTTACTAATTATTTATTTTTCTGATTGGTATTTTTATTATTTATTTACAATAATTTTATGCATTTATTTATTTATTTGGTGGAAGATTAAGTGGATGGAATTAGTTAATAATTTACTTATTTACTAATTTTTTTATTTTATTGGATTTATTATAGCAATTAATAATGTATTTCTTCAAATATATATAAAATATTACACCTGATAGCACCCCAAAAAGGACAAGCTTGAGCAATATTATTAAAAAATTTTTTAGTATATCCCTTAAAGTTTATACTAGTTTTATGTTAGTGTACAAGTATTACACCTGATAACAAAACTTATAAATAAAACCTCATCAATGATTAACTAATTCATGTGATCTTAATTATGAAGATATGTCTTTTATTCCTTAGTTAGTAACGTACTTATTTTTATAAAATATATTTAATAAATGAAGAGAAAATATTAATTTGTTTTCATTATTTATATTTTGTAATTGAATTTAGATATGCTGTAAGAATATTTTAAAAATTATTTACCAAAATATCTTCTTTTAGCTTCTTCTTTTTTTCAGCCATAATTGTCTTATATTTAGTTCTTCTTATTTCTTTCTCACGTTAACATCTCTAATTATTGTATTTATAAATATAATGAATAAAATACTTTATTATAATTTACAATAGAAAATTAGTGGAATTTGAGATTCTCAACTACATCGTCCCTTTAGAATTGTTTTTGTATATTATTCTTTTGGCATTAAACTATATTGGAGTTATATCTGGATTTATCTGCAGACTGCATTTTAGATCTTAAAGTTATCAACATTTCATCTCTTTTAATTAGATCCTGCTTACCCATGTCTTCCCTCCTTTTCTATGCACTAGACTGCATTTCTTCTCTTTTCTTTGAGAGTATGGAAAAGTCTCTCAATCTTGGAGACTTAAAATTAATAAAATATAACATTAAATTTACATTTAAATTCTAAATAAAAAAATAATTTTCATTTTTTTAAAAAACAATTTTTTATTTAATATTAAAAAATTCTAAAAATCAAAAATAATTAAAATTTTACAGCTACTTTGGCTGCAATAAATCTTTCCATACAAACAGATTTATTCATTAAATCTATTTCCCAATTTTATTATTGATTTTTTTGGATAACTTCCTTCCAATATTCATTTTTGGTAGAATGAGAGCGAATCCTATCCAAAATTTAGTTATTTTTTTTAATATTTTTAGTGTTGATGTCATTTACAATAGAATTAAATGACATATTTGATTGTTATAACCATAATTCTTGCAGCTTTCTTTAATTAAATTCTCTTTTACGTTATTCACCACTTCTTTGTAGATACAAATGGTAATTCCTTTTTGATATTTCTTATTCTTTTGCTTTGTCTTTTTCTATTTTTTCACTAATATCCTAAAAGAAAGTATTTTACAACCTAGACCTTTCCTCGATTTGCTGCTCTTGCAAATTTTTAATGTGTTCTTGCACTTATTTTTAATTTTCAGCTTTTTTATGCAGTTTCTCCTATTCTTCTTTCTTTTTTTTCTCATTAATTTTTATCTGCTCTTCAAATTTTTTTTCTTTTTCAACTCTTTCATTTTCAATTTATTCAAGTCTTTCTTTTTCCATTTACTCTTTCTCTTGCTTGATATGCTATAGCTTTTCATATTTCATAAGTCTTCTCACCAATTTAAGTTTTTATTCATAATCCATGTGATCAATTATTTCCTTCACTCTCTTTTCTTTATGTCTTTCAGTGCTCTTTGGACTGGATGATTCTTTCAAATTTTTTAATTTATTATTAGTTGGGCTAACTTAATGACTCATAAAATACTAATCATCTCTGTCTCTTTGCATGATAAATTTCTTTATTTACTTTATTCTATCTAAATATTTTATGTAAATTTTATTATTAATGTGTAAACCAATAATTATATTCACATTATCTTCTTTTTTCATAATGGTTAAGCAGCAATTGAGCTACATCTTAGCTTTAATTTGGCTACATAAACTATTCTATAGTTTTCGGAATTAAGTCTTCTTATTTTATTTATATCTCTTTGCATATTTGAATTGCTTCAGGAGTTAGCTTGCCATCTAAATCAAAAATTTAAACTCCTTTTTATTTGTTTTATAACTCTAAGCGGTACCTATCTAAAGGCGATAATGAAGACATTTTGTATTTGCAAATAATCAACTTGTAACCTTTAATTAATATTTTAACTAATAAATTTAAGTAAAATTTATTATTAGAAAGTAGAGGCCAATCTTAGCCAATAATTATTATAAGAAATAATATTTATTTGCAAACTTACAAATCAAGATATTTATTTACTGCCATACAAACCATATTTTTAAATACAAAATTTATTTAAAGAGAAAAAAATTATTTTCAACAATTTAAGCCAATCAAATTTTACTTAGTATACAAAGACTAAAAATTACAAATTTCAATTGCTTTCATATAAAAAAGTAAAATATTATTATCAAATAACTATTATTAGTTTAATTATTACCAATTTAAGCAAAAGCTATTCTAATAATAAAATTAAAAAGAAAAAATTACTAATAATTAATAAGAAATAGAAAATACCTCATTTGTGAATAAAAAAACACTTATAATATCTTAAATATTCAATTATAATTTCTATAAATTAAATACTAACTGGTAAAATGAGACTTTAACACCCTTATGGAAAAAATTTACTAATTTTTTACTTATTATGAGTGTTATATATTATTAATTGATAAGTAGTAAAAATTTTGAGGATTAGTTCAAAATTTTAGAAATTTTTTAGTTAATTTATTTGTTGTTAAGTAACCATTTAAAATAAATTTTTAATAGAAACCACTCTTTTAGTATAACCCCCTTCTACCCCAAAATTAAATAAACAACTCAAATATTATGTAGAGGAGCTTTTTAATAATTGACAAGACTTTACTTTCATTCTCAACAATTAAGTTTTAAATGAAAAAAAGGTTAAATTCAGAGTAGTCTTTAGAATAAAAATAAGATATTTAATAAGAAAAAATTAGTTAATTAAAAATTAAGGTTGTTGCTAACAACAAAAAATGTTAGTAGAAAAAATTTTATAATTTAATAAAAATAAATACATATTTGATTAGGAAATTTAAGTAATAAAATTAAAAATTATCAGATTATGTATTCGACGGTAATTAAATTATAATTAAAACAAAAATAAATCAAATTCACAATACTTTTTACTGATTATATTTTTAATTTATTATTAATTCAAGATTAAATAAATGTATTAATTTTATTTTATAATTATTTATTCAAATTTAGATTTAGAAAATTGGGGTTGGGGTTGGGGTTGGGGTTGGGGTTGGGGTTGGGGTTGGGGTTGGGGTTGGGGTTGGGGTTGGGGTTGGGGTTGGGGTTGGGGTTGGGGTTGGGGTTGGGGTTGGGGTTGGGGTTGGGGTTGGGGTTGGGGTTGGGGTTGGGGTTGGGGTTGGGGTTGGGGTTGGGGTTGGGGTTGGGGTTGGGGTTGGGGTTGGGGTTGGGGTTGGGGTTGGGGTTGGGGTTGGGGTTGGGGTTGGGGTTGGGGTTGGGGTTGGGGTTGGGGTTGGGGTTGGGGTTGGGGTTGGGGTTGGGGTTGGGGTTGGGGTTGGGGTTGGGGTTGGGGTTGGGGTTGGGGTTGGGGTTGGGGTTGGGGTTGGGGTTGGGGTTGGGGTTGGGGTTGGGGTTGGGGTTGGGGTTGGGGTTGGGGTTGGGGTTGGGGTTGGGGTTGGGGTTGGGGTTGGGGTTGGGGTTGGGGT